TTCAAAAAAAAAATATTTGCTGCTTTTTTTCCCCATGAAAATTGACTGTGAATCACATTACATATGGAGCAAATCAATAATTGTGAATAGAAAAAAAAATGTAGCTCCCTATTTATCACCTGGACGGGAACACTGACATTGCTGGCTTCACTTTCCAGGCATGCAACTGGGAATTTAGGAAAAGACAAGGAAATTCCAAACCACACATGACTTTGTACAGTGTTTGTCAATTTGTAATGGTATTCATGAGAAGTAAAAAACAAGGAAATCAGCGGATCCGAGGAAAAGTTGCATGCCTGACTTTCATAGGTCTCACTTATTCCTAAAACTCAGATTCTTAAGGAAAACAAATAAATATCGTAATCAACGAAAATCACTGCTTGTGAATAGACTACGTCATTTGAATACAGAGCATCAATAGACCCATTGAAAAAAAAAAGAATTAGAGTAAGAAAAGACTGATTATGTCATGCGGCGTTTAAGCTTTATTATTAAAGGAACAAAGGCTGATGGCGTCAGGTGGGATATCAGGCCACAATAGACAAACTAAGTGGCAGGCACAAACATACGCGAGTGTTAGCTGAATTAATTAATGAGATATAAGCACTGTAAACGAACCTTACGGACACTACACATTCCGACAGAAGGTTCTGACTTTTAGTATGCATTGATAAAAGTCTGCGAAGCTGCTTGCATGAATTTAATGAAATAACTACATATGTGTACATGTATGTTTTGGTACACTGTACAATTTTAGTTCATTTGCTTAAGAGGTCACCAATGGTCGAAATTTTCTTCCTCACCTCCTGGCGTACTGTGTACAAACCAATGGGGGTCTTGACCAATATTGACCCAAGTAATAAGCAGGCTGACAATGCATGTTACCATAGGAGGGTTAAGATTTTCATTAGATTTTCTTTTAATAAATAATTTTTAATATTTTTGAACATCTACCAGTACATACATGCACCTAATTTATTCTGAACACACATATTTTCCTTTTGACAATAACGAGTGGTATTGGACATTGAAAGAACCACAAAATCAAAATCATCATCACTCTAAATTAGTATAGAAACAACAAAAGATGCTTGAATATAAATAATGAATTTTTTTCCTGTTGAATATGGCCATTTGTCAATGAAACAAAAATTCAATTTACATCCTGATCTGGAGGGCCAAACCAAAACAGATTAAAAGAGGAAGTTGATTGAACCAGACAAATCTAACCATTCAAAACATCAATCAGAACCAGCCATGTTTGGAAAGTAACTATTGTATTAAATAATAATAGACATCTCCAGCGCCTTTAGTGCCTAATAGTTGGTACATATACGTGCGCTATATAAGACTCCGGTATTATTATTATTAAAGAGAGTATGTAATAACATACACACACTCTGCTTCGACAAAAATGGGGGGGGGGGGGAAGTCAATTTTGTCAAATGCAACGTCCTATTCCTTTGCACAATGAAGAATGCACTTAAACATTTCAAAATTTGACGGAGCACATCTGGTTTTGTTTGGACAAATATGGGTCTTTAATTCACCCCCGTGTTTGCAACTATGACATGATGCCCCCCTCCCCCCTTTTTTTAATAGAGTATTAGTGAACATGATTGAATGCGCTGATCTATTTCACAGCTTATATACAGTACAACATTTGCAAACATAAAAAAAATCATAAAATTGCCAAATTATTAAGAAATACCTATCTTGACTGTAAGTGAATAATCGTCTCATGTGTCCTGTGAAATTATGGCACCTGGTGTGCTGTCATTTTCAGGAAAAGTGGAATTTTTCTATCAATTTTTAACAATGGTCTGCCGACTATCTTTGGAAAATATTGCCCCAAATTTACCAAATTTTGTTAGTCCACAATTTGTATGCAATTGGTTACACATCCGTGAACAGGTGCAAGCCAGCTGGTCTGGTTCCCTGACCTGATAATTCCCTGATATCTATAAATTGCTCAGTTTTGTCTGAAACAGAGTCAGGGAACCAGACTACAAGAACAATTTCTTTTTTTGTTTCTCTAAGATCTATGAACACAAAAATTGAACAGGTCAGTGTTCAAATTTTGCTGTAAACTACATTGTACAAACACCAAAATCCATCCGTTTCTGAAAATAAGCGGTACAGCAAAAGCAAATGTTGCCGGGTTTTTACGCCTAACTGCACAGACTTACACTTATCACTGCACACCCTTACACGCATCACTGCACAGAGCCTCTGCGCATTAGTGGCAGTAGTGGCTCTGCACTGCAGGTCTTATGCCTAGCAGCTGCCCATCACAGACAAAATTCCACGGCTGACCACAGTATTTCGAAGTGCGGCTATAGCCGCCAGCCAGCGTCAAGGGGTTAACTTGCCCCAGCCTAAACTGGCAATCGATCGGATTTGCGTGTGCCTTCACTAGTTGAAAATTGACAACGAGCGTACATTTATTGAAATAATATAAGGAAGTGGTAGCGTAAAGGCTGATATTTGATTCATTGAAATCCTAACTACCTCTAAGGGTGTGTGAAAATGTTTATAAGTGGAGGATTCTGGACATTTAGGGCTGAAGAAGACATCTGGGCTAATTGTTCCCATCGAAACTCTCAAATCATACACAAAAGTGGCTTTAGACTAAAGAGTGACAAACAAAACCATGCAACATACAAGTCTTTCATGACATCTCCTCGGGACCGCTCACATTTTTTTGAATATCTGAATAAAAACGCAATTCGGATATTTGGTTGATGATCAAATATTCGAATAGTAGTTATATTCAGCACAGCCTTAAAGGGAATATACATCATTGGCTTTTGCTATAATTTTCAGAAATGAACTATTTGAGGGATTAGTATAATAGATCAAATATTGTTACACTGACATGTTTGAAGTTTTGTGTTCGAAAATGCTGGAAAAACCAAGAAAAACAAAACTGTTCAAGTAGTCTGGTTCCCTGACTCCACTAAATATAAAATGGATCAATTTACAACTGCCGGAAAATTGTAAGTTAAGGGTGCCAGTCTAACTGGCCTGCACCCGTTCATGAACATGTAACCAAAAGCAAACTAAATTTGGACTGAATTAATGGTAAATTTGGAGCAGTAGTTGAAAAATAGTTAGGTTTTTCCAACGGTGGTCGGCCGACCATCGCTGGAAATTTTTACAGAAATACCATTTTCTTGAAAACGACTTCACACCAGGTGCCATAATTTTACAGGATGCTTTAGACTGTCATTTACCAACATCCTTTTAAGGTATTTCGTAAAAACGTGGTAGTTTTATTTTTCGAAGTTTGCAAATGTTGTATATTCCCTTTAATAGGGTTGGCTTTGCACATGATTGTATCTGGAAAAATCTATGGAATTGCCAGATAAGGCAAAAATAAATCATTGACCAAAATGCCCGGTACAATTGACGTTTCCATGACGTCAAAAAGTTTAGCATGCACGGGAAATCGTACGACGTCATAGAATCCTATCAGGAAATTCCATGATTTTTGCATGACTTTCTACGAAAAGATGACATACATGTATTCAATGCATTTCAATTGTGATGATATATTATTCTCCATACATCTACATGTACTCATCTTGTCCATACATGTATACAGCATAACATTTCTAAACAAAATATGCTGGATCTGACATTTTTTTCTAAATGAGTTTCCATACTGGGTGTGTACATTTTAAGAGATGTTTTATCATCGCTATAAAGTATATATGCCTGTACCTTCTGGTTGGTTGGCGTATGGTATGTGAACCAGTCATATTCCATACAAAATACTTTTCAATAAAAAATGTTGTGGTTGATACCACCATAAGGCAAAAACCACTTCCTGCTGTACCTTTCAGTATGAGGACCTTACACACAAAAAGTGACATTATGATAAAGTAAATGATTTAGTCTTTTCAACTGAAAATTGATATTAATTTTGTGCAACAGTTATGAATTTGTAAAAGCTTATGTCTGATTGTGAAAATAAACTTCGATGTTGGCAAAACAAAACCTGCGTAGCGTTAAGTTTTTAGAAAATGTTTTCCATATCTAGTGAGATATTTACAGTCCTTCTGATTTGAGGCGTGCGATCACACCCCCACACCATTGCACACCTAAAAGCTTCCCGAGAAGTGTGAATGATTGCACGCCTGAATTTCCCTAGGTCACAGAATCACACACCTAGAAAATCACACACCTAGAAAAAACACACGCCTAGAAAAATCCAGGTGTGCCTTTTTCCACACGCCTGTGATTTTCAAATCAGAAGGACTGTATTTATTCAAAGGATTACATTGCAGAGTACGTAAAACAGAGTCTGAACATGGACTATATATAGTCAAAGCAGAGGTGATCAGTCAAAATACGTCCAAAACTTCTGGTGGATTGTGCCTGATAACTTCCAAACAGAACTATTTTGTGGATGGATGCCGGATTATTATTCTCACAAAAAGCTCCATGCTGACTTTGACTATTTTATCGACCGTGTATTGGAAAAAAGTGCTCATTTACAGAGTTTAGTGTTAATTATTAATGAAAGTGATTATCACTGTACACTCACGACACCCCCTTGAACTGAGAAATCATTTTGCACGCAATTGTAAAAAAGCTGCTGCCCCCTGACAGATTGTCTGAACTACAGGGTGGATAAAAAAAAACCGAAACCGAGATATTATTGCTAATTAGAACAGAAGTAGGGTACATGTGAATCAAAGGGAGATATCCTCTGTTAGGGTTGAATCTCCTCTTAGACCGTGGGCCAGAAATCCTATCTCGCCTATAAAATGAAGTCCGTTAAAAATTTTTGGTGGCAAGAAAAAAATGCTTGTTCTTTGTCAATTCGAGGGTGCTGAATTCAATTCTTCCTGTTGCCGAGCTGACAAGTTGCACGTTTAGTCACAATCGCCGTCCAAAGTTTGACCCCCCCCCCCAATAAAAATCTATTAGGGGCCCCTAGCGACCGATGGCAGTATCCATCCCCTTAAAGTTCTCAGAAACGGCTACTCCGATTTAAATGCAGATCGTCACCCACTTAGAATATTTAATGATCATTAAATCTACACACTTGTAGGTTCATAAACAAGGTGGTTTCTTAATCACATGTACTTTAATTATGCAAAAACAATGCTCATATATGTTTTATTGCAAATTGGCACAGAAGGCATACATGAAACTGACTTTTCCATATAAGGCATGACTGACTTTTTCTATAATTGTATACGACTGCATTATATAACTAACCTAAAACAATTGTTATATTGATGCCAAGGAAAAATATCATATTAATGGTTTTATTGTTGTGATCATTAAATATGAAATTATGCACAAAATAACGCTTTGTCCATATTCAGTGTTTTTTATGCCAATAGTTTGTTCAAGGTATCACTGGATTTTTGCATGTGAGGCTGAAAGTATTGAATTGCATGTACATTTATGTCATTAATCCAAAATGAACCGTCTCCAATTTAACATAATCACATAATTACATAATTATGGTAATTAATTGTGCAATTTTGCAACAAATTGAATTAAAACAGCACCAACTTTTGTTCTTAAATGTTTATGAAAGGAAAAACTATTTGGAGAAGACCGACTTATTTCATTTACCTAAAGAGGCAAACAATAAATGGTAATTAATTCTCAAACTATCAACGATTAACGCTAAGTTGACCACAGTCAACACTTTGTACCACCCAAATTTTTTTTTCAAGATATCACCGAGTTTTTCATAACATATGAAGTTCAAAGACTTAGGCCTATTTGCAGATTACCGAATTATGTCATTTACCTAAAGTAGAGTATTTGATTCCAACAATGTCCTAATTGGAAAGTTTTTACTTTGTGGTAATTAATTAATAAATAAGCAACAAATAAATCTTTGGCCATACTCAATTTTTTTTTCTAAAAAAAATTCTTCAAGGTATCACTGAATTTGCCATTAACACAAAAATGAACTGTCTAGAACTGGAACTTCCATAATTCCAAATACATGTATGTCATAATTATTGTAATAAAGTATGCAATTATGCAATGATGGATTGTCAAGGCATTACATGTATTGAGTTTTTCACTTAAGTGTGGAGCTGTTGCGCCCGTCTCAAGCATCAACTTGGGTCGACAGAAGGTGGAGCTGGAAGAACTATTTGTAGATGAGGAATTGTCATAAGCCTAAAAATATACTGTTGAAAACTGGAATTTGCTGTACAATACAAACCAAAGAAATATTCTTCCTGAAAGGCATCATGGCGAATCACGTTTCTGCTGTCTACACCAGGCCAAAAAAAAAGCTATGCATATTTACAAGTACATGTACATGTAGAATGAGCAAACACATAAATATGGCTGATGATGAATACATGTATGTAAACTTTTCCGTACTACGTGAAGTCCCTGTGTCTATTCATCGTCTTCAATGTCACTTTCTTCGTCATCGCTGGACAGGCATTCGATGTCTTCAGTAGTGGTGTTCTCACAATCACTGCAACGACACAAGTCTGTACACGGCAAGTCGCCTGCCACACAAGAACAAATTCATGACTTGCAATGTCCCTTCTTGCATTTACAAGAAATGTTTTGGAGGATAGTTGCATGCATATTAAGTTATCTAATTTACATGAATATAATGTGATGGCATGCCCATAGAAAATGTATTTTTTTTTAAGTATCCTAGTATTTCCTACAATTAAAGGCACTTTATCCTACAATTAAGGGCACTATTACTGTGATCTGACTTTAGTCACACACTTAATAATTTTCCATAAAATAGGAAAATATTATCACCTTGCACATTGACTAGCTGCCATGCTCTAAATCAACAGAAAATATTCCAAACGTCTAGCCACTTTTTATGATAAAGAAGGTTCTGCATTAATTTTTTTTTTTGGGGGGGGGGAGGAGGAGTAACACAACATTGGTGATAGCTTCAATGTCTTACCTTGATGTAATTCTTGTGGCATGATCTGTGATACCGGACTTCGATTGCCACCATGTCTTGATCTTGAATATCAAGAAGGATGGATTCATCATTGAGTAGTTCAGCAGCCTTGATAAGTTGTCCACCTGAAAAATATAGTGAAAAAGAAATCTGGTTCAAAGTGGTTTCAACAATTATGTGGAAATGTCTTTCCATTTATATGACATTATGGTGATGTCACACTTTATATACATGTACATGTAATTATGACTGTACCTTTTTCATATTCACAGTTTGTGAGTGGCTCTTTTTTCCGCGGTCCATATGGCGGCTGGATCCATTTGCTCTTCTTGCATATGATGCACTCCACTGGTAGAACATGCCTGGTCCTTTGCTCTTTCTCTCCTGTGCGTCTTCTCTTGCGGGGGATTACCACATCTCCTGCGCCATCACCTCCTTCACTAGTTGAGCTCTTCTCCATCCTCAGTTTCGCTCGCTTTATTTTTGATACATTGCAGAATCTGTTGAAATGAGAACGAGACAGATGAAATATTTGGCAATGAAATGGCTGATTGGATTTAAACAATAGAGATCCGAAAGTTTCAGTTCAAAGTACGTTTGTAATCAAATCATACTTCTTGTAGAAGTAGAATTAATTTTTTCCCCTTCGTAATCGATATCCCTTATGTCCGTGGCTCTTAAAAAGAAAAATACAGAATGTCCAAAACCAACCTGTCTATAGTCTGGCTCTTACAGCCATGGAGTATTACAAGAACCAGACAATGCTATAAAGACTAACGACAGAGGTTGACAATTACGTTACAGCTGCTGTAACGATAGCCGGTGTGAAACAAATAAGTGAAAGATTCCCAAATCTGGCCATCACTAATTTTTCCCTTCAGTGACCTATCAGCCATTAGAAAGTGAAAATCTGTCCTAAAAACTTGGCAGGGAAAATATTGAATTATTTACTGAGAACACAATTACAAATTTTAAGACAAGTTTCAAATGTTCTGACTGTAAAGGGTGACAAGTGATGGCCAAATATGGTTATCTTTCCCCCAAAATACTCAATCATTGTCAGAACTCGGATTGTCATGTTTGTCCAATCCTATTTTATTTTCAATGTACTAATAGCAAACACAACCTATTTATTTGCTTTAAAAAATGACTTCAGTTACGTATTAAATTAGTATAAATAGCCCCCCCCCCCCCACTGCACTACGATGATAACAATTAACATTCGACACGTTTGGAATTGGAAACTTACATCTGCCAATGCCGGTGCACTTGGTAGCCATACTCGGCCTTTGGTCGTTCGTTTTTCGCTATATCTTTGCTTTTTTGGGCAACTCCTCTCTCCTTTCCATCCAATTCTTGTCATTGCTGACAACAAGTTACAAACTTCTTCCAGCTCGTCTCTGAAAATGGTGAAATTTCACCGCTTTCTTCGCCAACGCACGTCCTGCCGACGGGCGCCGCCATGTTCCTCCTGACGTCCTCGTCCCCGGGAAAATTAACGCGATTTTCTAAATCACCTACGAAGCGCCGATTCGAGGTTGCAGCATACCGCCCTCAATCGGCGTTCAAAAAAACATCGCCGACGCGACGGGAAAGTGGCAATTTTCTACCTTTATTTTCACATTAGTTTGCTGGGTTTTCTGCCGGCAACATCAAAAATATTAATCAGTGTCACAAAAGGAGTCCATTAGGAAAGAAAAAAAGTTGCCACCAAAAACTCCGAACGATTCTGCACGCTACGATTTCTGGCCCACGGTCTATCTTTAAAATGACACCCTGATCATGTCCTTACATTCACGGTTGACTGAGCAGTGACCAATTTTATGAAAGGGTCTATTTAGAGAATTGCGCCACTTTTCATTGTGAAATCTCTTTTTCCCCACCTGCCTTGATTGGCGAACATAGCCGTTCACTCCGTGACAAATGACAACACAAACCACAATTGAAAAGTGGGGCAAGCCTGTGAATAGACCTTCATAAAATTGGTCACTGCTCAGTCAACCGTGAATGTAATGACATGACCAGGGTGTCATTTTAAAGAGGAGATTCAACCCTAACAGAGGATATCTCCCTTTGATTCACATGTGCCCAACTTCTGTTCCAATTATCAATAATATCTCGGTTTCGTGTTTTTTTTATCCACCCTGTATAGCTACAGGGCCTTCATTAGCTTTTCTGGTAAAGGAGTAAATATATTTTCTTGTTTTCTGTATTGGCCTTCCTGAGACAATCAATCAAGGTGTATTTGGCTTTCACTAATAATGGCCACTTGAGGTGTTCCCCCCCCCCCCCATTTTGCTATTGCAATCGGGATCTCGACAGTAGCATTTAATTATATTTACACGCGACAGCGGTCTTCATCCAACTGAAGCTATGGGAATGCAACTTCCCACGATGTCCGATACGTCCCATAACTACATGTTGAAGAGCCTACAGGTTCAGACAAGCTTATAGGCTTCCGAATATGCCCAGATATGGTATATGTTTTTTTTCTGTGGGAGAAAATGCATAAGTCTAGTTGCCTGTGCACCATTTTGTTCATTGACACTGAACAATCGTACTGTTTCCCTCCACCATGAGTCGGAACGACAATGGAGGGACCAGGAACAAGTCTAAATCAACCTCATGCTAGCCGGCAGACAGAGGCCGTCCACGATTGGTCAGTCGATATTGTATCGCTCACATGGTTTCTCACATAATAACGACGGAGCAAGAATACCGACCGAGTGCTGTTCTTCGAAAATCGGAGATAATGCCAAGGCGCGACAAACATGTTTTAGCGTTGAAACACGACCAGCAGTAAAATTCCAAAACATTTTTGAAGTCCAACAGTGAACTGAGAAACAATTTGAATATTACAGACAAATGAACAGTTTCTATGCGTTTTTAAGAACTAAACTCCAATGTCGTTTCGTATTTTGCCTTTCAAACGCGTAAAATACGGCAATAGACCATTATCATGTTGTGGCCATTTGGATTTTTCCCATTCAAATAAATGTAACCAAAGCGAGGTTGGAAGAAAAAATAGTCTGGTTCCTTTTGGCACAAATTTTTTTTATAATTCAGAACTGTTATTGGATACAGGGAACATGACTGAAATGGTGACATGACAAAGGTCTATACACACCCTTGGCTCCAAGAAGGTGGAGACAAAATGGCGGTTATGTTAGGTGTGTTACTATTTTGGGGTTTTAATTTCTTTTCCATTCTCATACTTACAAGTCCAACGGGTAGAAGAAGAAGACCAGATACTTCCCTATTGAAATAAACAGGAAGAAATACGTTTATTGATTCTGAGAAGACAAAGTCAAAATAGCCCTTTTTTTCCCAAAAGTAAATTCGATGCTTAAAAATGGCTTAATGACTTATAAGGAAAAAGACCAATCTTTTGTATAGTCACAATGACCACAGCACTTTTCAAATGAGATCAATTTTACATTTTCAGCCTATATTACAACTTGACTCCAGATGACCTTTGACCTTGGTATGTGATTGGTGGATCGTTGATCACGTCATTGAATTATTTGTCCCATCGCAGGTATGGGGAGCACGCGGTGCGCAACGCACAGTGCAAGAAGTTCTATTTGCACGGTGAATAGAACTTCCATTACAAGGTTTCAGTGCTGTGACACGAATCTATTTCACAAAAAGTGGACGTTTTGCGAGACTGAAACACTATTTGCTCTCCCAACAGAAGATGAAATACCAGAACTTGTAGGTGATGCTGACACTGCTAACACACAGAAGCAAATAAAACATGCTGCCAAACGACTAGACAAATTTGCAAAACATACAGGAACATCTGTTGAAGCATTATACTGATTCACAACTGAACAACTTCTTGTCGCAATTTTACTCGGGACTGAGAAGAGAAAACGCGGCACACTATAGCAAATGACGAGGATTTATTCAGGTGTTGTATAAAACAAATACTGCATGTTTCGTACTCGTGCAATGGTAAGAATAATTTCATTCAGTGAATTCGCCTCGTGAAATGGAACATTTCATCTGTCACCTCATGACATTATTCTTACCATTGCACTCATGAACATTCATTATTTGTGATGTGATCAAGCTACATGAGTCGTTTGTCGACCCTGGTCAAAACAATTTTGATTACAGATTTGAAAAGAGCACAATATCAGCATTACTGCTGTGAAAACCGCATGCTGGTACCATCTTTAGTTAAAAAATTATGGAAGTTGGAACACCGAGATGTGATGAAGTGATGTGATGAAGTGGCCCTATTTTGGCCTGTATCTCCAAATAAAAATTCCCGACAAACGACTCATTTAGCTTGATCGCATCACATTTGTATATCTCACCTTTGTAATCAGACAATTTGACGTCTTTGAATTCCCCATTCAGTCCGACAGCAGTTCCAGAGAAGTCTGGGGCTGGTTTGGTGATCTGGCATTTTCCAGCCGACATGGTGATTAATGATGTATGGCGTGGTTAACTGTGAAAAAGGCAATGACAGGATAGCGTTTGACACGTCTCTCTTAGACTCATATTTTCTAAAGGCATGCCTTCAACAGGCCAGCCAACTCTCACGCATTGGGTGTGAGACTCACGCATTTCAGGTTATTCTCACCATCGATCCTACACACGAGGATGAACAACTCAGCCAAACTCCTGGCTAGACGCGTGATAACGACCCATACATGTGGCAATTACCATGAATACTTTTCAACTAAGACCCAGACAGCTTAACCACTTCACTGCGCGTGGTGGCTTTCAATTTTGCAGAGCTCTGCGCTTGATCTGGTGTCGAATTCTGTCAAGCCAGTTAATTATATTTTTGAATATTCATGATCCTGTTTTTGAGATTTATTATTGAATTATGGTAAGTGATAACTACATAACCATGTTAACGTCAAGCACAATATCTTTAACTTGAAATATACTATGAAATATCGCATTTGTATCATCGGTTTGGGACCACATCCCTCTAAAACTTTTCGATGAAAGATTAATTAAAAGCAAGATTTGGGTAAACGGTGTTATCCTTAAAAATGGTGTCACATTTGACGTTTATTTCCCGGGTAAATACTTCATCTGTGATTTAAAAAAAAAAATACCATCTGTTATATCATGAAGTATTTATTTTGTATCAATTTTGGAACAAAATTTTTGATGTCATGCGAAAAACCGACAAAATGGCACACCAGGAACATTCGCGATAAACATGCCAACGGGTATTAAGGCTGTTATCATGCATTCAACCAATTAAGGTACTGGTTAGTCCATTAAGTGATTTTTGTACTAGAGCTCAGAAGTTACAGTCATTCATCCATCATGTGTAGGATCCGTGTTCTCACGCTCTCACGCCCACATGGGTTTTCTCACGCTAAAAAAACCCAAAAAATAGTTGACTTCAAAATCGAAAAGATGTTTATATGGTCAGAAACTCTCTAAGATCGCACCACAGAGTGTCTAGAATCAAACATTTTTCGGGGCCCTTAACTAACCCCCACAGGGTATTCTCTAGGCACCCTGCCAAATGCAACAAAATGCAGTGCCAGCCTTGGTACCACGTACCTACCCTGCCAAATGCAACGGAATGCAGGCATGGAATGCATGCAGATCAGGACACTGCTAAATGCAACAACTTGCAACAATTTCTTACAATTGGTGCATCCTGTTGCATTTGGCAGGGTTAGGGTTAAACGGGGCCCTGAAAACCCCCCATGCCAGTTTAGGGCTTTGCAACTCCATCGCAAACTTCTCACTCTCGGCTCTTACTCAAAGTTGGCACCCCAGCTTGAAAAATTCCAATAGGGACCGATCATATGACGTCAAAGTAACATGTGACCATCCATTTTCCTCATCATAGGCCACCATTGCAGTAGGCAAGCATTCAGTTGTCATAATCTTGCCGACCCAGCACTTGGTGTTGGCTCCACGTTTCCCTCACAGTGTTTGCCATCCATCACTGCTTTGAAGGCTTGCCTTCTACCTACTGTGGGAGGCGCTGTATATCTTTGCTTCCTACAATGGCGACGCTGACTTTCCAGTATCCAGACGTAGCCCAGGTCACGTGAGTCAGATAGAGAGCCCTTTACATTTTCTTGGTTTAAGAGAATGTTTGTCGGCTCACTTCGCTGCCGTTCTACTGCAGCCGTGGTGCAAGTGACTTGAGTCTTGAGTGGTGAAATTCTTATTGGGCTATTCAGCTATACTAGGATGGTGCAGAAGTGTAGAGATAGGTGGCCACCAAACAGTGCAGGACGACAAGAACGATGAACTGAGGGTGCGTTAAAAACATACTACTTGTGATGAGCTAGAGGAGACGTGAGCCTACAGGAAGCCTCATTCCTCTGATAGCTGGTAGGGCGGCGTCCTGGAAACTGGTTATGGAAGGTGACAGCACAGCAGCTGTTGGTAGCTGGTTCCATAATCGGATGGATCGTGGATAGAAGGAGTGTTTGTACGGGTTTATAGATGCATCTGGTAATGGTGAACTTCAACTTGTGGTCATGTCTTCCTATAAATAGTGCTGGTTGAATGATGGGTGGGAACTGTTGGACTTCAAAAATGTTTTGAAATTTTACCGCTGGTCGTGTTTCAAAGCTAAAACATGTTTGTCGCGCCTTGGGATCATCCCCGATTTTCAAAGATCAGCACTCGGTCGGTATTCTTGCCCCGTTGTTATTATGTGAGAAAGCATGTGAGCGATACAATATCGACTGACCGATCGTGGACGGCCTCTGTCTGCCGGCTAGCATGAGGTTGATTTAGACTTGTTCCTGGTCCCTCCATTGTCATTCTGACTTACGGTGGCGGGAATAAGTACGATCGTTCAGTGTCAATGAACAAAATGGTGCACAGGCAACTGGACTTATGCATTTTCTTCCACAGAAAAAAATATATACCATATCTGGGCATATTTGGAAGCCTATAAGGTTGTCTGAACCTGTAGGCTCTTCAACATGTATTTATGGGCAGATCGGACATCGTGGGAAGTTGCATTCCCATAGCTTCAGTTGGATGAAGACCGCCGTCGCGTGTAAATATAATTAAATGCTACTGTCGAGATCCCGATTGCAATAGCAAAATGGGGGGGGGGGGGAACACCTCAAGTGGCCATTATTAGTGAAAGCCAAATACACCTTGATTGATTGTCTCAGGAAGTCCAATACAGAAAACAAGAAAATATATTTACTCCTTTACCAGAAAAGCTAATGAAAGCCCTGTAGCTATACAGGGTGGAAAAAAAAAAAAAAACCAAGATTTCCATATACGAAGTTCACTCAACACCCCGTGTACAAACCCTATGAGATTGGACTGAAATATTCTAAGTGTTTTCTAAGAAAATGCTTGTATTTTCTCACTGCTCAAAATGACTTTGATGACATGAAATTGCTATCTGCCTTCTGGGGGCTTGTTAATGTTAAGGAAAGAATTCCATATGAGCCCTACGTACGCCACTACTTCCCTGCAATGACTTATCAGCCATTAGAAAGCGGTAACATGTCATGACATGTCCTAAAAAGTTAAATTTAGCAGGGTTAATAATATTGAAGCATGTAGTGTGAAAACAGAAATTTTCAGACCAGTCGCATAGGGTTTGTACACAGGGTGTCAAGTGACGTCCATATATATGGAACTCTCCGAAAATGATGAACCATGAAGATTCAGCCTACAATTGCAGTGAAAAGGAGGCATTACTGACAGCTGATCAAGTTGTGATCGTTGGCCAGAGTGTACAATGGTTTGTGTACAAACAAAATGTGTGTACAAAGGAATGGCAATGCGAGGTCGATTACCATGCACAGCGCATGCACCAGTCAAACTTGCCAACTGGTGCTGAAGCGCACACCCAATGACTGTTTGATGCACTACTGCTGCAGTAACTATGAGGCTTGTCACAGTATAACATCTTTGGACAGACGCTTGAGCGAGCTGACCAACATGAGTATCTCGGAGTTACTATCTCTCATGATCTCCGATTGGACAACCACTGCAATGGTTGCAGTTACAACTGTATGTTAACCAGTCCATGATGAATCTTATAAAACATGGTTAGTTTTGAGGCCAGGCGTCTAGTGTGGAGTTGCTCCCAACCTTATCTGCTATACAAGCCAGTCACAGATGTCATTCTCCGTAAGTCACTAAAGACAAATCGTGCAGCCACCCGATGAACTTGTTCGAGGCGGTTGACTGTACTGATCATGGTATACGGGTTTCAAGCTTCCGAAGCGTATTCTAGCTGAGGGCGTAATACTACTACTACTACTGCCTGGTAAGCTCTTGCCTTGACATTTTGAGTACAAGGAGACAGGGTACGGCAAAGCATTTCCAGAGTGCGACTAGCCTTCTGCCTGATCTTATTGCAGTGGTTGTCCAATCGGAGATCATGAGAGATAGTAACTCCGAGATACTCATGTTGGTCAGCTCGCTCAAGCGTCTGTCCAAAGATGTTATACTGTGACAAGCCTCATAGTTACTGCAGCAGTAGTGCATCAAACAGTCATTGGGTGTGCGCTTCAGCACCAGTTGGCAAGTTTGACTGGTGCATGCGCTGTGCATGGTAATCGACCTCGCATTGCCATTCCTTTGTACACACATTTTGTTTGTACACAAACCATTGTGCACTCTGGCCAACGATCACAACTTGATCAGCTGTCAGTAATGCCTCCTTTTCACTGCAATTGTAGGCTGAATCTTCATGGTTCATCATTTTCGGAGAGTTCCATATATATGGACGTCACTTGACACCCTGTGTACAAACCCTATGCGACTGGTCTGAAAATTTCTGTTTTCACACTACATGCTTCAATATTATTAACCCTGCTAAATTTAACTTTTTAGGACATGTCATGACATGTTACCGCTTTCTAATGGCTGATAAGTCATTGCAGGGAAGTAGTGGCGTACGTAGGGCTCATATGGAATTCTTTCCTTAACATTAACAAGCCCCCAGAAGGCAGATAGCAATTTCATGTCATCAAAGTCATTTTGAGCAGTGAGAAAATACAAGCATTTTCTTAGAAAACACTTAGAATATTTCAGTCCAATCTCATAGGGTTTGTACACGGGGTGTTGAGTGAACTTCGTATATGGAAATCTTTCCGCACAAAATACCGGCAACATTACGTGCCGACGAAGGGCTCATGTCGAGTCGAGTCCATGACGGTGACCGGTATTATGGACGGTCCTGCAGACACGTGGACGCGCATCATTTTCCTTCCTCATTCTCGCGAACAATCTCCTTATTTTGTGGGGAAACAGTCATGGCCATTAAAATATACATACAGCAGAAAATATAGCTAAAATCCTGAATAAATACACCTACCTTTTACTGCGTCGGTAACTGTTGTTTGAAATGACGACTGACTGTCAATGTCAACGAGACGCGGTACGGTGCCGGTGACTGTATTTTATGATTTTATGTAACTTTAGCTTTACAATGAAAATCTGATGCGGCATTTACGTGCATAATACATAACGCAACGCTTTGTAATCGTGCAGTGTCCAGTCTAGTTGATCAGCACGTGCGGTGACCATTCTTACCTATTTATAATAATGGAATATACCTTCTAGGATTTTTATACCGGAAAAAGAAGTAGTTCATGACATTTTATTGATTAATAATTAATATTTTATTTTAGCACGGTATTTACATGAGATAATTTGCAGTTTAAGTTCATTAAATTGGAAATTAATAACTAAACGAGAATCGTCTACTTTTACAAGAGGTAAAATTGGACTGTTGCGTTTTGGGTCGACAGAGGGCGCCATTAATACGCAGCAGCGCCAGAAAAGTCTAGAAGGTGGCGGTATGTGGGCCACACGGTGCTGATCGACCCTCCGGTGGCGCCAGAACTTTTTTTTTTTAAAGGAATTTAAAGTTCCCATCCCTCCCCACGATAGGCTAATGCGCGCTTTGGGCCACAGATCAGAGATCTTCCCCCTGAACCCATACTCTGGGTAACATCCTATAAAAAAAATAATAAAGCACTGAATGAAGTTTCATTCTTTTAACTTCATAATTATTAATGCTCATCCCCAGTATCGGGACTTGTGTACAAAAAAAAGAGACCCGGACCACTTTTTCTTATCCGAGTCCAGTTTCTGGCAGAATTATTTGTTGATACGCGTTTCAACAAATACTGTGGGGTATTTTTTTCTGCATGCACGATCTTATATTTGGTTTAAATATACACACTTGGCATCACCACGTCCGTGACAGGAATCCTGAAGTCCTTTTTTTTCGGTGGAAGAATGTCATATTTATTATACTGCCTTGTCCAGACAGCCTAGATACTCCCTTCCTTTTAGCAGCTTGGCGACCCAGCCATACATCTGGTGTATCTTCCGCGAGGCTGTGAGGAGAACCCCTCCCTCGTACGTGAGCATCAGCAGCTTGATGCCAACAAAAACCCTTCATGATGCGATTAATTTACCATAGTCAGTGCATGGTCGACTCTGACAGCAAAGAATGTTATGTGTCTCTCTTTGACCATGAACTTAATAGAAGCTGCAGGCTCTTAGGTACATGGTCCAAAGACGGGAACAAGCTCGGCATACTTGCAGCTTATCTGCAGTTTAAATTTTCGTAGACGTCGCGTCCCGCGCAGATCCAGCATATGCAGTCCCCGTACGCTAGGCCATGGTCACGGTGCTGCAGGCCTCGGAAGGCTTCTTCAGCCTCCCGGTGGCTATCCAGACAAGACAGCCTTCTTCTGTCCTCAATGGCTACATCAGTCAGTGTGCCAGCAACAAGCCTTTGCCCCAACACATCGATGGCAGAAGTATCCCGCCCCTCGTTCTCACATTCAACCCTGCGGCGGCGGCAAGAAACTAGGTGCGGCAACAACAACAACGACGACGAATCGGACGACAACCAGCAGCAGCAACAGCAACAACAGCAACAACAACAGCAACAACAACTTGACAACAACAACAACAACAACACGGTCAGCAAGGCCATCAGTGCACCGTGGCGAAAAGGCTGTGCGGAAGTCAGTAGTTCTGCGAGTGGCCGCGACGGACACTGGACCCTCACATCCGGGTCGGGGAGGCCTTCCGGTCCTCTGCAGTGGGTCTCCTCCAGCGAAATGGGTGCATCCCTGAGTGAAGTGTCACGCACAGCTTGCTTTGCAGGCACTCTGTCATCCATGCGTGCCATGTGACCCATCAGGAGCTGCAGTCTGCTCTGTCTGATCCGGGTTGTCAGTGATGTAGGAGTTGCCGGACCGGCTGCGTACCTCCTCGTTTGTGACAGGATGAAACCATCTGATCTTCAGTATGGAACGTATAGGCATTTCCGATGGAATGCATCCATGGTTGAGCAGCTAGCAGCAGACAGGGTTCACTAGAATAGAGAAGAACTGGGATGACCGTAGCTTCGAAGAGGCGGAGCTTAGTTGCTGTACTGATGACGGTGATTTGCCAAACTCGTTTGAAACGGCCGAAAGTACTTTAATTGAGCCACACCGATCCGTCTCCTTACCTATGGTTTAATATAATTCTTGTATAATTTGAATAAGTTTGAGATTGAGGCTAGCACGTACGATGTCCGATAGGGTAGGCGGCAGTCAGGTCGATGAAGATGCTCCAAACTTCCGTTGGAAGGCAAATTCAGGATCGTTCACTAGATGGGCGATTTGGTCGGCTGTTAATCTGCCTTTGCGGAAGCCAGCTCGTTAATTCTTGAAGGTGGCTCTTTAACTTCATTGATTCTGGCAAAGATGACTCTTTCCATCATACTGAGGAGGGAGATGGGCGGTAACTGCTGGGGTCATAGGCAAGCTTCCTGGGCTTGAGAATGGCTATAACTGTTCTTTGCCTCCAGAAGAAGAGAAGCCGAAGGATAAAATATATCAGCATTAGGCCTAATCCCGGTATCCAAATTAAACGTCATGTTTTGGGTCATATCTGTACTTTTTGGGCCAGCCAAAAGGCCAATGGATCGACATTTCGTTGGAACTAATTAGATAACTTATGGATGAACAAAAATAAAAGGATTCTGACAAGAAGATTTCCCACAGTAACGCAGCCTCTCGTGCCGGAAGAACGTAACTTCTACTGTACAGGGCGAGTAAAACAAAATCTTAGTCCCCTTGGATTAGTTCTTGTCTCCCACAAGTTGTGTCCGTGTCCTCATGTCTGCAACAGCTGTGCGGACCATCCGGGCTTCGCCTCAAATATGCATTGCTCTGAATGGCAGACAGAATGATGGAAGGTCGAGCAGCAGGACAGTGAAAACGTGAACTTTGTCTGCAATTTAGATTCAAGTTCAATAAATGTAGTTCCATTTATTTCAAATCCTGTTCTGTTGTTCCTTTTATTTCCTTCATTGTCCAGAGGCCAATTGTTGCTACTGTGTTGATAGCAAGAGGCCTATCTGAACATTGTGTTGGTAGTGTTTTCGGGTAGTCACAAAGAAAGGTGTGTAGGCCTAGGCTACTCATGCATGGCTGAATATCAGTGAACATTTTACTGAACGTGGCCAATACCCAGACCGATTGTTGGCTGAAAAATAACCCTGGTAACTTTTCTAGGTTTGTGGGAGACAAGAACTAACCCAAAGGGACATTTGTTTTTACTCACCCTGTACAAGATTTGGAAGACAGACGGTATGTGGATGAGTGGAGACGGAAAATCCTATGGAGTGGTTTAAGTTACAGAGGAGAGAGTAATGGAAAGACAGATACCCATTTAGTCGGACCAAGTCATTTACAATATTTCTGGCAATAATGAATTTATTTCAGCGAAGTTTTGCATTTTCCTATGTGATTTTGACATTACAAGTCATTGAAAATGCCTAACTACTAAAGTCTTTATACATCATCAAGATTGTTGCATTTCGTCTTTTGCAAATCGAATTTCTTTTACATTACTTTAAAGAAAATATTGTCTTAAGTGACAAAAGTACTGACGAGTAGGTTTAAAACCTGATGGTTGGTGCTACGTGCATTGCGTTGTTCTGGCTACTTGTGGCATTGCTAATGGACCGATCCAGTAAGCACCGCCCCATGGTGTTCAGACCAATCACAGCCGTGATTTAGGTCCGACGTGCGTGCACAAAAGTCCGACATGCGTACGCGTGCACGCGCGTATGATGCGCGCGGCAGGAAAATGCAGTGTGGCATTGGAGAGGAGCAAGTGTCAATAGAGCGCTTGCAGACGCGTTCGATAATCGACGCGCGAAGGCGCGCGACGCCATGTTGTGGGACAAGCGCATATCTATCCATGCACATTTTGTTCCACAACATGGCGTCGCGCACCTTCGCGCGTCAATTATCGAACGCGTCTGCAAGCGGTCTATTTGCCCAGTGCGCAGTGGGCGGGGCTTACTGGATCGGTCCATTCTCTACATGTGAACAATTAACATAAACATGCATAATATTAACATGCAAACCCCGTGTTTATGTCTTTTGCCGGAACCCGTCTTAAATACACCCAAAATCCAACACTCTGTTGATATTGGAAAGCAGCCTTTGACAGATTTAGAGAAGAAGGAAGGTGAAAAAAAGTCAATGAATTGAAATGTTGTTTCATATTTTATCACTACCAATTACTCTATCCTGGTGAATGTTTCACTGGTATTTCCCCTTTTTCCGCAAGCATAAAGCATTTACTGTAACACAAACTAATTATAAAACCTTTCACCATTTTCGAAATGCCATTTTCGATACACCACAAACGAATGGAATTAATTTAAAAGTGTAATGAAAGTTGTATTTGTTTGGTTTTTGTACCAAGTTTGTTAAGGCTGTGAGCTGATTTACTTGGAATGCCTACATTGAAGCATTACCGATCAGACCAAATGATTCCAAGATAACAAATCTTAGTGCTTCACCTTGAAAGTTTGAAAGTTAATTCAACGGGAGCTGCTAATAAATTAGTTAGTATAGCTGTTAACAAATGTTAATAGCTGTTAATAAAATGTTAATAGCTGTTAATAAATGTAAATAGCTGTTAACAAATGTTAATAGCTGTTTAACAAATGTTAATAGCGGTTAGCAAATGTTAATAGCGGTTAACAAATGTTACTAGCTGTTAACAAATGTTAATAGCTGTTTGTAAATTGTCACTTAAATATCTCTCCTTACCCAAATGACAAAATAAAGCACTAAAATGTGACATGAAACACGGGAATTATAACAATGTGCAAAACTAAGCCCTCAAAATATATTTTAACAAGATTAGGTCAAACTGTTACTACTTATAATATTTACATTACACTGATTTCAAGTTATGATGTTCACATTTGGTCAACAAATCATAAATATAATTATGGTTGCACGCAAGCCAATAGAATTGACGTCTGTACTGAATTATTAAAAAAATAAGTATGTACCATGTACAAAAATGACCAGTTGTAAATGAAAACTAGTAGAAATATAACTATTAGTATATTAAGCATATTTTACCCCAAACCTAAATTCTTACTGCTCAATTTAACAGTGTCAACTGCATTGTGAAAATTAAATACACATTATTAATTTGCATATCTGATCATCCATAGCCTTTAGAAAATGGAATCCTTAACATATTTTTTTTACCATGTACAAAAAATGACCACAATAAAGAAAGAAGAGTGAGATTCTGGTGAAAAAACTGAAACTACTGATGAAATGAATATTCTTTGTATAACAATTAAACCAACATTTCTTATAGATGATGTCACATGTAACACAAACATTTTAGTTTGCACATCATTTTTGCAAAACACCTTAAAGGCAGAGTAGATCATTTGCAGCTATCCATAAAGTAAATTAAAAAAGCTAAATTAGTTTGCACTAAACTCCCTGTGAAACTATTCATTCTGACATGCTGTCATTTTAAAGAAAACAATAAAAAGAAGGTCCTTTCCAAAGATGAGTCAAGTGACGCATTTTTGGAAATTTCCGTTACTATTTGGTTTGGAATTGCATGGGTGCGCGCAAGCGTTGTCATGCTACACACGATCGAGCGCACGGTTGCTATTATTCGTCGGTTCAGTGCATGGCATTGCATAGCTGCAATCGGCTGAATAAGAACGTATTCCAGATTGTTTTCTCGGAATATACAGCATTCACAGAGCTAAAACTTCATCAGGTTAGTTGTTAAGCACCCGTCTTTAGATTTTAAGCACTTTTGTCCTTTCTAACAAACAGATGCTAAAATGACAAATGCTCTTCTCTATCTTTAAGAAAATGACAACACAGTGATTACCATTGCATGATACGTGTTTGACAGGCGACATTTGTACCCCCAAAAGAACAAAATTTCAGCTGACTACTAAATTTTTAGGACTATTTAATGGGAATATTTAAAAGAAGAGAATTAATTGCTCCAAAATTATCTGTTTCAGATCACCATGTATATACATGTAAAAATTAAATGATTTACTAAATCACTAAATATTTCAAAGTAACTATTTCAGTTTTAATAAAGCTGTTTTTTTTTAAGCAAAGTTAAAATATATGAAACAAGTCTATTTTAATGTAAAAAGTTCAGTAGTGAGGAAGAATATATTTTATTTAGCATAGTGAGAACATATTTAAAAAAACATGATAAACATCTCTATATATGATTTTTCCTTCAACAAGAATGTTTCAGATGCGTTCCTGGTGCTTTCTTCGAGTTTCATTTCCAAAATAGATTCCATTCGTTAGTTGCTATTTTTTTTCTAACAATACAAAAGTTTTTTCACTTTTGAATGAGGTATCGGCCGAAAAAATGGCAGGAGGTCAGAAATTGAATGATTACTTAACAGTTTTGAATAATTGCCTGCCAGACAATAATTCGGTTCTTGCGTGGTAGGCTGGTTCCCGCCCCACAATCAGTATCAATAATGTACGGGAGACAGTCTGCTCGCAAATCAGATCTGTTTGAGCCCAGATTAAAAAACTTTTTTTTTGGTTGGAATAAAACAAAAGTCAAGCATTTATTACAACCACTTTGGGCCAGGATTATTTTTGCCGAAAATTTAGATTTTCGCAAACGGCAAACTTTTCCAGCCAACTTCTGATATACAGCCAAACGCCACAAATGCTGATTCGCAAGAGGCATTTCAACAGTATTTGTACGATATTTCTTGCCGAAACCTCATATGTTTCAATACTCCGGGTGTGCACCGGAGCGTAAATTGTACAACAATAGGCCGTGCACAACGGCCAATTCAAGATCAACACACGGTCTGCTTCCACTGACTTGTATGAGTTTGTTTATGGTGTAAATCGAGGACAAACACGTGCAACATCATTGGTGCAACGAGGACAGGAACCAAATCGAGGACGAGCTCGATTAGAGAAAAAGTGTACAAAACCAATGAGAGCTGTTGCCAAAAAGTTAGAGTACAAACAAGGGAAAAGGGAAGAGGAACAAAAGCAAATCCTCGATTAACACCATAAACAAACGTGCTTGACTTTGTGTGTGTACAAAAGACACAAGGGATTAGCGTTTTTAGATGTCACCCAGAGGCGAGTGGCGAGGCAATCTTCACGTCTTAACCCGTCAGCTGTGCCTTTGTATAAAAACAGCCAGTGCCTGTTATCATGTTCTCCGACGAAAACTTGTTAAAAGAAAAACCTCGAACTTGTTGAAGAGCACGGGGAATGCACCTTTAACAGTGTTGTTCTCTATGGCAGAATTATATCGATTTATTGGTACTGAAATCATTACATTTTGCATATTGCTCAATGGGCACAATTAAATTTGAAGGATATTCCTTGAGGAAGACAAAGTTATTTAATTTCCAAGTGAAGAGTTCAGGTTCCGTTACAATCGGGAGTTCTTTTACAGCTCGCAGAATGGACTCGTCAATATGCAGCTAATGACATCTTAGTAAACGCCATGTTCACCACTGCACTAGTAACATGTAGTTGGTGTCAAGAACCTTCAGCTCAATACGCTGTAGAAGTGTGATGTCATGCAGGGTCGTCTCCTAGAGCGACTGTTCCAAACAATGTCTGGTTTCCAATTTTCACCGTGCAAAACATATGGGAGCTTTAGGTGCACATTTTGTGGTTGAGATTTCTCAGACATTAAGAATAAGACTGGAAAATGGAACAGTGCTTTGAGCTGACTGTATTCATCACTCAGAATGTCACGGATGCCATTATTTTTTTTTCAAAGCGTAAAAAATCGATAAAAAAAATGGGCCCGTGCTATCGCTACGTAAGTCCAGGTTTGTGTGGAACGGTCGTCCCGAGCAACATGTGACTTCGGCGGCGTATGATCTACCCACTTCTACAGCGTATCGCTGTAACAGGTTCAATGTTAGTGATAAACAAAAAGATATATCACAGGCAAAAAAATAAAATGTCCATCTCTCTGCTTCGAAGCTGGTAGCTGAGGTTGAGTTTTCCTTTGCTAAAAAAATCCTGATGGCTGAAGCCCTTTAAAAGGGCGTTTCCTCTGTGTCTTCTGATATTGGAAGATAGGAAGACAAAGTGACTTCCTTGTCAGGCTCAGTCTCAGCCTGGAGAACCTGGTCAAGATTTGACATCTTCATCAAGGTATCGTTGATTTGTCCCAACTGATTTCCTCTCGGCACTAAGCAATCGTCTAAGACCTCTTCGTCACTCTTGTTCTCCTCCTCTGTCGGGGGGCTCCTCCGTGATTTGCCACGGGTGGAGGAGTTCCTGGTGTTGCCGTTCTGCGACTGCTCTAACTCCTCCTGCGAGACCTGGTACATGGGGTTGGTGAAGCCTCGGCTGTCCTGCCTAGACAGTTCAGGGAACCCCCCTCCGGGGTAGGCGGCGGGTGAGTGGGGCTTGGGTGCCGCGGGGGTCTTTCCCGGTTTGTCATCGTGGTGAATCACACCGGCGTAGATGTTGGCAGCAGCGAAGGCGAATCCGCCGATGGTGCTGTTCTCGGGGAGAAACTGCATTGTGTCCATAGCTATTCGGAAGGGAAAATGCAAGACAGAAAGACAGTAAACTACATGTTCATTCATTTAACCCATTACTCCCTGCACCGCCTGAAACCACGCGAGTACTCTATTGTTTTAGGCATTCTTCAGGGAGTAAATGCAATGTAAGGCAATGTAGTACAGGTACTATTATGGGTTAATATAAGTAGGGAAAATGAGGGGGGGGGGGGAAGGAGGGGACTGCAAAAAGTACTAGACTCTTGAAAGAGTTGACCAATGGAAGGAAAAGTTGCATGGCTATAAAATGGCTTGAAGGCTTTATAATTAGCACTTGTATTACATTGTACTACATTGTATTTACTCCTTGATAAACCCATAATACCAATATGTGCTGGGGCAGTTGGGGCAGTATAAGAAACAATAGGCAGTGGACTTTTGGGCAGTACAAGGATTAATTGGTTAATGAAATAAAAATAAAAAAATCCTGGATGATATAAATTGTCCTCTCCTTTTTTTTCTTGAGAAATTGAAATTGCTGCAAACTGCTATTTACCAAGCTGAAATAAACAAATTTTCAAACATTCTCAAAGCTTTTAAGAAAGTCTATTGTGGGAAGGAAACCCTCTGATTTTTTCCTTGTTTGATCGTTAGTGGGAGTGTGGCCTAGTGGTTAGGGTTCGTGACTCATGATCAGAGGGTCAGGGGTTCCAATCCAGCTGCTGGTCATAAGTTTTGTCCTTGGGCAAGCCACTTCACCCCCACTTGCCTCTCTCCACCCAGGAGTATAAATGGGTACCGGCATTCAGGGGTGGATCCAGGATTTTCAAAAAGGGGTGGCACAAAAACTTTGTGCGCGTTGCACACATAACGAGACTGAAGCACGAAATCCCTTGCGGGCGGGGTTGAGGGCACTGGAAGCTCTACGATTTTAGATGTTCTCTCCTACATCATGAGTATTTTAAGCCATTAAGAGCAAAATTCGCAATGTTTATTTTTTAATTTTAATAACACTAATTTTTTCTATCAAATATAGAATTTAAAGTCACTGTTGATGTTAGTTGAAAATGAACCCCAAAATTAGAAGGTGCTGATGACAGCCCCCGGGTGAAAAGAAATGAACATGTGTTATTTTGCGAGAGAGCGGAGCGAGCGAGCCAAAAAAGTCATGTTTGCTATTAAAACATACATTTCTACCCAGAAACTTGCCTTGCAAACAAATAAAATAAAATAAATTGAATTTCATTAGGGGACAACCTGCCCCAAGCAGCCCCTAACCCCACCCCACCCCAATTTGGTTGATGTTATTGTCGTTTCATTTTTTTTTTTTTTTTTTGCTTGCATCATCATTAATAATATCCTTTTCGTTTTGCCCCTCTCCTTACTTAGTATATACACTAGTCTTGTATACACTTTATCCACCATTTTTTCCATGTTCTTTTGAAGTCTGCAGGCTAAATAATTTAAAGGGAAAATACAACATTTGCAAACATCGAAAAATAAAACTACCAAGTTGTTACGAAATACCTTACTAGGATGTTGGTAAATGACATGCTAAAGCATCCTCTAAAATTATGGCACCTGGTGTGAAGCCATTTTCAAGAAAATGGTATATTTGTATACATTTCCAACGCTGGTCGGCCGACCACCGTTGGAAAAACCTAACTATTTTTCAATTACTGCTCCAAATTTACCATTTTTTTTTAGTCTAAATTTTGTTTAGCTAGCTATTGGTTCCATGTTCATGAACGGGTGCAGGCCAGCTAGACTGGTTCCCTTACCTTACAATTTTCCGGTATTTTTGATCCATTTCATCTTTAGTGGAGTCAGGGAACCAGACTACTTGAATATTTTTGTTTTTCTTGGTTTTTCCAGCATTTTCGAACACAAAACGTCAAACATGTCAGTGCAACAATATTTGATCTATTATAATAACCCCCCAAATAGTTCATTTCTGAAAATTACAGCAAAAGCCAATGATGTACATTGACGAAATGAATCGTCTGCATTCTGCAAGTGTTGTCGAATCACTTCAAGAAATGTCAAGGCCTGAGGAAAATTGTTTATTTGTATTTTTGGGGGGGGGGGGCTCCGATTTTCTTAAAAAGAAAACAAAAAACAATCTTTTATTTAACGGAAATGCAAACTGCATCCAAATTCCAATTTCCAAAATATGAAAAACTTTGCCTACACAAATTTCCCGAAAGCGGCAGCATTCCTGAGCTGCCGCTTTCACATACAAGGTTTCAAAATAGTCACATACAAGATTTCTGGCTACGCAACCAGCAGTCCCAGGCATCACAGAGGAGCCTCCTAGCAACAGTATTTCTAAGCAACCAGGTTGGAATGTGATGGGCATGCAGCCATGCACCTGTGGCTCAGATAGCTAATCACTCCAGTTGCGCGTGGAAGGAAGTCATATTCATGAAAGCAGACGGTCCGTGATGAAAGTAACCAATGGCATATTTATTGTCGGGAACCAGCTCATTTCATTGGCTGAGATACTATCATCACTGTTTATCATCTTAGAATCTTCCAATTACTGGCGGCAAGTTCTCAAAGGCCTTAAAGTTCGGTGGCCTACAGCTGAACCCAAATGTATATGCTTTGTAACAAACAAGAGTGGCATTGTATCAATTTGAACAATGCGGCTATCAATCATTCTCTGGAAAGGCTTTTCGAGCTGAGATTTTATTTGGGCATTTTTCTCAGAGACAGGGGAAAACTTTATGCGAAAAATGTGAAATTTTACCTCCGTGTTGTGTACATGCACATAGATAAACGATTGGGGGATGATATTCCAAGTCCAAATAATTCATTAAATGTAGGGCTCCCGATGTCTTTTTTTAGTAGTACGATTTTATTCTTCGCTTATTTAAAAAATAAAACTGCATGGCCTACATTATTTTTGTAAATGTTACTCTAGAATATAATTATTTCGGAATACATTTTGAAATTAAGTTTGAAGTCAAAGGGCTGTTGATAATCTTATTCGTATTCCTTTTAAAATTAGGAAAAACTAAGCATAATTCGTATTAAAATTTCCCCTGGAATCTACAAAAGAATTAACTGAGAGTTCAGAACTTAATGGGCTAGGGTGTTTGAAATCGTTTTACTTTAAAAATAAATCGAGAGAACAAGACATACTAAATCGTGTTAAAATAACCCCTATTTATTTGATGTCTCTCTCTATCTGAGGCTGGGACAATATTAAAGGGATGACGATTAATTCTTCGTGTATTTAAAAAATAAAGCGCATGGCCTACATTATTTTGTGAAAATGTTTTACTCTAGAATATATTTTGGAATATATTTTGACGCTATTATTTGAGGGATGTTGTTAATCCTGATCATATTCATTCAAAAATAAGAAAAACCGAGCATAATTCGTATTAAATTTCCCCTGGAATCTACAAAAGAATTAACTTAGAGTGCAAACTTTAACGGGCTAGGTTTTTTTTTAATCATTTTGCTTTTAAAAAAATATTTCGAGAACCAGATGTAAATCTCTCTCCGAGGCCGGGAAAATAAAAAAAGGGAATGACAATTTTATTCTTCATTTATTAAAAAACACATCGCCTACATTATTTCGTGTACCGGTACATGTTCTACTCTAGAATATATTTTGGAATATATTTTGACATGAAGCATTAAATGCAAGTGCTGTATTAAATGTGCCCCCTATTCCAGCCGGGAAATAGAAAAGTGTCTTATAAAAATATATTCTTGCTTTGAAAGAAATTTTGAGACAATGATTGACAGGCGACCTTCAAAACTTATACATTGTATATTTTTGTTGATAATTATGTACGATAGTTATGTTCAAAGCGATTGATTTGATGACCGCCAGTCCGCCCGCCATAATGACTCCTCAAAAACGAAAAAGATAGCCATGTTCTCAAAGGGATGTATTTAATGCCCGCCCGCCCTAAGACGACTCTTAAAAAAAAAAAAAAAAAAAAAAAGGTTGCGAAAAGGGGGGGCACGGGCCGGGTGTGCCCCCATCTGGATCCGCGCGTGCCGGCATTAGCCGGGAAGGAACCTGCGATGGACTAGCATCCCATCCAGGGGGAACGGAAATATTCTCAGTTGTTTCATGACACTGAAACCGGAGATAAACGCCGGACTGATGGGCCTCATTGGCTCGTGACAGACTGTACTTTTGTTTGTTTGTGTCTTTTGTTTTTTAATGTCCAATCTCACAATCTTTTCGCAGCACAGATGGTTTCCCCTTTATCACAGGACCTCATTTTTTTGCATCATGCTTTCCGATTGTCTATCAGTGGTTAATGAGGTACCTCACACTGTAAGACCGAAGATTGAATCATTTCTGGACAGAACTTACTTGGCGAGACGATTTGCGGTCCATCAGGCATGTTGATGACTGTGACCTCCATGCCGTCTGCCTGCTCCTCATGGTCATCCAATCCTGCTGTCTGCTCCTTGGCAAAGTTGATGAACACCTTGGAGCAAAAAAAAGAAATCAACTTTTTTGTTAAAGATATGTAGGATCATTCTCTTTTGTTTGAAGCAACAACTTTGCTCAAAAATCTTCAGAAGGGTGGATGTCAAGTTGATCACCTGACCTTTGGAACTTTTAGCTAGCGGCTCATGTACATTTGCGAAAAACAGAGAAAAAACATATGCAGCGTGAGTAACTCCAAATGTAGTGTCCGAAACCCAAATGTCAGGTCATTTTTTTAGTGAATTTCTGCATGTATCACTTTCAAAATCTAGGATATTAAAACCCAATTCATAAGCTTTCTTTTAGTACATTAGAATCATTCGAATCACTCATGTAATTTTCAAGTTACGGAATTTTAAACACAACCACCATTTTAAAGTTCTGTCCATGGATCAAAAGGTAAGTGTTCTTTCAGCAAAACGAAAGCAAATCACATAGGGATGTGTGTGAATTATTTTCGTTTTGCTGAGAGAATGCACTTTTTTTTGTGTTACCCATAGAGAGAACTTTATTATTACCCCTGGTCACATTCCAAATACCATCTCAGCTCTCTGGGAATATACAGCTCGATGCTGCCTGCAAAGCAGCTACGATCAATCACAATAACCATCTCTGCCCTCACAGGTACCCATTTGCTCTTGGGTGGGGAGAAGCAATGAATGACAAAGTGCCTTGCCCAAGGGCACACGCACCATAGCCCCAGGCTGGACTCGAACCCACAACCTGCAGAATTACCCACAGACCACGAATTCAATACTCCAGACCTAGAGGCCACAGCACTCATTTCACTGCATACTTCATTTGAAAAACGAAAATAGTTGACAACCTACCTGGTCCAATGTTGTCTGGCTGACGGAGTAATCCTCGATGCAGAATCTCTGCTTGTTGGCATCAAAGGCACCGAAGAGCTTGGCCAGGGATGCGCTGGCGGACGGCATCTGGTACTCCAGCATGTTGAAGTGGCGCTCACGGAGTATGGTGTACGGGAACGTCTCAGCCACAAACAGCATCAGGGGTTCCATGATGGGCGGATCCCCGCCCACTCGGATGGATATGGTGTAGCCGTCACCAAACCTTGGCGAATCAACAAAAGTTGAACATAATAACAGAGTCTTATAAAGCGCACGTATCTACCAACAATTAGGTTCTCAAGGCACTGGAAATTATGTCAATTATTAAAGAAAGCTAAATAAAGTTTACGAGAAATAATGATTCACAAGGTGCTGTGGCGCATATTGCAGCCACTGCCAGAAACACCGGGGCAAACCCCTTCTCTTAGCGATAAGTGCTACTGGGTTTCTTTAATGTGCATTACACAACACACGGGACTTACGGCTTTACATCCTATCCAAAGGATGAAGCAATAATGGTAAAGCGCCTTGCTCAAGAGCACAAGCACCATGTTCCCACGGTCAGGATTCGAACTCATGTACCATGGCACACGAGTCGAACACCGTAACCATTGGACCACAGCGCCCCCAACAATGAAAAATGTGTGGTTGACATCGCAACAAGGGCCTTGTTTTCTGGAGAGGGGTACTTTATGTATTTTTTTAACCCAAAAAAGTTCACTCTGCCTTTCCAAAATTGGGTTTGAGTTGGGGGCAAGGGCGGATCCAGGGGGGGGCCAAAGGGGGCCATGGCCCCCCCCAAAACGAAACCAATTTTTTTTTTTTTATATGTGACATCGCAAAAAAGGCAGGCAATGAGTACACCACCATATTTTCCTCAAAAAAACATTGGTTAAAGTGGTCAGAAATTGCCTCAGATCGCACCACAGAGCATCTAGAATCCAAAATTTTTTCGGGGCCCTTAAGCGGGCCCCGAACCCCACGCCGTAATTTTTGGACCCACTTTTTTGGAGGACCAAAAAAATTTTTGGCCCCCCCCAAAATTGTGTTCTGGATCCGCCCTTGGTTGGGGGGACAGTGACACCATGCCTCCATACTTCCTCACCCCCTAGTTATGCTACTACATGCCCAATACATGAACATAACCTATTGAGAATTGGTACTGTACAACTGTAAGGGAAAACAAAACTTCAAATCAATTTTGTAGCAAAATACAAAGAGTCATCACAATGCAAGCTTTTCAAGACTACCAACTGACATACTTGGATTTGAGATGCTGTGTGCTGCCGATGCATTTGTATCGACCGTTGACCATGATGGCGACGCGGGTACACAGGGCCTCACATTCCTCCATACTGAAATCAAGACAGCCATTCAAGAAAACACATCTGAAAATATGGTCCTTACATGTCACCTGTCATCGCGAAATGAGCTCAGAGTTGGAAATTGCCATTTTTGCAGTTCAGGGGGCAAATTCAAAATACAAAGGAGTGGTCCATATTTTGTTTTCAGGCAAACCTCAATCTGCAAGTCCTGTTCTACCTTTCTCTAATTTCTTTGGTTCCATTGAATATCTTTAAATAAATTTTTATCCTGTTTTAACAGCTGACTGTTCATTCGCTGTACAACAACAGCTGGATTTTTAAATGTCTTTTTGCAGAAATTAGTTTTTACAGTTTCAAGCAAGTTGGCGGTCTATATCTGTTACTGTAATCAGTGGCCCTAAATGTTAAATACCATTAGAAAGCTCTTGTTCTGCAGAATGCAGATAAATGAATATAAATGAATAAAATAAATCTCAATTTTAAAAAAAGTCTGACGCAGGTCACACATGTGTGGTTTATTTGTTTTGAATTGCACCCACAAAGAAGTGCAAGTAACAACTTGAAATCAGCTAAAAATGAATAGAAAATTGGAAGAGTGGACTACCCATCCCTCCAGATTGTTTTTGTTTTTGTTTGTTTGTAAGATCAAACCTTAGCATCAGGATTCAGGATTGCAGTGTGTAAAATAAGATGACACATGGAAGCTGTGGAGAAGCAGCTGATAGCTCAAGAAAGTAGTTTGAAAAAGAGGCTGGGTGCTTCATCCCCACGAAATTTGAAATCCATTTAATTTCTTTTCTTACTTAATGTAAACACTGCATTAAAAAAAACAAACTTAATTATAAAGCAATATTTTAAATGCCAACTACTATCACTATATTCCCCTACTAACTGTGTCTAAATACTTATTCCATTTTGCAATATCTTTAAGAGACTCAGGTTTGTATTTGTTTTGGCAAAATTACAAAAAGTTCCACAAAATTTGTGTTAAAAATTATAATTAATATTAACAGCCAGTTTTTACCTGTGGGAAGTGAGTATGACTGAGCGGCCTTCCTTGATGATACTGGTGATGCGATTCCAGAGAAAGCGACGAGCTTTGGGGTCCATTCCTGCTGTTGGCTCATCCTAGAGGATAACATTTGAATAAAAATACAACTAACTGAATATTCATATGGAGAATTTTGCCACCCATATGTGCAGAAAATCAAAGCCCTGCATGCTCTGCGGTCACACACAACGGTGCATTGACCCGGCGACCTGCATAGCCCCACTGCGTAGACCGGACTATACATAAACAGCAGGTCGATCCTCAGAACAAAAGCGATGTCTGATTTGACAAGAAAAGTGCCCCTTGTTCTTCTCAACCAATCTAAACGGTTGTTACATGAATGGAAAGCTTATTATGTTATCTTTCAGAAACCGTGCGAGGTAATTGTATGCGACCGGGTTCACACGTGTGCTGTTCGAAGAAGTAAACCCGCACCCTCAAAAATCGGGGAAATGTGCCGTGACCTCCATAGGAAACACGAAATTTTCACTGAGTTGCCCGTTTTTCAATGAAAAAGTGCACATAATTATTCGCCTTTGATCATGAAGAAATTATATTCATGTGAAAGAGGAAAATCTGTAGTTTGTGATGCGATGCGAGGAAGTAAGTTAACCCAACACACTTTCCGCATATTAACAAAAATTTGCTCAGAGCGCCTAGACATGAGCCAGTCTTCCCACGTAAACAGAGCTCCACTAGTGGCGAGTGAGCAAATGCTCACTAGTTCTCCATATGTTTACTGAGCAAAGTTTAGATATCACACATTGTATTATTAAGCAATTCTTCCAGAGAATTACAACCTTTTGGTGTTTTATTATGAATCCTGATCAATGGGGTTATATTTAACAATTGTTCATTTATTTTTCTAATTCTTATTTTAACCGGGTAGCCCATTCAGTGGAATCCACTGGTCTCCCATGGGGCCCAGTAAAGAGAAGACAATGTGAAGAATTTACAATTTTAGATGTGGGAGGAAAACCCGAGAAGAATATTCTGAGGAAAATCCCCGGAATCAAGTAGGGACTGAAAACCCAATCCACATATTGGCCCAGGCAGGAATTGAACCCGGGTCACAGCGGTGGAAGGCGAGGAAAGTACCGCTACACCAACCTGACTACCCTTTATGATTTTTAACACCCAAGAGACACATAGCACACGAGGTGAAGCCGAGGGGACTAAAAATGACATATCCCACATCACAGCAGTCAACATTATTGGGCCTTATTCATGAGGTGGCCATTTTTGTCAAGTTCCCTGAATGTATTTCATTAATTGTTAACTGTTGAATGGGATGGCGCCAGATTATTTATGCAGGCATAATGCAGCCTTATTTTACAGTCAATTTTTTTTAAATCTGGCTTTAAACATTAGGGAACGTTTAATTACAAATTTGAAATTATTCATTGAAGCAGACTGGAATTAATTAGTAATTAACTTGCTTTCATTTCTCTACACAAGTTCCAAAAACCAAGATTTTACCTCACTCTCAATCCAATATGGCCGACTCGTGAATAAGGCCCATTGATTTGTTATATTGTGCCAATAAGCCTAAAAGATGACAGCTCGTGACTTATACTAGGCAAGAAATTAAAAAAATCACTGCAGTGAAATGTTTTGATGACTGCAAGCTTTCGTGCAAGAATTGAGGCAAGCAGCTACAATTCTCAGTCGCGAGGTGTGGGCCAGCCCTAAGGGTGCAACAGTGCAAAAAAATTCCCATAGCCACTAGTGCTAAATGTCCATACTTCAAAATTCTTTTAAAAATACTCAGAACTCTCACAGGTATTTAAGCTGCACAGAAAAATGATGATCAACATGTCATCTTTCAATTTCTTTTCATTTTTTGGTGGGTTGACCATTGACTTTTCGAGAAATTCTCGCCCAAAGAAGACGACCCCTATTTTCCCCAAAGCGGAACGGTAGCCATCTTGAAAAGCGATCCCTCCACAACATGGCAAAATAGCGCCACTTTCGAGCCCAATTGCATCCAAAATGCTCAGAATTGGAAGCCCCGGGTCCAGGCTAGAGGTTCATTGCCATATCTCTTCAATACCCCAATGTTATGGCTCTCAGAACTCTGAACATGACATAGCAAACGCTTGCCTGTACAACACTATTCTTCCGTCAGACCATTCAAAACTTTCAAAAACTCTCCTTGATGGAACCATTTGGTTAGAAATACTACAAGCAAACTTCAACTTGGCAGCCCAAGATCGCGGACTAACCAGGAATATAAGTTCTGGGTCTCCTATGAGGGCTATAGCTGTGGATAACTTCCTCTTGTTGCCTCCGCTGTAGGTGCCTGCGACGCGCTTGGCGTACATGGAGAGGCCCAACTTCTTGATGCCCCACTGTACAACCTGTGACGAGAAATGAAAAAAATTTGTTTGACCAAACGGCACAGATTAATTGCAACACTCAGCAGCCGACTTCACAAAACGGTGCGTAACTTACGCCATGTGCTGGACTTAAGCAACAAATCTGTTGCGCAGCTGCTGTAATAAACTTACGATCGATTTCACCAAACTTGGTGTAGCAGCACAACGTTTTAAATAATCTGAACATCTTGGACGAGGATAATAGCAGCATTTACGGCTGTTTGTCGGTCATGAAACAGTCATTTTGAAAATAGTTTTGTGGACTCATTTTGAAAATAGTTTTGTGGACTTTCATCGGAATCATGCGGCAACTCTACAAATTGTGTCATGAGTAAAAATAGCATTTCATTTACTTCAAACACAAAGCTGTGAGTGTCTTGTATCAACCTTGATAAGTTGTACAATGACAGGCTCCACAACATGTTGCAATCGTTGCAACGATTACAAATTCTTACGCCACCTAAAAGGATTGCGCAAGTTACGCCATAAGTTGTTGCGCAAGTCGTGGACTTATGCACTATGAAACTTGCGTAAAATCATCATAACTGAAATGTTGCGCAGCCTGAAATGTAGCGCAAGTTACAAAATAAATTGTGGTGCAAGTGGAGTTAACGCAATTGCGTAAAGTTTCATGAAATCAGCTGCAGAAAGTGCAGTTCAAGCCAAAAATTCTCAAAATCTAAGCTTTAGGACAACACCGTCTCTTCCTAAAAGAAGTGTATTTCTTTTTAAAAGTCATAATGACATTGTTATTTTGGAGGAAAAAAAGACATTTTCCAAAATATTAATGACATTTTTTCGCAACTAGCAACCCAATTTTATCGGAAACCCTGTTAAAAACTTCTACAAGTTACAACATGCATACTGGAAAAGAGTCCCCCCCCCCCCCCCCCGATTTCTGCAAAAATTTCAAGTTAACCACTAAGCTAAAAAAGAGAAGGTTAAAAAGCTATGAATGGTTCAAAAGCTACGAACTTGTGCAAAATCCTAGACCCACAAGCTTACAACTGAAATCAAGCCTGAACTTGATTGAGTTATGCCTTGGAAAGAAACTTCAAACAAGCCAATGTGGCAACATTTATAGTTTGTGTGCACAAATTTGAACAGGGTCCCCTAAGTTTTAGGGACCCATAATGTTCAGCCCCCCCACCCAACTTTTTAAAATTACCAAGGCTAGACAGACACTTTCAAGTTTTTATCCCGATCAACTCCCCTTATGCTATTATTATTATTTATTTATTTTTGGTATTAAAACCAAGGATTCCTCAAAAAGTGCCCTAGTCACTGGAGCTCGCAAACCTCAAGCAACCTGTAGAGAGGAGACAATGAGAAGCAATTACAGTTTTAGAGGCGGGAGGAAAACCCCCCTAAGAAGATTTCGAGGAAAACCCAAGGAATCAGGCAGGGACTGAAAACCCAATCTACATGTTGGCACAGGTGGGATTTGAACCCGGGTCACAGCGGTGGAAGGCGAGGAATGTACCGCTCCACCAACCTGCTACCAGTTGGCAAGTTGACTTAACAACTACCTTCCAGAGGAAACAAAGAGGTCTGTGATTCACCCCCGGGTGTGGTTGGTGAGTAGGGTGGGGGGGGGGGGGGGAGGAGGGGATAGCACAGGCTTCGCCACACCTACCTTGTTAATATCAGCTTCGGGAATCCCTCTGAGTCTGGCGTAGAAGGCCAGATGTTCCTCGGCCGTCAGCAGCTCATTCAGGGCGTCAAACTGCGGGCAGTAGCCGATGTTGTGTCGCACTTTCCTCATGTCCTTCAGGATGCTGTAGCCCTTGACGTAGGCTGAGCCCGACGTGACTTGTGTGTCTCCCGTTAACATCTTGAAGGTGGTGGTCTTCCCTGCGCCGTTCACTCCAAGAAGTCCAAAACACTGCAGGTGTTGTGAAAAAGTGTCGAGGCAAGAAGTGCTGTCAAATTTCGCCAGGTACATTTTTGCTGGTCCCAGAGTACATGTTTTTTTTAGTGGTTGGGGACAACCCAACCACTGTTTAGAATTGTTCTGATCAATCTTCTTTGTTTCTTTCCTTCTTTCTTTTTTTTTCTCCGGACAATAATTCTCCACAGGTTTTCTCCTAAACGGTTTAAGGTATGAACCTGTAACTTCTAACATATATACCGACTCTCGTCCCGAGTGGTGCACATTACTCTGACATCATGATGACGTCATCAGGTGTCAAATTATAAGCAATTAAAGATTTCTACATTTAATCTTTGAAAATCAATATAAAATCAACCGTGAGAGACCTGAACTTGACTGTTGCGGGAATGTGTGCCTATATCACGTGACCCTTCCTTCCGGTCCAAACCGGAAGTGCCTTATAGTTTGAAAGCAGAAAAAGATGTGAACCTGCTTTCAAAGATGTTAGTCTCTGGCTAGGTTGTACTTTAGAAAAAAATTACCATTGACGTCATAAAATGTTAGAACTCCCTCTAGCGGCAGGTTGAAAAATGTCAACAAACGCGAACCTCTAGTTTTTGTTGAAAATTTAACCAGTAATAAACTATATTTCAACAATGTAGGAAACAGATTCTCTGAATTTTGAAAAGTCAAAATGTTTACCTCTCCGTATGGAATGCCAACACATATCCTATTGACAGCAGTGAAGACTCCATTGCTTGTGTTGTAATCCTGGGGAAAAAATCAACTCATCATTTAACAGCAGTATTAAAGTAAACCTTGTTGTTCATGATAAAATCTACTTTTCAGATTTTTATAGAATTGTTGTCAGATCCCTTTAGTAAAAAGTGAGCATTCTTTGGGGTTAGACAAATTTCAGCACAATTCAGAAGTTTGTAGGAATAAATTTCAGAGAAGAGAATTTAGTTAACAAATCAAATAAGCAATAAGTCTTGGAAGGGGCATAAATCCGAGGGGGGGGGGGATTATATACCCCCCACACACACTTTTTGACCAGGGGGATGGGCTACTGAATCATCGCCCTCACTTTTCCTCGATGAGAAAAAAAATGCGGTTTTAGAGGTATTTGTCAAACATCCCAACAACCGAAATGTATTAGATAGCACTGAAAAGTGGAGAAACAAAATGCAAAAGCTTTCAAAATGCGCCGTTTTGATGTAAACGCGAGTATACATATTGATATATATCCTGAAGAGTGCCCCCTAGTGTAATGTGGCGCCTTTTTTGATGTAAGCGCGAGTATACATATTAATATATATCTTGAAGAGCGCCCCCTAGTATAATGTGGTGTCCAGCCCCCCCCCCCCTTCGAATTTCCACGGCCGGGCAATTTTTGATTTTGATCATCCCCCATCCCTCCCCCATCCCTCCCACTTGCCGGCACAGATTTACGCCACTGACTCTTGGTTAACTTTGTCGATTGCAACGTTTTTTTTTAATAACTTGTTATGACAGACCTTGGTAAGATTCTCCACTCGGACGATGTCATCGTCGGCGCCTCCAGACAGCACACGCTGTCTCTCGCGCACTACGTCGTCATCTTCAAGGGCTAGTGGAATATTCTCTGATTCAATGTGTCTAAAATCACAGAGAGAGGAAAAAATAAAGGTAAATTATCAAAAGAATTATGCAGTAAAAAATGCTGACTATAACAGTATGAATTTCAGGCATGAACAGTAAATGGTACTTAATGCCTTTTCACATTGTCCAAAATCTCCGGGTTGGAACCGGTTCCAACCCCGAGATTTCTTTCAACCCTTTTCCCACTTCTAAAATGTCAACCTGGTTCCGACCCGGGTAGCGTGCTCTAGCCAGATCCAAATCAACCCTGGCAGGGACCAGGGTTGAAATTCTCAACCAGGATCAAAATTGCATTTTTCGGCGTGAACCGTGTCGAAAATGATGGTGTGAACCGCCCCCCGTTAAGTTCACTCGCGGCCAATCCATGTTGAGTTGAGGTGCGATATTCTACCGAAAATCTGACACGCCGTGCATATGTCCCGCCACCATACCCATCATCACCATCACATTTTGTTATGTTAATTCATTAACAATAAACCAATTAGAAGTCTACTTGGGCAAAGCGCCTATCCCTGTAAACAAATAATATGATTTGGCAAGTTGAGGGAAATTGATTTTTATCTATAAACAATCTATTCACAACAAAATACTAAAGTCTGTGTCGCGGTGTAGAGATGGCAAAAATATTTAAAAATACGTACTGACCCATCGTTTTCTGTTTTGGAGTTTTTACCAGAAAAACTTTACATACATGTAGAGCCCATCCTCAGATGTTTCTAAATCTTTAATATTTCTCCGTTTTCCCAAATAAGAGCCACTGTGGAATTGTTATTATGTTGTTTTTTTCTTTATAAAGGTAGTAACACCTGGATTCAAGGCTATGGAAACCTACAATAAAAGTCCATGCGCTGTGCCAGCTTTGTCGATTTAGTGCCAATAATGAAAATCAATATCATTTTGATGACCCGACCTTGCATGTGATCGGTGTGTATACGAACAGCTACACGAGATGTATAACAATGTACAGTATTGTGGTTTGTGCAATGAAATGTGAAACATTCAGTTCAGAGAAAACTAACTGATTTCATGCAACGTTCACTGAGGGGACTGGCACTTTGGTAAGATTTTGTTGCAATTCCCGGCCCCTATCTCGATGAGTGTTTCCTTTTGTACAAACCTATATAAATGTTGATATGTCTGTGCATAGGGGTAGTGGTACTGTACGTGCCAGCAGGGCCAAGTTTTACTTGTAGTGTTCAATAATTAGCTGTTTCAGTGTACCCACCGAAACGGAAGGTGGTAAATTCACAATTCTTTTTGTAATAGGTTTGTTTGGTCACAGATACACACAATTTCAAAAAATTTGTGACGTCATCATGACATCAAGAACGTGATTTTTTTTAAACACATATAAGGGTATGTCCAATCGTTTCGAAACTTGGTGGGTAGGTATGTATTGATAATGGTATTCAAAATCTAAAGTGACGTCATCATGATGATATCATTTGATTTTTTATTAATTTTCAAACTTTTAATATTTTCTTTCTTTTTTTCTAATTTCAAAAAGTGACACTGATAAAATACAATCAGATTGACTTCAAAGTAGGTACAGACCAAGACCCTAAGCTTGTATTGTTTCTAAACAAATTACGTCGTGATGACGTCATCATTAGTCTACATTTTCCTAAATTATAACACCAAATTCACTTCTACACAGCCCAATATTTTTAGAAGAATACTCATGTAAATGTACATTCGACTTGGATGAAACTCCTACACAATGTACATGATAGTTGTTGCTAAAATAGTCGAAACAGCTATGTATTTGTCCATAAACACAAGTCTAGTTTTTTTTATTTTTTTTTTTTATTTTAATTTTGGTTAGATTCCCCCTACCATTTTTTAGTAGTGTGTACCCCTGATAAACGTTTCCCTGTTCCCCAGTAACATGACTCCCCCCAGAGCAATAGTCCCTTTGATAAGAACATGTGCTGTGCCACCTAGACCACAGACCCCTCAGTTAGCAGACCGGTGGCAGAGAAGAGTGTGCTCCACTGTTTCTAGCTCTCTTTCCCCTTATTCTTTGGTGTGCCCTGCGCTGTGAGTGTTGTTCTGCCATAAAAGTCATTGATTTTCTTCCAGAAATGTATTTTAAGGTCCATTATATTATTACACACTGTGTTAGTTAAGGTTTTAGTCTTGGTCTTTGATTAAGGGAATAAGTGTGTGTTCGGGAGGTATTATAACACTCTTTTTAAGACCGGTGGGAGTCTGGATGGGTGATAATTACCCGAGGCGAAGCCAAGTAATTATTACCCATCCAGACTCCCACCGGTCTTAAACAGAGTGTTTAATACCGACCGAACACATATTTATTCCCATTCATAAATACCTTTTCGGTCAAAAAAACAAATCTTTTCAGTCCAAAAATCAAAACAAGACAAAAACTAGACGTTGCCAACCATTTTGTTCAACAATTTTACTTCATGTTTTACGAAACTATAATATGGAATGCCCCTCTACAACTCGTTACCTTATAAGGACATTGGCGTGCGTGTCGCGCGTACTGCGCAATGTTGAGCAAAACGCAGCTGGGCTGGTGTAGTGTGAATTTCGGACCATGAATACTGATTCACTGGTAGTATTGCGCATGCATACGTGAGGAATAAGAACGTTCAACCAATGAAATGTTAAACGGCATTGGATTTCATGGGAGTCCAAATTTCATGTGACACTGGAAAAGTGTTTAAGACCAGCTAGCCATGTCTTTATCATCCATTTAAGACCGGCCACGTGACGGGCTCTCGACCAATAGGAATGCGTAAACTGTCTTAGGTATTTATGAATTTAGGTTTAAGTATTGGTTTTATAGGTTTAAAGTTGTTATTTGGTCATTTTGGTTTTCTTTTAAGTCTTCAGTTAATTTCTATTCTGGTTTTTGGTCTCGTCCTGATTTTTAGTTCTTGTAAACTCCTTTTTATCCTTTTTGGTTTGAAATCTAAAACTGTGTCCCTTGTCTCTATCAATTCGTTAATAGCGTTACCTGCACGTGATAGCCCCACCATAGGCGATTGTGCAGTAGCTTACAGATACAGATAATTCAATTTTCTCGCGACTTTTCCTTTCAAAGATCCTGAGTTAAGGTTAGTTTGATTAGTTAAAAATCCCCATAGAGTCTTTTTAGTGCGAGTTCCCCATAGAGCTATATTAAATTAATAGAGCGCTAACTCGATGTACAAAGTAATGTCTGATGGGCGCACCCATGTTTGTGCACAAACCTATGGAAAACTCAAAATTTTGTACGACTTTTGTACGGCTATTTGCATATCTGCGTTTGTATTCCACACCGGTGCGTCATCGAATCCGATACGCCCAAAACCGAAAAGCACGATCAGTAAATGAGCGTTTCATTTTGCTCTACGCAAACAGCGCAACATGTGTGCCTCCCTGCGCTGCAAATGCTTTTCGCCGTGATGTTTATTGAACCGTCATAACGCGCTTAAGTTGTTTGCGTATCTTCTACTTGCCCGTTGCATTTAGAGTACACTTTTAAAATTCAATCCATCTATTTTGATTGTGTTCTACAAACACGCACATAAATTCAAAATGTCTGCGCCCAGAGCGGCTTCAAAGCGTCTCCGTGCACAAGAATGAGGAGTTAGCGCTCTAGTAATTTAATATAGCTCTATGGAGTTCCCCCATAGTGCATGTATGTGTCGGTTACAGTACCGTGTTTTTTTTTCCTGTTTAATATTGCCTGTTAAAGATGTGTTTCCCATAATATTTTCGAGTTTGAACTTAACAAATAAATTTGTTTTTCCAATTGCTATTTTCCTAGAAGTCTAAAAGTTACTCACTTTGAATGAGACATCAAACGAAAAAAATCCACCAACATTTAGTTATTGAATTATTTCTTCACAAAACTTTGAATAAGTGGCTGCCAGACAATAATTCGGCTCTCGCAGGACGGGCTCATTCGTTCACAAAATGAAATTCCTTTTTCAAAGGGATGCAGACGCCTAAAATCGGAATAACGTATTTTTTTCTTTAAAAAAAATACAAGTTGAAGATTGGTTAGGAAAATGTTGTTGTTGTTGAAGGACACGGGCTATGCATCTTTAACGAAAAATAATGGCCTTACTAGCACAAACAAAATTGGTCCATAGGTACATGTAACAGGTTACACGAGTTTCAAATTTTTTAAATATTATTTTACTTCCATGATTATTTTAAAAGGTACGTTGGAAGGACACGCCAGCACCCCATCAATTGGTGGATGAAGTAGCCATCTACCCGGTGACTTTGTGCCTATATGAAGGACATTAAATAATGAATTGGCTTTTGATAGAATCAGAGGGCAACTGACTCTTTGATTCTTCTCTCGACTAACGCAAATCCAGTCAGGAAATGTTACTGCACCACTGCTAAACCGATCTGGTTGAGTCTTATTGACAGTAAGCTGGGCATGTTGCAATGGCTCTTAGAATGAGTTTCTTGATTTTAACGTTAGTGGTAGGAGCAAGTTATGTCATTCTCCTGGTCATTCTCACGGGTCACTATAACTCTGCATTTGGACGGTATCTTACCATTGCCCATCAGCTGATAAAATCTAATGGTACAGACAGTGTGAAGAACAACGTCTCAAACTTGAAGACAGCAAATACTCTGAGTTCATACGACAGACATGACTCCAGGCTTATTGTTAACTCCCATGAGTACAAACTCCTCGTAGATGAACCTCGAGCCTGCTACGATGCCGCAGGGGCCCCCAGGGAGGTGTTCTTGTTGGTGCTCATCACAACAATTCACGCCCACACCGAGCAGAGAGAGGCAGTTCGCGAGATGTGGGGAAGCCCACGAGAGGTCAGGGGAAAGCAGATTGTCACACTGTTCCTGTTGGCTCAAAACAAGGATGCTAATCTTACGCATATGCAGCAGGTGGTGGAAGAGTCCAACAAACATCACGATCTCCTCCAGGAAGATTTCCAAGATGCCTACAAGAACCTGACCCTCAAGACCATCATGGGTATGAAGTGGGCCAGTACGCACTGCCCCCACGCCTCCTTTGTCATGAAGACAGATGATGACATATACGTCAGCTATGACAACCTGGTCAAGCACCTGACCAACCTATCAACCCCATCCAAAAATTATGCTGTGGGGTGTCTAATCAGAGATGCCCTCCCTTTCCGGGACCCCAAGAGCAAGTGGTACATGTCAAAGGAATTGTATCCTGGACGCATGTACTCGCCATACCTCTCTGGAGCAGGATACGTGGTCACTGGGGATCTGGCCGGGAAGATTTACCAATTGTCTTTGAAACTTCAATACCTGCACATCGAGGACGTTTTTGTGGGTGAATGCTTGAAATCATTGAATATTATGCCAATGGATAGCAGTCAGTTTACATGTTGGAAAAATCCTGGGCATTCCTATTGCCGTTTGCAGCAGATGATCACCATTCACGAATTAGCTCCATCGGAAATGCGTAAGATGTGGAGCGACCATCAACACCAAATTAAATGCTATAATGAGACAGACTTAATTACATCTTGACTGCTTTGTTTGTTTTACATCTGTTTGGCTCTGCTCTTGCCATTATAGCAATAGTGTGAAAACTTCAAATTAGGTTTTGCCCTGCACCGACGTATAAACACTGTATACTCAGTGTGTTACCTCCCGAGTGAAAGTTGGAAAAAATCATTTGGGTGGGACTCAAACCCATGACCTCCTGCCTTCTAGTGCAGACGTCTTACCACTCGACCACCAAGCTAACAGGATTGGCTGGCTGGTTCGAATCTGATGTACATAGCAGCGGGTACTGAGCATACAGTGTTTATACGTCGGTGAAGGGCAAAACCTAATTTGATTTACATCACCCCGATGCAAAATTCCATCTTATGAATAGTGTGAGAGCTTGTTGTGCAATAGTATAAGGGTGGCCTGGCATATCAGTGACCTTTTTAAATTTAGTTAAAAACACTAGAGATTCGCGTTTATTGAGTTACAAATGCAGAGTGATCGGGCAGACAACTAATTCATTAGACACTGACCAGTTGAATGTTTTTATGTCAGAACAGAAAAAGGATTACTAAATTTTGCAATTTTTTTTTTCTTTTTTAAATGCATCTTTTGGGGTATGATAAATTTCAGTATACATTTTATGTACACGTACAAGTTATTTCCAGTTTGATGACGTTATCAGTCACAAAGGGGAAAGTGAATGTACTGATTTAGTTCAGAGAGGATACACGTTCATCATGAAGTAAAAAGAACTTATGAAGCTATGGAAATTATATTAAAGTATATGTATTAATATCACCTAACTTCCGGTTTGATGACATCACAGCATTTGGAAGCCAATTAAGGTCAACATTGTAACGGATATCATTATTTAGGCTACTAACACGGATTTATTGATGGATTTCAATTTTAATGATCATTTTCAAATTCTCCCTACAGTAACTCCAGTCTGAGGACGTCATGAATTTGAAACCATCCACAGTCATTTGCGATTGTTCAAAGAATATATAGGGGGAATTTGGTAAAATTATGAAGGCTGGTTTTTAAATTTTATAAAGTTGAACTCTATTTGATGTGCCGCTAGAGGGCGCCCTTTCGGTGATGACGTCAACATGCTGTTTTGTGTGTTTGGCATTCCTCACTAAACACTCTCACTAAACACTCTCACAACTTGTTTTCCGTAGTAAAATGCTTCCATTTTTGAGTTATATTCAGTTTTCATTTCACTTCCGGTAACACCGGAAGTGAAGGTCAGGCGGTTTTGTGCCCGGGAAAAAGAAATGTTGCTCAAGGTACTGTCTCCCAACTCACGAAAAAGGAACACGATACTCTGTTGAGTTCAAACGATATAGTTCAAACTATTTTGTCAAATTCTGCCCTTAAATCGCTTGTAATTTGATACCCGATGATGTCATGATGACGTCACAAAATTTATAACATCTTTGGACCGAGGTCGAAGTGCATACCAGGTTTTATTATCACATCAACCGTTTAAATCTTGGTTTGTTTTGATTTGAAGCTCATTTCTATATTTTGAATTTACCTAACTTTAACCTTCGAGTAGGGTTAAAAAGATCAGACAAATTTGACTTTGGTAATTCAAAATGTTTATCAAGGTATGGTCCATCATTTGCTCATGAGTTATAAATGACATAAAATGGTCATCTACTGAACAAAAATTGCTTGTAATTTCGTCACCATTTTCACGAAGAGCCACATATGTGGATTTTGAAGAAAAAGCGTTTTCGAGTTAATCGCAAAAGAAGTTTCTCCTATTCTAAAACTGCAAAAAAATACTACTTTGCAACAACTTTGTGCAGTAAGGAAACATTCACATGATTCTATGAGAGCTGAATTTTTACGTGAACCCAATAATTAGAATGAATACAGTAGTTAATTAGTGAAAATTATTTAGTAAAGATATCTGTCTCTTCATGGAAACGAAAATTCAAGTTTCCAACATTTTGGCCCTCTCTGTTTAACGTGCGCAGCTGAGAATGTAACAAAGATATGTGGCTCTTCGTGAAAACAAAAATCTCAGTTGATCTACTTTTACGCATTTCCGTGCAATAGGTTTTGTACGCGTTCAAGGCGCCAAAATGTATGTGGCTCTTTGTGAAAATGCAAAATGCAATTATCAAGATTTCTGCCCCTTGCATCATTAATGTAATTTGGAAATTAATGATGTTTTGCTTACAGAAACATGTCACAATGGTTAAGTACAATGTTTTAAAGCAAAATAGTGAAGAAAAAAAAATAAAATCGAAATCGAAAAAAAAATGGTAATTTTTTTTAAATATGTTGCTCTTCGTGAAAACGGAAACGATTTGATATCTGATGACAGGCCTCACTTTGATTTCCTTCACGACAAACTGACCTTGGCTTGAAGAAGAACTCGTTTTCAATCAGCAGTGTCAGAGCAAAGAAGCCGATTCCGATGATGCCCAAGGAGAAGATGTTCTGGCCGACGTTGTCCCATTCTAATGGGTTGTATGGTTCGGGTGTAAGTCCTAGTACAAACACAGAAACCATTGGGTATCCTTGGGATTAACAATTTTCCAAAATGGAGAATTAATGAATCGGTTTGAATCAAACACACTTAGATTCTGATGTACAGAATTCAATGCAAACTTTATGAAGGGAATAAATATCTGCTTGGCTGGTATTAGACAAGTTCCTTTAAAACTGGTTCAGGGGACTGGACGCTGATAACGGCCTGAGCCGAATATTCCCATTCATAAATATTTTTGATCAAAAAGTCAAAACACATAAATTTCCAACAATTTTGTTCACAATTTTACTGCATGTTTTGTGAAACACCCCTCTAGCTATATTTATGGTATGTCCAATACATATTTAATAATGGTACTGCAATACTAACAATCTCCTCATATGGAGATTGGCACGCGAGTGGTGCGTATTGCGCGATATTGTGGTGCAGAAAGCAGCGGTGCCGGTGTAGTGTGAATTTAGGACTCTATGAAATACGGACACATTGGTAGTATTGTGCATACCTAGGTGGAGATCAATTAGGAGATGTGTGAGGGTCAACCAATATAAAAGGGTAAAACGGACCAGATTTCATAGAGAGCTCGAGTCCAAATTTAATGTGACACCCGAAAAAGGGGTTTAAAACCAGTCGATGTTTTAAAACCACCCAAGTGACAGGCTCTTGACCAATAGGAATGGCTATACCGTCTTAGACATTTATGAATGTTGATTAGCTTCAACTCATGCAGTAAATTCTTGATACTTCATCTCATTAAAACTTAATTGGTATGCAAATCATGTGAAAAATTAGTATCTTGAAATTTAGTGTGAACGTCAACAAATTGGTATTTGGAATTTAACACAATCAGAAAAGAGTAGCCAAATGCGGCCCACTCTAAGAATTTTTTTTTAAATTTTAAATTAAACTTGACAAATTAAGAATAAAGATGAAGCTCTATTCACATACTCAACTTCACGATTTTCAGCTGTTTTTTGTTTTAATTTGAAAAACGGACTCTCCAAGGCAAACCCTTGGTGGCGCACTGCATTGTGAATCGCCAAATTGACTGTCCCTCGTACCAATCACTCGTGGGGTCAATGGTCAATTTCGCTCATGCTGCTGAGTCGGTAAAAGCGGCTCAGGAAAGCATACATCTGGCCCGAGTGCTCGGACAAATGCGTCAGAAATATAGGCTTTTCGTCAAGATTTAGCATGTCAAGATGAAATATTGTTGTGTGTAATGATTATATTGTGCAGGTAAATGCATGTGTAATATTAAACTGTGCGTATCGGGAGCTGAAAAATTTGATCAACAACTTCATTTTCTGCGTAACTTTGAGTCATTATTAATATACTGACAACTCAGTTACTTCTACCACGCGGTCTGGATAAAATTTCCATCCCCTGTCAAAATTCAAAGTGCGGACAGTGGTCACATTTGACCATCTTTCATTTTACCATCATCTCGGTAAAACCTTCCAAAAAACAAGTCCAGTGTGGACACGGCTATAGGCCCTCTGATAAGGTTTGTGCACAAAACCTTCGGCGCTTGGGGTTTTGTGTAGAACGATGAGTGGACCACTTTTTACGGCAATGTGTCAGCAATGCTACAGTAGCAGGCATTTTTCGCTGGCGGTATGCAGAGCCGTGAAAGTGGGCCCTGTTATGTTGAGCTATTATAAACAAGGGCAAAATGGATGAATGCACAAGACCGCTATACAGGTCACATTTTTGAGCAAATGACTGTACCAATTAGGGCCTACAATGCCACTTTCTGGGTACAAACACCAGACAAATCCTGTTCATTGAAGATGTTCTGTAACTTTACTTCAATGTACAAAAACTGAAGATTGCAAAAATGTATTTTCTTAAGTCTCATCTCATCTTTTTAACTTTAATTGAACACAAGTCTGCTTTTATCCATGTTTTAGTTTTCATTTTAAGCGTTACGTGTATTTGTTTGTGTCCATACATTTCCTTGTAACTATGAATAACTGTGTAATTGGGTTTTTTAACATAAATGTGAAGTTTTTACAGCATTTTAATGGTATTTCATCTATGTGCGGTACTGCGGTACTTAAAAAGATTACAGTATTTTACAGTTTCTTTATGATTAATCCTTCAGATTAATCCTTCAGATTTTTTTAAAAATCTGGTTGGGTTTAAAATTGGGATTATTTTTTGTTTCTCGTTCTATTGTTAAGCACTTTGAGGAATATTTGATTCATATTGGGCTATATAAATGCTGTTTAATTATTATTATTATTAAGTGTAGTAACAAGTGAACTTGCGCCAATAAACATGGATAAGTGTACAAAAAAAGACATCGTTACAGTGCATTTCATTCCCTCCAGAATAAGACCTATTACACAAGCCGATATACAGGGTGAGTAAAAAAAACCCGGAACCCAAACCCCAAAAAAATCTATTTCATATTTAAACAAATATGTAGCACCAAAAATAATAATGACTGGAAAGCCAATTTCATAAGCTACTTTTAGAGGGAAAAAATACTAAAATTGCTCAATCTATTAAAAAAATATAACCATTTAAACGCAATGACCCTAAAACCTGTTTCCTCCAAAAAAGGAGCAATTTATTGTGTATGGAACAACAAAGAAAATGACACAGAATACTTGTTTTAACAACTGTAATACACAATATCTTCACTAACAACCCTGGTTAGGCAAACAATATGATTTATAAAATCCACCTTTCTAAAACACAGGCCTTCAAAAGGACTTTGTTGAATATTTTTAATTTTTAAACTCGCTGGTGATGTTTGAAGACAAATGTGATAATCATTCTTGAAATTGCATTTTTGGACGAAAGAGGTTTTAGGGTCATTGTGTTTAAATGGTGATATTCCTTGAACGGATTGAGCAACTTCAGTAATTTTTTTTATCTAAAAGTAGCTTATGAAATTGGCTTTCCAGTCAATATCATGTTAGGTACTACATATTTTTTAAATATGAAATATAATTTTTAGAGTTTGGGTTCCGCTTTTTTTGACTCACCCTGTATCTAGCAATCCTTTGCTTACCGATTTCAGCATACAGGTCGTTGGTGAGTGAGTTGAGGGCCATGTCCACCAATCCTCTGCCGAGGCAAAACGGCGGAAAAATCAGGAACAGTTTCATCATGGCGTCATTGACAGCTGTCACACTCTGTAATGTAAGGAAAAGCATCATTTTTTCTAGTAAAATCAAACCAAAACTCAAACAAAAACACAAACAACAGAAAAATTGTCCTACACGCCTATCATTAGTGTGAATAAAAATAGCACAATTAAGCGGCAGCACAAAGTGGGTCACTGTTGTCACTCATATGGAGCTGCAAAATTTGGGGGGCAAAATATATTAAGTCCAAGTGTTGATGGGTTAACCCTAACTCCCTAGCGTCTTTTACCAGGAACTGGACCAAGTCTATCAAAATCCATCAATCACTGTGCGTCTAATACAAAACAGATGTACATGACATAATGGAATCCACCACTGATGCACTGGTTGACATGCATCGACTTGCTACACATGGCTTTTATCACAATAGCAGTACAGGTAGCTAGGCAAAATCAATCGGATACCCCTAGCACTGCTTCAGGCCATTAGGCCCAAGTCCACCATACTCCATCAATATTTAGTCACGCCAGGCCTTCTGGACCAAGTCCCCCAAAAAACAATCAAAATGGGGGGATGGATTTTGACAGAGTTGGGGTGGTTAGGGTTAATACATGTATAAACAATTTGCTCAGCATCGGCATTATTAGACAGTTTCAGTAGAATCCAATTCAACTGTTAATTCACGGTGGCGAAGCAAAAGCTTTATTATAGCTTTCTGAAGCCTCCCCAATTCATCACATTCCACTAAAATTGTCATTGTTAAATAATATGAAAAGACAACAAAACATATTGAAATCAAACCACGATTTCTGAAAATTTGGCAACATTAAAAAAAAGTCACTCAAGTGGAAGAACAAAATTTTGTGGGAAAATCACATCATTTTGGAAATGTGGGGTGGGGGGAGGGTGGTCCGACCAAAGAATGTTTTGAAAAAAAAAAGAGGGGCCCTCTTTTTGTACCCCCTCTTCCATGCCATCTCGTTTGTACACAAACAGCATTGACTTATCTGAAAAACCTACCAACCAAAGTGGCAGCATCTGATTTACATTGGAACCTTACAGATGGGGGTTTGTGGGGTTCTTGCATTGCTCTCCTTGATCCCTCTTCTTTAGAATTTCTCTTCTTTACAAAGGCCGACTTGAGGGGCATGGGCATCAATCGGTGGGGGACGGGGGAGGGGGGACAAGTCCCCCCACTTTTTGAAGTGGGGGGGGGATATCATATCGTTTGGTCCCCCCCCCCCACTTTACTCATACCCAATAAAAATTATAGCCTACTATAATGATTTAAGTTCAGAATAGCTGATTCAATGACTCCAAACTCAAAAATGATGTTTAAAAGATGATCTTCTGCTAAAAAAAAATTGTTTTAGTGGTCAGAAATTGCCTCAGATTGCACCACAGAGCGTCTAGAATCGAAAATTTTTCGGGGCCCTTATGCGGGCCCCAAACCCCACTCAGTTAGGGCTTCGCACATTGCGCTTGCATTAGTGCTCATCAAGGTATGTCCCCCCAGTTTTGAGAAGCGATTGGCACCCTTGTTGAGGGGTACCATTGTTCCCTTTGTGTGAGTACCCCATAAGGTAGCTCTCGTAAAAGCATGCTCAATCGGGAACGGCCTGTTCCAGTTGGGAACGCGCTGGGAACACATTGCGTTCCCAATGGGGGAACACAGTGTTCCTAAAAGGAACGTTCCATACGGAATGGGAACGTTCTGACTTTTTGAGACGCTCCCTAACCTACACACCTCGTCACCGCCGCCCAAGAACTCCAAGATAAATGTGGTCATGATCGTCAGGATCCCTATCAGCATGATACCACAGGCTACTGTCAGATAGGCAGTGCTGGGCGTGGAGAAGACGAAGGAGGCAGGATAGGTCATCGGAGTCACTGCCCAGCTGGGAGAAGAAACACAAAAATGCCAAAGAATTGAGTGATGCAAATGATGTCACAATCACATTTTGAATTGACAAACTTGTATGTGGCAGACTTAGACCAATGAAACTACAGTACCAATGACATGGAACTGCAGTGCTTTCAATAAACAAACTCGACAAATGTTGGCAATGATACCTATTTTTCAAGTTTGGCTGACTTTTGTTTTTAACTCTCAAACCAGAAAAGCAAAATTTACTATGGTCTGACAATAAGCCAGTTCGGTACTTGATGAAGTAGTCCATGTCAATGGGGTTATGAAGTAGTAGTGATGAAGTAATGTCAATAGCCATTCGGGATAAAATCGCTCACGTGATGATACGCGATGTTACGCGGACGCCCCTTCTGCTTATTAAACACGCTTAGCAAGCGTCATGCGCCCGGGTCCGTGTGCGTTCATGCCACTTCGATGAGCGTTTGATTATCCCGAATGACCCGTGACCCATATCATTGTGCGCATGCGCAGTTGAAATACTGAACTGGATTATTAATGCTTGCATGGGTGCTTTTCGAGAGAATTTTGTAATTAAAGCGTTGGAAAATGACACATTCTGCAAGAGAGTAATGATTCTGAGAAGAAGCACACAGGTTAAAACTTATACTCTTGATTCTTACTTGGACTGATGGGTACCACAAACCAAGGTCCTCCCCGAAAAACTACATAGAGACACAATCCAATCAAGCTCCCGCCTAGCATTGTCACACATTACTGCTTTCAGCATTTAATCCCTTAAGCTGCCCTTGGGTCGACCTTGCGACGACACAGAGCAGTCGGCGTCTAACTTTTCAGGATCAAGCTGCGCCTGAGCTATAATCGTAGGGAACATTTCAGTCGCCAATTTTTTTGCCACCTGAGTGTAACTGCGACGGTATTAAAACGATCGGCTTCAGTCGGTTCTCTTTAAACTAATCAATGGTCGTAAGAGTAGAAAAATGTCAACTTCTGCCAGGGGCGGATCCAGGATTTTCAAAAAGGGGGGGCACAAAAACTTTGTGCACGTTGCACACATAACGAGACTGAAGCACGAAATCCCTTGCAGGCAGGGTTGAGGGCACTGGAAGCACTACGATTTTAGATGTTCTCTCATAGTTGCATGAGTATTTTAAGCCATTAAGAGCAAAATTCACAATGTTTATTTTTTAATTTTAATAATACTTTTTTTTCTATCAAATATAGAATTTAAAGTCACTGTTGATGTTAGTTGAAAATGAACCGCAAAATTAGAAGGTGCTGATGACAGCCCCCGGGTGAAAAAAAAAATGAAATGTGTTATTTTGCGAGCGAGCCAAAAAAAGTCATGTTTACTATTAAAACATACATTTCTACCCAAAAATTTGCCTTGCAAACAAAGAAAATGAAATAAATTGACTTTCATTAGGGGACAGCCTGCCCCAAGCAAGGGCGGATCCAGAACACAATTTTGGGTTTTTTTTGGGGGGGGGGGGGGGCCAAAAACAAATTTGGTCCTCCAAAAAAGTGGGTCAAAAAAATTACGGTTTTGGGTTCGGGGCCCGCTTAAGGGCCCCGAAAATTTTTTGGACTCTAGATGCTCTGTGGTGCGATCTGAGGCAATTTCTGACCGCTTTAACCAATGTTTTTTTGAGGAAAAGATGGTGGTGTACTCATTGCCTGCCTTTTTTGCGATGTCATATAAAAAAAAAAAATTGCTTTCGTTTTTTTGGAGGGGCCATGGCCCCCTTTGCCCCCCCCCCCCCCTGGATCCGCCCTTGGCCCCAAGCAGCCCCTACCCCCACCCCACTCGATTTTGGTTGATGTTATTGTCGTTTCATTTTTGGGGTTTTTTTTTTTTGCTTTCCATCATCATTAATAATATCCTTTTCGTTTTGCCCCTCTCCTGGTATTTTCTTTCTTTTACTATATAATGTAATTGGTGATTTTAGTTCAATTCGTATTTTCTCCATTATCATCCCGCTTGTGTGGGTGTGTGTGTGTGTGTGTGTGTGTGAGCTTGTCTTACATACGCAGTGTGGACTTCCGAACAAAAGACGTCCACATAAGGTAGGTAGCAGCGACGAAGTGTGGACTTGCCCACGTCCACACAGTGTTTCCCCATTTCTGGAAAACAGGTTTAGAGGCATTTTTGGGTTAGGTTTATCTGTAGCAGAATGAAGAGAAACACTAAAGGGAATCATTGAAAAAAAATTGGGTTGTAAGAGTTTTCACAGTTTGAGAAAAATGAGTTTTTCCACTGGTGTTCCTTAACTACACGAAAAGAAAGGAAAGTCCACACTAGGTATGTGAAACAAGTATGGGTGGGTTTGTTTATGGTGTAAATCGAGCTCGCGCGGATGTGATTGGCTTCACTTTTGAGTCCCAGTATAATGTGTGGTAACTGCGGTCATACATACTTAATTTGTATATACACTTGCATACACTTTAACCACCATTTTTTCCATGTTCTTTTGAAGTCTGCAGGCTAAATAATTTAAGAGGAAATGAGTCGTCTGCATTCTGCAAGTGTTGTCGAATCACTTCAAGAAATGTCAAGGCCTGAGGAAAATCGTTTATTTGTATTTGGGGGGGGGGGGCTCCGATTTTCTTTAAAAGAAAAAAAAAACAGCTTTTATTTAACGGAAATGCAAACTCATCCAAATTCCAATTTCCAAAATATAAAAAATTTGCCAGCACAAATTTCCCGAAAGCGGCAGCATTCCTGAGCTGCCGCTTTCACATACAAGGTTTCAAAATAGTCACATAAAAGATTTCTGGCTACGCAACCGGCAGTCCCAGGCATCACAGGGGAGCCTCCTAGCAACAGTATTTCTAAGCAACCAGGTTGGAATGTGACGGGCATGCAGCCATGCACCTGTGGCTCAGATAGCTAATCACTCCAGTTGCGCGTGGAAGGAAGTCATATTCATGAAAGCAGACGGTCCGTGATGAAAGCAACCAATGGCATATTTATTTGCCGGGAACCGGCTCATTTCATTGGCTGAGATACTATCATCACTGTTTATCATCTAAGAATCTTCCAATTACTGACGGCAAGTTCTCAAAGGCCTTAAAGTTCGGTGGCCTACAGCTGAGCCCAAATGTATATGCTTTGTAACGAACAAGAGTGGCATTGTATCAATTTGAACAATGCGGCTATCAATCATTCTCTGGAAAGGCTTTTCGGAGCTGACATTTTATTTGGGTATTTTTTTTCTCAGAGACAGGGGAAAACTTTATGCGAAAAATGTGGGAAACTGAATTGAACGTGAAATTTCACCTCCGTGTTGTGCACATGCACATAGATAAACGATTGGGGGATGACATTCCAAGTCCAAATAATTCATTAAATGTAGGGCTCCCGATGTCTGTTTTTTCGTAGTACGATTTTATTCTTCGCTTATTTAAAAAATAAAACTGCATGGCCGACATTATTCTTGTAAATGTTACTCTAGAATATAATTATTTCGGAATACATTTTGAAATTAAGTTTGAAGTCAAAGGGCTGTTGATGATCTTATTCGTATTCCTTTTAAAATTAGGAAAAACTAAGCATAATTCGTATTAAAATTTCCCCTGGAATCTACAAAAGAATTAACTGAGAGTTCAGAACTTAATGGGCTAGGGTGTTTGAAATCGTTTTACTTTAAAAATAAATCGAGAGAGTAAGACATACTAAATTGTATTAAAATAACCCCTATTTATTTGATGTCTCTCTCTATCTGAGGCCGGGACAATATAAAAGGGATGACGATTAATTCTTCGTGTATTTAAAAAATTAAACGCATGGCCTACATTATTTTGTGAAAATGTTTTACTCTAGAATATATTTTGGAATATATTTTGACGCTATTATTTGAGGGATGTTGTTAATCCTGATATATTCATTTACAAATAAGAAACACCGAGCATAATTCGTATTATATTCCCCTGGAATCTACAAAAGAATTAACTTAGAGTGCAAACTTTAACGGGCTAGGTTTTTTTTTATCATTTTGCTTTTAGAGAACCAGACGTAAATCTCTCTCTGAGATCGGGAAAATAAAAGGGGATGACGTTTTTATTCTTCATTTATTAAAAAAACCCACATGGCCTACATTATTTCGTGTACCGATACATGTTCTACTCTAGAATATATTTTGGAATATATTTTGACATGAAGCATTAAATGCAAGTGCTGTATTAAATGTGCCCCCAATTCCAGCCGGGAAATAAAAGTGTCTTATAAAAATATATTCTTGCTATGAAATAAATTTTTAGACAATGATTGACAGGCTACCTTCAAAACTTATACATTGTATATTTTTGTTTATAATTATGTATGATACTTATGTTCAAAGCGATTGATTTGATGACCGCCCGTCCGCCCGCCATAATTACACCTCGAAAACGAAAAAGACAGCCATGTTCTCAAAGGAATTTTTTTAATGCCCGCCAGCCCTAAGGCCAAAAAAAAAAGTCTCCGGTTTCTGGTATGCGCGCGCGTCACCGTAGCCATGCGCGTCGGCAAAATGAAACAGTTTTTTTTTCAATACAAGATGACGTCTCAAAACCGCCAAACTCACTGGTTCGACTGGAATTCTGCTGCTGCACAATTTTAACGTGTTTTTAGATTGGGTTATGATCGAGAATAAGCTTTATGTGGCCTCTTTGGACTCCCATATATTTGCACTAAGTTTAGTCGGGCACCATTTGCAGTCATCAGCCGACATTTGAAGCCAAAAAAAAAAAAAAAAACAGGTAAAAAAAAAAAAGCCGCGTCGCCGCACCACTTTTGGGGCAAGCTCCATACCAGAAACCGGAGACTTTTTTTTTTTGGCCTAAGACGACTCGTACAAAAAAAAAAAACAGTTGCGAAAAGGGGGGGCACGGGCCGGGTGTGCCCCCGTCTGGATCCGCGCCTGACTTCTGCGCCAAAACGGAATGTGTTCCCGACAGGAGGATGTCAATCGCAGTCGCAGTCGCCATGCATCCGGATCACCTTATTTCATTGCGTAGCCGATATAGCGTGTGGCAAAATGGTCGAATGAACAGACGTGGCCGTGGAAGATCGTTTGGATTGTTATACGCGCACTGGCATTTTGAAGATGCCACTTGATCATTCCTATGCTGAGGAATCGTCGTCGTGTCATGGGTGACGTGAGCACAGTGCAATTATTTTGTGTCGAGATGCCGCTTGTTAATTGCCCATTTTCTCAGTTTTCTAACCTGAGCATGAGTTTTGTGCTTGATGCCGCCTTATGGCGGTCTTAGTTTTTGTCTATGGACTCCTTGCACAAGTACCCCCTCATGGTTAGAAAAGAGAGAGTTGGAGAGACCACTGGGAGAGACCACTAGACGCTCAAATGAAGATGCTACAGGTTTGTGGACATTCAGAAGAAAATAAGTCATGCCTACTTTACGCCATACGCAAAGTATAGTATACAAATAATGAATGTTTATGATGCAATGGTGAGAATATTTTAATGAGTTTAAAGATGAAATGTTCCATTCAACAAAGCAAAGCTGAGTTGAATGGAACATTCCATCTTTTACAAATTGAAAATATTCTCACCACTGAAGAATGAAAAACATTCATTATTGGTTTTATATAACATCCAAGTAGATCTTTGTCATTCAATTGGAGGATAAAACTATAGGAACAAAAGAAAAATTACAAAATTGTATCAAACCCGCTACTTTTTTTTCAGCTTGTTCAAGGCCAACAAAGGTTTAAAAGTCAAACCATTAACAATATGAAAGTTAATATTGCAAAAAAAAATTAGCAACACAAGTTCAGTTCGTAACTGCATCCACTTCAAAGGCAAGTCTTGTACTGCTGTATAGAACATCTACATAGCGCAAAGATCGTATAGCGCCGCTGCGCGTCTTTGCACGGCACTACATGATCTAGGATGCGCATGCAATAGATCAAAAGGGATGGAACGAAAATGCATGGTGAATGGAACCAAAAATGCACGGTTAAGACGCAGGCCGTGCAATGGTTCGATTAATGAATGCCGTGTGACATACAATCCTAAAAAAAAAACGACGAGGATTTGCTTGGATGTTATATAATCACAATCAAAGCACCATCTAATGTTCAGAACACTGAGCCCATACAAGAATTATCTATTTTAATACTTACCCATACATGAGCAGGAGTAGGATAGTAGTGGTTATATTATCGCTACTTATAAAGGCTTGCTGCTGAAATGCGATGAATATCACAACGGTCAGCACAGCTGGTATCAGATAATTGGCCTGTCGATTACAAGAAGGAGAAACACAAGAATTGGTGTGAAATACAATCGAGCGTTATGAAGAAAATGCTCTATCAGTGTACAAGGAAAGAATAAGGGAATAAATGTGTGCTTGGCCGGTATCAAACACTCTGTTTAAGACTCACTGGAGTCTGGAATGCTGATAATTACCCAAGCTGAAGGATAAAAAAAATCTAAACTTTTTGGTCAAAAAGTGAAAACAAGTAAAAAATTAAAAACTTTCAACGATTTAGTTCAACAATTTTACTTCATGTTTTTCGAAACATCCCTCAAACTATATTGTGGAATGTCGCCAAAAGTCGCAAACAATTCCTAATATGGAGATTGGTGCGCGCGTGCGTGATGTGGTGCAGAACGCACCTGTGCTGGTGTAGTGTGAATTTAGGACTATGAAATACTGACTCACTGGTATTGTTGTGCATGCTGATGTGAGGATTGTGAACGTTCAACCCTTAAAACGGTACAAGGTACTGGATTTCATAGGAGTCCAAATTTCATGTGACACTGGAGAAGTGTTTAAGACCATGCAAGTTGAAAACTTGTAGGACAAAAAGTGAATTTGTTGAAGAGCACGGACAGTACAATTTTAAATTCTATGCCGTTTTACCAACTCACCAAGTCCCAGATGAGAGTTGACACCCAGTAGGTGGTAGGACTGATACCGCTGACTATTTGCAGATGCTTGGACTTGGATTCGCGCTCGGTGATCAGAAAGACCACGAAGCTGGCCGGCACAAAGGCCAATGCGAAGACCACAAATATGGCTGTGCCCATGATGATCGGTGTTTGCTTCCTGCGGTACAGGCAAGATCATGAATAGGTTAACATTTAGAAAGTGATTCGGGTTGAGATTGCGAGAAAAACAATTTACATGCATCCCATGAGAACTGTTTTCATTTTGCTGAAAGAACACTTACTTTTTTGCGATCCGTGGAATGAACTTTAAAACGATGTTTGTGTTCAAAATGCCGTAACTTTAAAAGTACATGAGTGATCTGAATGATTCTTGTACTAAAAGAAAGCTTAATGACTGGGCTTTTATATCTTAGATTTTGAAAGTGCTGCAAGCAAAACTTCATTCAAAAATTGGACCTGCCATTTGGGATGTTTTTTTTTTTTTTTTTAAACCCTGTATAGTTATGTATAGGTGACTATGGTGGTTATACCATGACAATGATGGCGATGAAGGTGACTGTGCCAATGAAGGTGACTATGGCGATGAAGGTGACTATGGTGATGAAGGTGACTATGGTGATGAAGGTGACTGAGAGGATGAAGGTGACTATGGTGATGAAGGTGACTGAGAGGATGAAGGTGACTATGGTGATGAAGGTGACTATGGCGATGAAGGTGACTATGGTGATGAAGGTGACTGAGAGGATGAAGGTGACTATGGTGATGAAGGTGACTGAGAGGATGAAGGTGACTATGGTGATGAAGGTGACTGAGAGGATGAAGGTGACTATGGTGATGAAGGTGACTATGGTGATGAAGGTGACTATGGTGATGAAGGTGACTGAGAGGATGAAGGTGACTATGGTGATGAAGGTGACTATATATTTAGAAGGTGACTATGGTGATGAAAGTGACTAAGACGATGAAAGTGACTATGGCAATGAAGGGGACTATGGCGATGAAGGTGACTATGGTGAATAAGGTGACTGTGGCAATGAAGGTGACTGTTGGGATACGGCGATGAAGGTGACTACAGCAACGAAGGTGACTACGGTGATGAAGGTGACTATGGCAATGAAGGTGACTGGCGATACGGTGATGAAGGTGACTACGGCGACGAAGGTGACATGGTGATGAGGGTACTATGGCAATGAATGTGACCATGGCAATGAAAGTGACTATGGTGGTGAAGGTGACTATATGGTGACGAAAGTGACTATGCACAGAGTCTATACACCATTACACTAGTGCTAAGATTCACTGCGTAAACTCACATAACTCGCTCCGTGATCTGGTCACCAGTCATATTGATGGGGTGGTTGTAAGCTGTGATGCCGTACTGGTCTCGCTGCGATTCCTCAATGTTGCCTCGGAATTGCATGTTACTAGCCACGTTGATGTAGGCAGGAAGAGCATGGAAACCTGTGTTGTCCCACCAGACCTTTAAATAAATTGATAAGCTGGTTGATTGCCTTTTGAGAGAGTTGATATGGTTGAATAAAGTAATAATTACAATCAGCCAATATGCAGGCCTGTGCTGGAAGTCCCTAGTCTCCCAACTTGCATAAAAACTTACCTCTCCTTTTGTAACAGGTCAATAAACTCAAACTTTGTAAACCAACTTTCTGAATTTCACCTCCCTATTTTGGGAAAAACTTTGTTCACACATGAGAACAACCAAAATGTGCCATGATAGGGGACGAGCCACGTTATGGACTATCAACATAGAGTGCCATTACCATAGTGAGAGACCTGCGGCGCTGTAGCTGTCGGTCAGCACATGGGTGAAAATCATCACACTCAAGGCACACAGGCCTATTTTTCTCCATTCAACCAACAACCCTTCATTTACATCAAACTTTGGCTCTACTGAAATGCATGCTTTCTTATTCACTAATCCAGGTCCAAAAAATCTACCCTATTTTTTTCGAGAAACTAAATTGGCGGACGTGAATGTCACTTCGGCCCGCTGATTCGTGTGACCTCTTGGCGTGTACGGCTATGTTTCTTATGTGTGTGGTGGTGGGGGTGCAGTATTAATGACTTGACTGTGGTAAAGTTAAATACTACGTCTGTGTCTGCAAATTGATCAGCCGTTGATAAAATAGCAATCTTTTTTTGGCAATTTTCCCACGTTGCAACCAAAAGACTTTTTCATTATCATCTCAGTGTATATGGTGTATGTTTAAATGCACTTTCATATATTGAAGAAATGTGAAACGCAACTTTTCAGCCTGAAACGAAATTTAGGATTTTGCGGAATTTGCACTTTTCTGAAACGGAAAATCATTGGCCCTACATTTTAATGCCATAGTTGCCATGCACCGGTACTGCCGTGATAATTGTGTTTCACATGAAAACAAAATATCTCTCTTACCTTAACGTTCTTGAAGCGTGCTAGTGACAGCAGCACGGCATAGAACTCCCTCAACGTGCCATCTGATGGCAGCAAATCCCCAGCCTAGAACATGAAACAAAATTGGTACCAATAATAGCCGCATGATCAGCAAATCAAAATCTAAGGACAAGGTTGAGAACATTTCATGGAACCCAATTCAAATTCTCTAAAGAACTAAGTGTTTTCAGTCTAAGTAATAGTCCAATGTTTTAATCAACCAAGGCACTGCCTGGCCAGGGGCGGGTTTTTGCAACCATGACCAGAAACATGTTTCAGCTTTTTAGCAAGTAATTATCCATGGACTAATGCAGACTTGGAACTTAATGGCGGGCTAAGATCATTTGACATTTGTGCATTCGTTTGAAGCAACAAAAGTATATTGCGAGAAAACAATATTTCAATTTCAGTTCAAAAGTTTCCGGAATATGCTTTGAATTGCACCCAAAATCAGCATCCAATACATGTTCTCATTAAGCCGATTGCAAGCTTCATGATGTCACGTACTGAACCGACAAATAACAGCAACCACGCGTGTGTTCGCTCAGTTACAAACCAACTACTGATGGAAATTCCCAAAAATGCACCATATGCCGCATCTTTGCAAATGGCTTTCTTTTGTTGTTTGCTTCAAAATGACAGCATGCTAGGAAGAATAATTTCACAGGGACTTTATTTGCAATGAAGAGGATGGATCATTTTCAAAATGGTGACGGACTTCTAGATTTTTTTCTGTAACTTAAAAATTACACAAGTGATTTCAATGATTCTTGTATTAACAGAATTGCGCTTTCATATCCTACATTTTGAAAGTATAGTGAAATTTTCAAAAGTCAAACTCTGATAACTCAAAATAACTGCTAAGTCAAACAAAGAATCCATTGCCTTCAGTAGTATAACAATGATATACAACCCTGCTTAACTCAAACCTCTGCTTGAGTCAAATTTTGAACCTGATCCCTTAAGGTTTGACTTATCGAGATTTCACTCTGCTACATTCAGAACTTCACTATTAAAACAATGGTTCCAACATTTGGGCTTCAGTTTTTTTTACTCACCCTGTAAGTCTCAATCACCTGTGAGGGTTTGTGTATTTTTCTCGATTGTTGAAGTGTGGGTATTTAGCATTGGTGCCTATGCATAGCTGCCAACTTTTCATAATCCCAATTAGTAATCAACCCGCGCGGTCATTTTCAACTTCTCGTTTTATCAAAAGCTTTACCAACATCGAGTACAAGTACATGGTTTACATATACACATACATGTGCATACCCTTCTTGATGTGAATAATAATGTACTGTAGGCCAAAAGATAATTTAAAAAAAAAAATTTAAAAAAAATAATTTTTTTTTTAATATATATATTTTTTTATTAATTTTGTTTTAATGTCAGTATTTGTTTGTTGAAGTCAAATAAATAATAACAATAATAACGTGCGCATATTTTTTGGGAAATGCATGCTATCGATGAGTTTCGAGTTCGTATCAATGTTTTTACACACAATGATTTAGGGCCACCGTATGCAATAGAAATATCCCGCCAACATACCTTGCAAACGCATGCTGATTTATCTTTTCTGGACGTTGTGACAAACTCAAACTCTATTACCAATTATTCCAACCATACTCTTATTAAATTCCATGATTAAAATCTCGCACTGATGGGTCTCATCCCGGCAATAAGCGACCAAATGTGCTCACGATCGTCACTGAAAAGTACTCACATACACACAACCACACATCCACGATATGCACACAAATGACACACCATTGAAAAATAGTTTTAGTCTGGTCCTCAAGTACTCCACTGCGCACACTGCATTGATGTCTATCAGGTGCTTGACTGCATTCTTATTAGACTTGTCACCAGTCCATTCATTATCGCAATATTTCGCCAGAAGTTTTCGGCCCAAAACGATACTTTTACAAGTATTTTTTTTTTCGTTAAATAGAAAATGGGAAATTCGTAATGTTTTAGTGGCAAATCGTATTTTCGTAATTTAACAAAAAATTTGTAATAATTACGAAAAATTAGTAACAGTTGGCAGCTATGCCAATGTGAATTTATTTACTGGTCTGCACCCGTAACAACTCACATCTGGCGGAATGTCCTCCCTGGCTTCCATGGCCGTCACTCCTCCAGCGCCACCAAAGGGGTCATCCCAGTTGTTGCTCCAGTCAGTCAAGATTTCTTCACTGATGTTCAAGGTCAGCGGAGCCATTTCGTCCGTCTCCAGGAAACTCACACCACCAAACCTTTTGGGTTGTTGATAAAAGGAGACAAGAAATGCTTATAAAGGAAACATGCAGTGGAAATTCAGCTCATCTTGTTTTGCACATTACTATGTGTTGCAACAATACATACAAGATCTTAATACTTGTTTTCATTGGAAGTGACAAGAAATTAAGTTGTAATTTTCAATTATTAGCAAATCCTTTCATCGACACATGTAAGAGGGCTCTATTATGCTTTTGTCACACAAGGAACTCCTTGTCAAAAGTGTACATGAACAGTACAAAAATGTGTCCTTCAAAACTACCCACAAACAAGTTTTGAAGAAATATTGGCCACTACTATTGTCCAAACAAGCTGTTTAACACGATAATCAAGTAAAAAGTGGAACTTACTCCAAGAAAGTGAAGAAAAGATTGATATTTGTACGCAAAAATATATGGAGACACTACTGTTAGCTGCCTTGAATGACATCACACTTTGGCTCATGAATATGGACATTTTCATTAGCATAAAAACTAAAACGTTGACATTTCTCCTTTTTTACTGCTACAAAGGTGGATGCAATTCATTGTTACATAGCAAGATAGCTGTTTAAAACAAGTCATAAAAATTCTATTGCAGGTTTCCTTTAAGGAATAGAAAAAGCATAAGGAAAAAAACCTGCAAACCGTGTATGAAAATTTATGGAACTCCACTTCCACCACAATTTACTGTATTAAAGTTGCGCAACGTTTCACAATGTGCAACATTTTAGCTATGACACATTTCACGAAAGTTTTATGGTGCATAAGTCTGCGATTTGTCCAAAAAATGATGGCATAACTCATGCAATTAGGTGGTGTAATTTGTGGCATAGCAACTGAAAATGTACTGTTTTACCAGCAAATCGTGATCTTCGTGAAGCCCATTACCGCACAACCTATCAAGGTTGTTACAAGACACTCACTGACAGCTTTGTTTTTGAGGTCTATGTATTGTTATTTTACTTGTGACTGAATTTGTGCGTTTGTTGGGGTGTTTGTTTTGTTGTTTCTTTTTGGAGGGAGGTAAAAGACAGCACTGTCAACATTTTTATTTGCAGCACATGAAAAAATTGTTGTTTATTTAACTTAGCATATCTATTTGTTGATGCAATTGTTACGTCTTCCCTGCACATTCACAAACTTGAACTGTTTATCATTACAGCCGTGTGGTTGCGAAGGCCGATTTCTAAAGGTTACGTAATACTTTACTTTGAATGAAACAACATGCACACAGACATGTACACGTTCGCGGGCGAAATCTTTGAAAATCCAATTACTCCCGGTTGGAAGACCGTATCTTCATGTAATTTTAAGGGTTTGTTTCCCTTACAATGATCCAACTATGTGCTAAAAATTGTATTGAAATGTTCAGTACTTTCGTTGAAATTGGAAAAATAGGCCTGGTTACGTGCATTTTTAAAAGTTGCAACACAGCTGTTTGCAATATCTGTCAATCTCTTCAAGCCTCACAAATATTAATAAGATTCCTATCCATTATGGTGTGCAGAAAAAATTGGCAGAATAGCCTCCTTCATGAGTTATTAATTAATAAATATCACCCTTTTTGCCGACTTCCATTGGTTGATACTGAGACCCACGCGAAGTCATGCCGAGTCATGCTTATGAATATGCTAATATGCGCTTCGTCATTGTTGCCCCCAAATCAGCCAAGCATGCAAAGCCAACCTGAAAATCATGCACGCGAGTTTGGGAGGCAAAAAACCCTCGTCAAAATTTTGCTTGGAGATAGTTCAAGGTGTAACACAAGCGTTTGCAACAACAGATTAAGCTGAAATTCTGTATATACGTTGATGATATAAGTGTTTAACTACTCGTGAACTAACAACCTGAGGAGATTCCTAGAAACTGAGACAAATACATAGATTTGGGGACGTTTTCGAACGATTTCTTCCCGACTTTAAGGTCAGCTTTACCAGTATTGACGTTTTGGCATTGATGATGGCGATTTTGTCACTGACATAAAGTTTAGAATTTCTTCTTCCTTTATATATTAACATTTCATTCATACTGAGCATCTTTTCTGAGAGAGACACAACGTTCAAAAGGCCATATTTTTGGGGCGCATGAATTTTACTGCTCTGTTATAAGTACGTAATCGGATTAACTTTGTTTAACAACGGGGATGCTTAGGCCTTCGCAACCACACGGCTGATTAGATTGAACCATACCTTTTCCAGACGTATTCTAGTGTGGTTGTCTTGAGGTACCAACTGATGTTCATATTGGTATGATTCTGTAGGAAGTCTGTGGTCGGGACAACCCTCTCTGGAGGGGCTGGACCCTCGGCCCCCTTGTCACATGTCTCAAAGCCACTGCCACTGCAGTCACATTCTAGTTCACCCTTCAAAAATTGGTCATAGAGCGCTGGGTCCATGTGGGACGTGACGTACCAATCGGTTGATTTGCCCGGTTTACAAAGGAAATCCCTTCAATGGAGAGAAAGCAAGAAAACAACGACTCGTAAGAATTCTTATGAGACATTATTTTTTCATTGTGAAAAGAATTTCCTAATTTTGACACGATACAAGTCTTGACATCAGTGAGGCACTTTCAAGTAAGCTAGCACAGAAATGCCTTCTGCAACATGCACATCACACATTTTCACAAGGAAAACAGTGGTGGACAAAGGGGAAGAGGTGTAGAGCCTTGCCCCCCTCCCCAAACAAAGAATGAAAGCAAAACACATTTTATCATGACGCTTCTCTGGCTGTAGGGAACAAGAGGTTGGGGTGTGCTCTAACCCTTTTGTGGACCTGTAAACAATAGAGGTCCACAGGATGCAGGAAGCGTAAACGTTTTGTGGACTTGCACACGTCCACACTAGGTTTTCCCCTCTCTGGAAAACAGGTTTAGAGGCATTTATGGGTTTATCTGTCACATAATGAAGAGAAACACTCAAGGAAATCGCAATAAAAAAATTGGGTTGAAAGAGTGTTCACAGTGGGAGGTCAATGAGTGTTTTCTCAGGGGGCACATTTATGGCCGCAAAAGGGGCACTTGAGAAAATCTGGGGGGGCAAATGCCCCCCCAGCCCCCCCCCCCCCCCCCCCCCCCCCCCCGGTTCCGCCGCCCCTGCTCGGACCCAACATTAGTGACTCGTGACTTGGACTCAGACTCAACCCAAATGACTTGGGACTCGGATACAAGTCTGGGCTCCCACGAGTAGCCATGCATACAGGGCAATTATGTACACGCACGGAGTCAACAATATGACCAAAATTATTGATGTAAATTTACACAACTAACCTGTTCACAAACGGGTTGTCCGCCATACACCTGGTGCCTATGCCCGGCTGGTCCTCAGCTATGGTTGCCTCCATTCCTGCCGCTAGAGCACTGTCGGGGTCGTCATTACTGTAGAAGACGTAGTTTGGGGTACCGGTCAGCCAGGGAACCAGGGGAAGTTTCTCTCCCTCTGTCGGCACTGGTAGCACGACGGTGAAGACCATGGCAAGACAGACAAAGACTACGGGGAGGATAACCTGCAGGAACAAAGACAGATTGATGCATAAGGAATGGAAAAGGCCACAGTCTTGGATTACTGTTTAACACGTCAGCAACATTGCGTTGGGTGGCATGGGTGGCTAAGTGCGTATTAAAGCACTCGCCTCTCACCACTGTGGACCGGGTTCGATTCCCGGCTCGGACCATATGTGAGCAGAGTTGTCAGTTGATTCTCTCCTGTGCCACAAGGTTTTTTTCTATGGGCTTTCCGGTTTTCCTTCCTCCACAAAAATCAACACTTTCGATGTGCTCCGTGGTCAGACATGGGTCGTATGGCAGCTGCCTGAGACGTCTTTGCATGCCTTCGGCTCGACCACGTTGTAGCCGCCTACTTTGCAATCCAGCTTCTCAGCTGCGAGTAAGGATGATTAGCCCCCTATAGTATTATAACATTGTGTGTATTTATAGATCCATAAAGATCCATAGAGAGTCAGGCGGTTTCAGGTGGTACCGTGGGCGAATCGGGGTGGTATAAAGACTAAAGGGTTAATTTGTCGGATACCACCTGACCAATAGAACAATCCACTGAGTCGTGCATGATGTTTTGACCAACCACAGCCGTTATTAATGTCCGAAATTCATTCATGCGCCAATATCCGATATGTGTACATGCGCATATGATGTGTGCATCTGGAACATGCAGTATAGCATTCGAAAGGCCAAGTGTAGTTGCCCATGTGCGCAGTGGGCGTGTCCAAATGGATCGGTCTACTATCAAACCCCGCCCACTGCACACTTGAGAAACTACATTCAATGTCATGCATTTCCAGCATTCCACGAGTGCAGTGGGATAACACATTTATCTTCAAGCAAACTTGACACACAGTAAATATGGAAAACACATGCTGTCCAAGAAAGACATTTGAACAGGCACTGCTCCGACTTACCTGGGCAAAGAAGCCTTTCTTGCTGCGTCTGAAGTGATGGAATCTCTTGACCATGAGTGCCCAGAACTGTCTGCAGATGAGGCTGATGCCGTGAACCTCGCGACCGGTCAGGTTCCTGGCACACGGCTCATTGCTTTCTGCATCTGGCATGCGGACGTTAGCCACCGATACTGCAAGAGATCGAAATTCAACATCAGATGCCATTATTATCCACAACTGCACTTGCAGATCAATACTTGTGATTGTCTTTGAATGATCGAAAAGACTGTGGAATTTTGGGAATAGCATGTTGACACAGTTGTTGTGAGTGTGCAATGTGGTACTTTCCTTCCCTTTCACCTCTACGACGTGGGTTCGAATCCTGCCTGGGCTGACATGTTGATTGACTTTTCAGTCCCGATTTAATTGGTTTTTCTCCCAATTGTGAACTTGCACTATCATTTCTTTATCTCTGGGGAGTCAGGTTGGCGTAGCGGTACTTTCCTCGCCTTCCACCGCTGTGACCCGGGTTCGGATCCCGCCTGGGCCAACTTGTGGATTGGGTTTTCAGTCCCTGCCTGAATCTGTGGGTTTTCCCTATAATATCATTCTGGGGTTTTCCTCACACCTCTAAAACTGTCATTTCTTCTCACTGTCTTCTCTGTATAGGTTTCTTCAGGCTTGAGGAATCCCTGGTTTCATTACCATAAAAAATTAGTAATAATAATAATACAAATAAATATCCACTAGTCTCTCTAATATAAGGCCTAGTAGCTGCAGTAGCTATTGAGGAATCCTTGGTTTCATCACATAAAATAAAGTAAAGTCTGCGGTCAAAATTTATATCAACTATCAGTTGAATAAAGACAATTGACATTAAGTGGAAGTAAAAAAAACCAACAACGTCTTCAATACTCTACTGCATGGTGCTAAGCCAACTGAGCATTCCAACCCTTTGTTCACTCAGAGCATCATTTTTTTTGTACTCGTGCATTAGGCATGGATTCCACATTTGGGTTATGACAAGAGCACAACAGTTTGGATGACAGTCAAAATTCAAGAGACGGTAGCTAGTACATAAAGTGACAATGTTGTGTTGTCGTAGCTGAAGGTTCGCATTCTGCCGTAGTAATTTTTTTTGTTTAAATCAAAAATTGGTTTCAAAATGAAATGAATAGTTGAACGTGAATGGAAATGGAATATGCTACCTTGTCTGGGAGCTGCATGGAATGACAGACTGAACAATGACTGCATGGGCATGAATGTGCAATGATGGCCAGGACGATGAAGTCAATACCTGCAATGGCAATGCATGATTACGATCAGAAATGCACTATGGAAACAAAATGAACACCGAGGCCTCTTGAGTACTGTCAAGCACGGTTTTGTGCAAACTTCTCCTTGCTGATTCAATAATGATGACTCCCTCCCTGTAGGTTTTGGGTGACGTTGCAAATTACAAGGGATGAAAGGATTGCACTAGATCAAAGGGGAGGAAACGACTGCCAGTATTACATATTGGTTCTTGGATAGTCTAATCTCATTGCTCTAGAGTGGCCACATGTCAAGTTTATACAAATGATTGTGTCATAATTTACATAACTCAAATACCGCCTAGCATAACTTTTGAAACACAATGGCACAGCGTCTGGTGTAGCATACATTGCACATGTGTACGGCATGCTTTGCATGTCTGCAGCAGAGCATTTCATATCAGACATCAAACTCCACGGAAATCCAAGGTTACATTGTGGTGACATGTTTCACCTATTGCAGATTAAAGACTGGTTCATACACAGCACAAAAGCAAACGTGACTGTGATTTCTTTTTTTAGATCAAATCAAGTTTTCACGCAGCGAATTTGCAACAGTTGAACACATTTCAACTCTGGTGAAGTTTGTAGCGAGGATTTCATGATGTCAAAGTCGCTTCGCATTTGCGTTCGTGTGAAGCAGTAACGAGCCTTATGTCACAACTTTTCTCTATCTGACTTTTATAGTGGGAGGCGTGACACAGTATAACAATATCTGAATGCTGTGAAGTGGGACATGAGGGTTTAAAACGCCCCAAATTAAAGGAACTAGCCACCCTCAGTTTCGCCTTGGACGCCAAAAATTCCACCAACATCCCAACACACAGCAATCCACAACTGTAAATAAAAGCATGGATGTCAATAACGGAAATGACAATGAAAAATAGTTTACAGTTAAGTGAGCATAATGTTGTGATACCAAATAAACACTTTTGGAGATGGTACATAGGAGGACAGATGCAGTTGCAGTGAACATTTCTGAACGCGGAGCAGTACAGTGCATACTTTCTGTGGTGGTAATCAAAAAATGGAAGTGCAAAGGATAAGATAAATTTGCAAAAAGTGTGGGTATGGGGGAAGAAAAGCCTCCCTTGCTGCCCCCAACTTCCACTGCCAATGATGGACAATTGTCTGGCTCATCTTTTTTACAAGAAGTTGGATGGGGTGTGGCCTAGTGGTTAGGGTTCGTGACTCATGATCAAAGGGTCAGGGGTTCAAATCCAGCTGCTGACCATATGCTACGTCCTTGGGCAAGCCACTTCACCCCTACTTGCCTCTCTCCACCCATGAGTCTAAATGGGTACCGGCATTAGCCGGGGAGTAACCAGCGATGAACTGGCATCCCATCCAGGGGGAATAGAAATAACTCTCAGTCGTTTCATGCCAAGGAAACCGGAGATAAACATCAGCCTGATGGGCCACATTGGCCCGTGAAAGACTTTACTTTTTCCTGTACCCCCCATTCCACCACCTATGGACAGAATGTCTTGTTCGTACTTTATGTAAGAAGTTTCTAGCCTCACCGTCTTTCTTTTGTGTCTCCATAGCCTGGCGGCTGGCCTGGCGATTCAGCTTGCGGCTCATATGCCTGCTGATCTGCCGATGCATCTTGGGCCGGCTGGTTTGCCGGCTGGACTGCCGATTCAGCTTCTGGCTGCCGGACTTGTAGCTCCTCTGCCGACGGTTACCTCCTTGGCTTGCCTCCTCGCTAGGGCTGTCGGTATCCTCAGGATTCTCGGCTTCCTCCAGGTTGATGCTGTGGAGGCTCTGTGCGTCGGCTGTGGGTTCCTGAGCTGCTTGATGCTCCACGTCCACTTCTAATATCAAAACAGAGTATACAGGTTTAAAAGTTGACCTACCCCAACTGGGTGGTCCATGATTCTTAGCAAGTTGCATAACCTATCTTATGAACCTCAAGGCCCGTTCCCTTATGAGACTTTGGGGGGGGGGGGGGGGGGGGTCAACCACTCAAGTGGAATTTTTAATCTCAACAAGCGCAATATGTAATGTGTTTTGTTGAGGGAGCTTGCTTATTCTACCAATGGACGTTGGTTTTAACAAAAGTCATCATACTGGCAGTTTTGTACATCATGAGGCTACACAAGTTTAAAAAAATAAAAAGTTAACTTACTGGCGATTTTTTTCTTCGGGGGATGGGGGCGGGGGGGTGGGATGGAGGGGGGAGGGGCATTCAAGCCTCTGGACCCTCCCCAAGTACTTGCCTTACCTATACCCATGTACCAAAGTGCCATTTTTAGTTTGTTTTCCGAGATTAACCAACAACATCGATAACAGATCGAATAACTACCTTCAAATTGATTTTAAAATGTTTACATTACTTTCAAGTCATTGACACTTCTGTAAGTTTTCCACCAATACTGCTCAAACTGTCCATTTGAGGCATTTGAGAACAGTTAAACTTTGAGAACATGTGTCAGTGCAAACATTTGTGATGGGATCAAGCTAAATGAGTTGTTTGTCGACCCTGGTCATTCTTTTTTCTTACAGATCTAAAAAGAGCACAATCTCAGCATAACTGCTGTGAAAATCCTATGCTGGTACCATCTTTAGTTTAAAATTATGAAAGTCGGAACACCAAGAGATGTGATGAAGTGATGTGATGAAGTGGCCCTATTTTGGCGAGAATCTCCAAATGAAAGTTCCCGACAAACGACTCATTTAGCTTGATCGCATCACATTTGGTTCGTCAACTTTATGACCTTTGAATCTTAGAGCAACATGTGAACATGTACATGTATATGCTCAATGCAAACGTTTGGTTGGTCAACTTTATACCCTTTGAATTTGTCACTTTTTAGTCACTCACTTTTTATACAAAAATTAGACTTGTTCAATATTGGTTTTCTTGCCACTTCTATGGCTGTAGTAAGGGGACTTTTCTTGAAACCTCCAGGACGGTTTTGGGATAAAATTGTGCTTAACTGGCAGGCTGGTTTCAGGTGGAACATCCGTAACTAACTTGACAATTATTCAAATCCCCCAGATTACTCATTCTAAACGTGTGGCTTCAAGAAACATATGGATTCCTTTGGGGAACTAACCCAACGGGCAGCTTTTCATGTGCAACCTCTATGAGAGAACACGGCGAAAACAGGCCCTTTTTCGCATCTATCGCCGCCACTACATTATTCGACAGAGATTACCTTAGTTCTTACTGCAGTATGACCCTAACAATATATTCTTTCAGAAAATGAAAGAAAAACTGAATAAAACGTTGATTTTCCCTCGCCAAAATTATGTTGAACACTGCATTTTTAGTCAAGAATCTCTCAGTTTTGTGTGTAAACCACGCGTTCAGCCAAGAGCTGGTCCACTTATATCATCACAACGTTCAATAGCGCCACCTGGGAGCTTAGTTCTCTCGAGTCATTTTTCTTAGTCTCGTCAGCTTTCTAACAATATAACCCTTATTGTCATTGGTTGAGGTTTAGGCTCGCGTGTATTCATTTACAAAAGAATTGTCCATCTAAACTCCAATAAAATTTGCCGTTACTCGTGGCTGAGCGCGTAGGGTCTGTTTATTGTACCCGTGCATACATGTACACATAGCCCGGGAGCTTATCTCTATGTCCAAGGTCATCTGGCTGTGCGCTTTTGGTTGGTTCACATGGGGGTCCTTTTGACCACAAAGGAATTGATATGTCTTACCATCGTCGCTCACAAGTGCCTGTCCGTTAGCGGAAGACATGGCCTTGTGCCGCACTTTCATACTGCGCCTGCGTCGTTCCTTGATGCTGGAGCTCTGGGCCGGGAGTTGGTAGCTCCGCCTCTTCAGGCTGCCCCGCCCCATGAATGGGCGGGGCAGGGCCCCGTTGTCCGTTCCCTGGCTGGTTTCACCTTGGTTGAAGACTCCTACGTCGTCGGTGACTGACAGGAATACCTGTGGGCAATGGGACAGTGTGTCAACCCCAGAAGCTAACAGAGAAGTTTGAGGTACCACCTGCTAGAGCAGCATTTGAATCAGTTACAAGTCAAATCACAAGTCTATCACAAGTCAAATCACAGGTATTTTAAATATCTTGGATGAGGATAAGTACTGGTTTTATGATGGCTGTTTTTGTGCAATTTCAAATCAGAAAAACAGCTTTGTCTGACTTTCTTCAGAATCAGGCAGCAACTCTCAAAGTGTTGTCACGGGTAAAAATAGCATTTCATTTACTTAAAAAACAGCGCTATGAAATTCTCACTCGAGTTCGAGTCCCACCCGAGTGATTTTTTCCAACTTTCACTCGGGAGGTAACACACTGAGTATACAGTGTTTAAACGTCGGTGAAGGGCAAAACCTAACTTGATTTACATCATCCCGACGCAAAATTCCATCTTGTAAATATGAAATTCTTGATAGGTTTGGCAATGACAAGCATCTGAATATCAGGATAATCAGTAAAATAATCCATTTTCCTAATTCACATCTAACTACATTTACATACCATTTCATTTACTTCAAAAACAACGCTACAAATTTCTTGATAGGTTTGGTAAAGACAGGCATCTGAATGATCAGGATAGTCAGTAAAAAATAATCCATTTTCCAAATTCACGTCTTACTACATTTACAAAACTCCACCAGAGTTATATCTTCATCTGCATTCAAAGCAAAAAAAACCAAGATCTCTGTCGCTTCATCACAAATTCAACCAACCTCTTCCAAGGAGGTGTCCGAGATGCCAAAGTTGGTGATGTAGAGCTGATCTTTAAACGTCTCCAGTTCCTTGAAGAGGAACTCCAGGGAGCCTTCCTGGGTGGCTGCCGAGGGGAGCATGTAGGACAGCTCGGTGCCCAGGTTCTCACAGAGGGTCGCTGAGGGGAGGTAGCTCTGGATGAAACTGGTCACAGTTGCCTCCTGACACGAGCCGCAGTCTGGTAGGAAGAGAAAGATTTGGTCTAGTACTCAGTGGGGATCCTTTACATTACGTCGGCAATTGACTTTCAGATAAAAATTTGTGTCACAACAAATAGTGTGAATGAATGGGAAGTTTGTGGTAACACCATGTGAATGATATCTCTTAGTTTGCTCTGCTAGTTATCAGGAGACTGTCTCCTGATGACGAGCAGAGCATTGAGTTAAACCAACTGGTTCTTCTCAGAATCACACAACTCACTAAGGGATATCGTTTTGGTTTGCGGTAACACCATGTGGTAATAGCTACTGTCACTCAGTAGATATTTAGTTCTGATTAGAACTTGTCCTGCTTATTACCAACTTTCACTAAGTAGTTTAAGTTCTGATAAGAACAGTCCTGCTATAAGTTCTAAAAGAACTTGTCTTTGGTCTCAACGTTTCAACTAGCCTACTCTAGTCATCGTCGGGAGACAAAAAATACTTGGCGAAAGTTGATAATAAGCAGGACACGTTCTTATCAGAACTAAATATCTACAGAGGGACAGTACTTATTACCACATGGTGTTACCGCAAACTGAAACGATACTGATACTCCACCATGCACAGCCTAAAATCTTACATCACTAAGGGATATCATTCACATGGTGTTACCGCAAACCTCCCATTCATTGATCATGTCCACCATGCAAACCCTTAAGTCTTATTTAAATAGTGTGAAGGCATGATCTGTCAGCAAATGTGTTATCAAGCCAGCAAGCCACTTTTGTTAAAATGGTCTGGCAACACCGGTGGGCAGACCACCAGAACAGTACAAGGCAGCTGAGTTGGTAGAGTGCCAGTGCAGTAGTGGACAGGTCAAAGGAATATTTTCTACATGCACTTTCAAATAATAATCTTACATTTTTTAATGTCTTAAGGAATGATTTGGCTTGGTGTATTGTCCTTTATACCTGCAATGTCAATTGGGGGCTTGGATTTCTTGAGGCGCAACTCATCGTCGTCTGGCTCAAGGGCGACTTTCATCTGCTGATAAAAACATTAAAAAATAATCCTTGAAACCTCTAAAAAGTTTTGCATATCCATTTCAAAAGGAAACCTGCGGATCAATGACCTCTGCAAATTAGGTATTTCAATGTTTTATTTACAAATATGTTTATCTGTAAATCACAATGTTTATCATGATTCACATTTTATTCTAAATTCATAAGTAACTAAGACAGTTTACCCATTCCTATTGGTCGAGAGCCCTTCACGTGGCTGGTCTTATACGGTTGATAAAACACCGGCTGGCCGGTCTTAAACACTTTTCCAGTGTCACATGAAATTTGGACTCCTATGAAAGCTGGTTCCTTTTACCCTTTCATTGGTTGAGCATTCACAATCCTCACTTAGGCATGCGCAATACTACCAGTGAGTCAGTATTTCATAGTCCTCAATTCACATAACACCGGCACAGCTGTGTTCTGCCCCACATCGCGCAGTACTCGCCACGCGCGCCAATCTCCATAGCTTCCCATACTTGGGCCCAAAACCTAGTGCTGCAAATTCAATCTAGCCCTGTCTGGAAGAAACTGCTTTTAATCTTGGTCATTAAATATCTTTGTTACCCGAAATTTCCATGTTGACACCATTAACTGATCCTGGGCCAATTTCATGGCTAATTCTGTGCTCACCATCAAGGGCGGATCCAGGGGGGCCAAAGGGGGCCATGGCCCCCCAAAAAACGAACCCCATTTTTTTTTAAAGGGACGTTGCAATAAAGGCAGGCAATGAGTACACCACCATCTTTTCCTCAAAAAGCATTGGTTAAAGTGGTCAGAAATTGCCTCAGGTCGCACCACTAAGCATCTAGAATCAAAAAATTTTTCTGATCTCTTAAGCGGGCCTCGAACCCCACGCCGTAATTTTTTTGGCCCACTTTTTGGGAGATCACATTTTTTTTGGCCCCCCCCCTAAAAATAGTGTTCTGGATCCTCCCTTGTTACGATCACCACTCTGTGCAACAGGGCTTGCAAAAAAAATCTGTCGTAATCCTGTAAGCACAGAATTGTTTGTTGCGAGTTGTACGCATGCGCATAATCCAGAATTCCATGCTAACCCTGAAATATGCTAACCGTAACTGCAAAAGTTTCTGCTACAGTAAGCGGAGATTTTGTGCTAACAATAAGCAGAGACTTCAAATTTGAACTAAAGACTTCCTTCCAAAAGTTACCTCAGTTGGCTCTACAAGATCCAAGTCCATCTCTTTTTTCGGTTTCTCCTCATCCTGGTGTTGATTCATCATGGCTCCTGTGACGAGATCTGGACCGTTGCTCATCTCGGTCTGGTAGGCCGGGTCTGTGAGCTGCGGGGAGACCGGGATGTTATCGCCTGGTATGCGCTTGTTGAGGACGAGGTAGTAGCCGCTTCCGAAACGACTCTTGAGGAACAAGGAGGAACCCGAGCATCTGAGCTGGCCGGCGGAGATGATGGCAATGCGATCGCCAAGGACATCTGCCTCGTCCATGTGATGGGTGGACATGATGATTGTGCGGCCTGTGACATATAAGCAGGGATGTTGTCACAAGTCAATCGAACTATGGTCAACCATAATCTCACCAACTTCACTCTAACACAGGATGGCTCACTATGAACCAGAGGTGTCTGAAACTGGCCATGATAAGTTTCAGACATTTTTAAGTCAACAGACAGGCAAGTTTCTTGATAAGCTTTTTGTTTCGGATATTTTAAGGTTCACAGAAGTCTGATATGTAAGTGGTTTTAACAGGTTTATGTTTCAGACAAAAAAATATCTGAAACAGTGACCACATGTCTGAAATATCATCGCCATTGTTCATGTTTCAGACAGTTTGTCCGGAACAAAAGTGTTTCAGACATTTTTTTGTTCATAGTGGCTGGACTAGTCACTACCCTGGTTGACTATTTTGAACCAGAGCCTGAGGCACAGTTCCATATCTGGTTACCAATAGCCATGCGAAGGCCGGTCGACAAGGGGGGAACAGCAAGGGTGGCTCCCCCAAACACCCCCCCACCCCCCCCCGACGAGCAACTGACCCCTCCATCGGCAAGAACCGTAAAAATGCGTAAAATTGTATACAAGTGTGTTTTTTTTCTTGAGGTTAGCCCCCCCCTCGTTTGTACTGTGGCCCCCCTCCTTAATGCTTGGAGCTGGCGTCATGGCTGGCCGTGCGCATTATAATGCCAGGTTAAAGAAGTGTTGTGATGAAGTTATGACCAGTATTTGAAGAGAAATTCCCAAGTTTATTTTAGTGCATAGGCGCGAGTTACATCAGGAGTAAACTACTTGTCAACTACTAGTGCTCTCTGGCACTTGCTCCATGTCTCAGCCCAGACAAGTGGCTCCCAAACCCCCTTAAAAACAGACATGAGGGGTGCATGGGCATGGGTGGGCTGACACCAAGTAATACATATTTATAATGTTCATTGACAGTCTTGCATGCGTAGCCAGAAATTCTACAAAATCTCATCCACAGATTCTGTCTCACGGTTTCACATGGCATGTTTACTATTCTGTCATGTATGGCCAAAAAGACTTCACAAAGTCAGCCTGGCTCTAAAAAAGAACTATAGCATATAAGATTTTAGGCTTTGCATGGTAGAGTATCGGTACCTTTTTGGTTTCAGTGACCCACGAAGTGTTCTCTTTTGCCTCGGTTTGGAATCGGGACAATAGGATGCTTCATAGATCATCTCGAAAGGCTTGCTTACTACACTAGCTTGAGTCAGTCAATATTTGTATAATAGGATTTATATTTCGTCTGTTAGTTACTTGAATGCACATCCTCATGATTCCATCTCCTTTTGTTCTTATATTTTCCAGTTTTTCTTATGGTTTGAGTCAGACGGGGCTTTAAAACACCTTTCTACAACTGGGGTTTGAATGTCATCAATTCACATTTCCAGAAAAGCAACTAGAGAACTTACCTTCCTTGTACTGGCCAAGTAGTTCCCAGATCTCTCTCCTAGCATAGGGGTCAACGCCGGCCGTGGGCTCATCCAAAATGACCATCTTGGATCCGGCCACAAAGGCCATTGCAATGGACAGCTTACGCTTCATGCCACCTGAAAGATGATGAGAAATGATGTCAAAAATGTTATATAATTTTAGTTTAGGCACTCTCCTGAAGACGGTCAGAGCATACTGACCGGAACGTCGAGTTTATACCTCTGGTTCTTTTCAGAACCATTCTCTTAGTTGAGAAATTATTCGCACATGGTGTTTCCGCAAACCTTTCATTATTTAGTATCTCCACCATGCAAAGCCTCAAATCTTACTTAAATAATTATAAACTGAATAAAGAAATTGACAGGAGACAGGTTCGAACGTGCAACCTCGGGAATACCATACTGGTGCTCTACCAACTGAGCTATCCAGACCTATGTTGGCCGTACCCAGTTTATCAATGTTTTAGTTTAAGGGTCGTAGTTAGATGCCATAAATCCATATAATAACCATGTAGCCGGGGAACGTGCCTGAAATCACGATGCTAGCAAAATTAGAAACGCTGCAAACCTGGGAAACAGCAAACAGGGATCACTCAGAGATATTTCATTACAAATCGTAAAATAAATCATAAGGGGAGATTACATGCGTAACAAAAAATTGTACATTTGAATTTGAAGGATTGCTACAAAAACGTAAATTCCAAAATAATGCTGAAGAGACAAATATATCCTGAACCCTTTGTTTATAAAATACATTTGTTGTGATTTCAAGCTTATGGTTATTGTAAACTTTCAGTATAATTCTTGAGTAATTTTTTTTTTTCAATGGATAGAGAGAAAAAACAATGAAACATATCTCTTTTTTTCACATAAGGACTCAGTGCACAAGTACCCCCTCTACAGTTACAAAGGGAGAGTTGGGGGAGACCACTGGAAGGGGCATTTGAATGCACTGATGACGCCTCATGCAAAGACGCTATGGGTTTGTGCACATTCAGAATAAAGCTAGTCATGTGTACTTCAAGCCATACGTGTCAAACCAGTACGCCCGGGTGGTGTGTCGCTCCCATTGGGGCTCTTGAAAATGGTCACAAAGCGCCATTTCATATTCATGCGCGGAGTCCATATAAACATCGCAAGAAAGACTAAGTCCAAACTCGTTGGAGGGGTCACAACTTTAAATCTGATCCTATTATGATAACGTCATTTATGTAGACTTTTAGGGAACGTTGTTGGCTACATTTTGATACCCCGTTTGCTACCAAAGACTGTAAATCGTCTTTTAAAAGATTGACAACGGTTTATGAAAATTCATGCAGTTTGAAAAGTTGCACGTTTAAAGAATACGCGGGTCGAGTGGAAATTGCTGTGTGACAATGTGACACTGCCCAAAATGAACGGCAGGGGACATCAATCACACCAAGCTTGTATGCATGGGAACATGTGAAATTGAATTACCCGCGCTTTGTTTGGGCACTGTGCAGTCAATAGGGCCAATGAATTACAGGCACGTGTGTTGGCACTCAGCAATTTCTCCTCACGTATCTCTTAAGTTTCAACTTTTCCGTTGTCAATCTTGAACAATTTGCAGTCTTTGGTAGCAAACGGCGTATCAAAATGTAGCTAACAAAATTCCCAAAAGGTGTATATAAATGACGTCATCATGAGACGATCAGATTCAAAATTATGACCCCTCCAATGAGTGTGAACTTTTTCTTTTTGTGGTGTTTCATGTGTGGGTGGGGGTGTGGAGGGGTGGTGCACATCAATAAAACATCTGATGTGCAATAGTAACAGCAAACCCAGGTATAGTCTGTTACCTGACAAGTCGTTCACCAGTTCATCTTTCTTGTTCACCAGACGTAGGTGTTTCAGCATTAGAGTCATCTCTGACTTGATTTCATGATCGGCTGCACCCTTCACCCGAGCGAAAAACCACAGATGCTCTGCCACAGTCATACTATTTAACATAAAAAGGAATACATAAATGGAGAGAATAGACTGCTGAAAGTGAATAAGAAAAATCAATGAAGCATTTAACCGAGCTCAAAAGTTGCAAAAAAAAACTAAACAAAGTAAAAAACACCAACAAGCACAAACCCTCCACAAAAACAAAGCAAAACAAACAAAAATAAATGGGAAAAAGGCCTTTCCAAAATTCTGAAGAAATTTTTGAAAGTGTGTATTATCATAAATTACGAACATTGAAAAAGTTGTTCCAAAATGCTAGTTCAGCATTTCAACTGCGAACGAGTGTACAAAGTTTTGAATACTTAATAAGTTTGGGACACAGCAAATAAATGTACACAATGTTATGGAGGCAATGATAATCCAATCTGCAATCTCCAAGAGATCAAAATCGGAGCAAGAAAAATACTTGTGTACTAACTAACTTAAAAAGAACTTCTCTCCGTATTTGTTGCCACCTTCACTCAAATACGTTTGTCCCACAAAAAAAAACCCTAACAGTCAAATTGGGCATGTTTTCAGAAAAGTGGGGGCAGCATTCAAAATCATGCCTAATGTGTTGCTGAGTAGAATAATTGGTCTTCCAAATACTTTTTAGTTGGTTTCATTAGGATGTTTTGTTCAAATGATACAGCAATCACAATACGGGACTTGAAAAACCACTTGGGCCACTTTTGTATTTATCAAGTTTACAAGCTGGTAGAATAAGTCACACATTGCTCCTGAACAATGGAAATAAATCCTTTGTGCGTTTCTTTAACTGCGTTTTCTCACTTTCAAGGAAAGTGGCCCAAGAAGATTTTCAACCTGGAGTTTGATGAAGCGTAGCATTTGTTCCAATGCATCAATTTGAATGAAATAAAGTTTGTATGGTAGATTGGTTATCTGACTTTAAGAGGTAATTTGAAAATATTCCAAAACTCACTTGCACTATACCTTTATTAAATGGTTTTCGACTGTTGTGGGACAACCTGTATTATTTGATCTGCAAGCACATGGAAAATTGTTTACTCTGCAAAGGAAATTACCAAATTTTGAAGTGCCCTATCCAATTGGCATATTTTACAAGAAGAAAAAATGCTGCTTACTAGTCAAAGAGCACATTGTGTTGTGGGCACATGCCAAGGCTCTTGCGGATTCTACTGATGTCCTTCAAGATGTCCTTGCCATAGATGTAAGCGGTACCGGCCGTGGGTGGAAACAGCCCCGTCAATATAGACCTGTGTCAATAGGAAGCAAAACAACACAAAAAACAGTAACAACTCAAATAGACACTAATTACGATTTAACACCGATTGACAAACGGTTTGTACATTTTAACAAAACTTAACAAAACAGATACTAAGTATTGATGAAGTCCAAAACGTGCACCTCCTGTGTCCAATCTGTGCAAGTTGTGAAGTTACTCGACATTAATTTTATAAAGCCCACAGGTTATAAAGCCCACAAGGGGCATCCAAAATAGTTTCAATGTAATATTTAAGGTATTATTTCAGGCTCTTGAGATAATTTCTTGCATTTTATTATTATTATTATTATTATTATTATTAGTTTATTTTATTAAACTTTCACAGCCATAAGGCCGAATTGCAGTTTAATTTACACACATTAGAAATCGTTATATATTAAAATTACAAAGAATTACATCGTGTGAAAGATACATTAAAAAGGTAAATCACAACAAAATACACACAAGTAATAAAAATTAAAATCATTCAAATCCGACTGCGTAAAATACGCAGTCGCAGTCCCCCCCACAGAGATGACCGTCATTGAGTGAGCTCTATACGTTCATGCATACCCAACCCACTACATGTAATAAGTTTACCGGAAACTGTGACCAACAACGAGTTCCTTCATCAACTCGGGAAAAAGAGGTCACATATCTTTGTTAATCAGTAGGGAATAGAGCAGTAATAGTACCTGTTAGTCCTACAGCATATTGTGCTGAAACGATCATTGTTCCTTAACCCATTGTTCCTAATCGGGGGCAGCCAGTCTCTGAATTTGTGGGAAGTGAGTAGTGATTTGCCAAACACGGAACACAATTGTTCTCTGCGGCGGGAAAGTGGGGGAACATTGAGTTGGGAACATATTTCACTGTAAGACCTATTGAGACAATATTCATAAGACAAAATGATACGAAAAGCCCTGCGCTGTAATTTTTCTTTTGAAATAAATTATTTTGTGCATGCAAAATTTGTTGGGTTTTTGGCACTAGAAAGCACAGGCAGGAAACCAGAATACTTCTATTCCCCTGGATGGGATGCAAGTCCATCGCAGGTTAGTCCTCAGCTATTGCCGGTACCCATTTATACTCCTGGGTGGAGAGGGGCAAGTGGGGGTGAAGTGGCTTGCCAAAGGACACAGCAAACGACCGGCTGGATTCGAACCCCTGACCCTTGATCATGAGTCATGAGCCCTAACCACTATGCTACACTTAGTGGCCAACCACATTATACCAGTAGTCAGCTATGATTTCTATGCTCACATTGTGGTGGTCTTGCCAGCGCCGTTGTGCCCCAAGAAGGAGGTGATTTGCCCCTCGTAGAAGTTGACGCTCAGGTTGTTGACGGCCAGTTTCTTGCCGGTCTTGTAGATCTTGTACAATTTGTTGATGGAAGCGCCAAGCTTCAGGTGGGTGGGTTCTGGCTCAAAGTCAGAGTTGTCTGAAATTCAATTCATGAAAACATTTATTTCCGCTGCGGCGCATATTGCAGCCACTGCCAGAAACACCGGGGCAAACCCCTTCTCTCAGTGATAAGTGTTACTGGGTTCTTTAACATGCATAACACAACACACGGGACCTCTGGCTTTACGTCCCATCCAAAGACGAAGCAATAATGGTGAAGTGTCTTCCTTAAGGACACAAGTGTCAAGACGGGGACTCGAACCCACACTCTGCTGATCAGAAACACCAGAGCTTGAGTCCAGTGCTCTTAACCGCTCGGGAAGGGGGGGGGGTGGTAAGGGGGATATTTGCCCCCCCCCAATATTTTGTAAAGACTGCCCTTTTCCATTCAATTGCCCTTTTTTCATCAGCGTTTAACCCCCCCCCCAATATGTCGAGTGCCCTTATTTTGTATGTATTTTGTTTGAATTTAATTGGGAATTTTGAGGCTGGTATACCTGTTGGCAGATCTTTACCAGATGCCAGTATGTCCTCATCCAGGGCATCGGTAGCATGGGAACCACACCAGTACGATCGTTGGAATGGGAAATAAAAGGGGCGGGGCATGCCGTAGGCACCTGCATAGAATGTACAACACAATAAGACGGGTTGTTGTAAAAGCCAATCAGTATAAAACTGGTTCAAAAGGAATTTGACATCACTATAAAACATGAAACAGCTATCACTTTTGTTCAGCTCTTCTAAACTTTTACGGAGAGTGCTTGCTAAAGCCCAGACACACATTCACGGTTTGGAGCTACGGATCTCCACGGTTTGAAATTTGTGATAAACCACGGGAGTACCGTGGTTATTTGTCCACTTCCTTGGGTATTCGTGGAGGGGCTATGGAAGTTTTAAACTGTTTCAAACTTCAGTGGTGAATCATCATGAAAATCAATCCGTAGTGCAACCGTGGGACATCGGCAGGATAACCGTACTAATTCGTAGTGTTATTCGTGGCTATTCGCACATATTCTTGGAGATTCGTAGATCATTCGTGGTGTAAATCTCTACGAATTTGCTACAAATGTTCTACGGATATGCTAGGATTCTGCTAAGGTTGTACTACGAATGTGGTTGCTTTATTGCTTGGTCATCCGCGGCCTGATCGCAGACAACCGAGGCGTTAACGTCATTATTCTCAGTAATACCGTCGATATTCTTCAACAATCTGCCTAAATTCTTGACAAACCGTGGTGTATTTGTAGAGAAACCTTAGGACAGTCGTGGTTATCTGTCCTGAAACCGTAGTGCATTCTTAGAAAGTCGATATCTCAACGAATCTCGACGGTTCATCGTGATCGATTGATTCTTGGTAAACCGTGGATATTCGTAGCTCCAACCGTGAATCTGTGACTGGGGCTTGAGACATCACATTCAGACTCGCATTCACAATAAGCCTCTGTACTGATGACGTCACGCTTTGTTTACATTTGTGCTTTCTCATAGGAGCCTGGTGGGGATGACAGTTTCGTAGCCCCATTGAAAAAAAAACAATTTGAAAGCATTTTGATTACGAAAGGCTTTTCTTTTAATCCAAGAACGTACCTGGGAAGACCCCCTCAATGTACCATGTCAGCAGCATATAGATGAAGGAATCGACCCACATCATCGCCAAGACTTGCAGGAAGGTCATGGATTCACTGGAGGATTTAGGCATCTCGTTAATATTCCACCACTGTATGCCGGTTGATTGGGTCTCAAAGAGACTCAAGAACTGGGAGCTGTAGCCGAACGCCATGGTGTTCGACAGGCACTGCGAGAAAATTCAGCCATGTTAAGTTGCTATTAGTGATACCACGGATTTGTTAACATCACAAGCCTTGGGCTCAGCTAACAGACCTGGGCCGATTTCACGAAACTCTTTTTATCTTGCGACTCCTTTAGGACTTAAGACGAGTCCCCGCTCTACGATCGATCTTAGCTAAGACGAACCCTAAGACCCGGGGCTCAGCCGGGTCAGCCACCACAGACCCTGCTCATGTAGCAGAGTCACTGGTGGAAATACATCACACACATGCGTTGTTCATTCTAAGAAACGGACAAATATGGCGGCCGGACAGCGGCAAAGTGGACCCAAAAATCATTTTTATTTGAAGTCTAAATGTAATTTATTCAGACCTCATTGCGACTTTTAATAGCGGCTATAATTTGAGCCCAACTTTGTTACTTTTTGCGATTGACGGAAAAGCAGTCAATCTCAAAATAAGGCTCTGTCCAAAAAGGGCGTTTTGTCGCTGATAAAAGTTTCATGAAATCAACTACTAGTCGGATTAAGAAAGATCATTGGAATGTTTGGCACCATCCTACTTACCAGGAAGAACTTTGCCACAAGAGGTAATTGGGAATCCCAGGCGTAGGCCATGCTGTAAGGGACGTACGTCAGGAAGAATATCACGGCGCCGCACGCCGCCGACAGGTTGGCTTTGGAGAAGAAGGTACTGATCAGGAAGCACAGGGTGACGGTGGAGACACTGAATGATACCATCATCAAGAGAAGGATGGAGGTGTCAGTGTTTATCGTGATATTGCCGACCTGGAAAACAAAACAGAAAGACAATTGCACCAATAGGCCTTTTGACACTATCATCTCACCTACCTGCAGTGGCACCCCCAGGTTGTCAATTTTTTTTTTTTGGGGGGGGGGTAATTTTTATTTTTTAGTCCCATGATTTTACCTTGGTGATATGTGTGTGGCCTATTTTTGAGTAGTATAATAGGGGTGTAAAGCCCGGTTAATACTTCACGCGAAAGCTTGTGCGAAGCGAAATTCATGTTGTCAACAATGGTGTACGCGCTTCGAATGTATTGTTGACGTCACAAAGTACGCTTCACTTTTGCTTTCGCGTGAAGTATGAACCGGGCTTTAGTGGCACGCCTCCAACGCCAAAATAGTTAGTCCCCCCCCCCCCCAAAAAAAAAAATTCTAATTTTTTTTCTGCGGCCAAACGTTTTTGGCAACAATTTTTGAAATTTTTTTTGAGCCCCCCCTCCCAAGCCAAATCCTGGGTGCGCCACTGCCAACCTGAGTTGAAATCACCGCATAAGCAGAATCGAGTTTAATTGGTTCCCATCATGCCTTGTGCGATCTTCACCCCTAGAATTGTGTAATTAAAATGTGCCACTATTTGGCACATTTCAATTAGGACTGCAGTCGATGTATCTCACGTGCGACGTAGATGGCTATAAACATTTGGAAGTTTTTTTGTAGAATCAATCCTTTCATGCATGAGATTTCAACGTCGCGTTATTACGCAAGCATTTATATTAAATGTACGTACCTCTGTCGTCCCTTTACAACACAAGATACAATTTTTTTTGGCAAAAAAGGAGGCTTCCACAATCCATATTGTACAGGCAACGCGCAGTTTTGAAGAAAAAAATGTTTGTACGTGAAGAAACGTGCAGGAGATAACGCGTGAGCGAATACAGGGTGTGCACTCTTCAAAATACACATGCAGCATGCTCGGAGTAGCCAGTCAGCATCGTTAACATATTCCTCATGGCCAGGGGCAAGTGAAGAAATGTGCACGTCCCCACGGAGTCGAGGCTGAGGCATACTGTTCACACTAACACCGGAGTGTACACTGGCCAGCTGTAGATTTTAACCCAGGTAGCCTTGTGGGGCACTAGTCAAAATTCACAAACATGTTTATGCACAACAAATCAATCACATCCAGACAGACAGACAGTCGGACCGACTGACCAACAAGATAGCCTACCTTCAGAACCAGGACCAGCAAGCAGCTACTGACGAACATGACCACGAAGCTGTTGATGAACCAGGCCACCCAGTGCACCCCGTTGCCCATACCCATGACCTTCATCATCTCCTTGAGACGCAACTCCTTCTCCAGGACGACGCCTTTGATGGTCATGGCTACCGAGAAGACCCAGGCCAAGACCATGAAGAGCGGCAGCGCGACCCCCAGGGTATTGATGAAGCTGGGACAGTACAGGAAACAGTCACAGAGGGTGTTAGACATGAATGGGGAGGGGGGGGGGGCAGATCCATGATTACCAAAAAGGGGGGGGGGATTGACCTTTGAGGGCCAAATTCCATTGGCAAAATGATAAATATGATCAAAGCAGGGAGGCCTTACAGAGTTTGTGTATATTTATTTGTATGTTATGAAAGTTTTGGCGTGGTACAATCAGCAAACAGTTTACAAATCCAGCAGCTAATCTTTCCAGGGTACTAATTCCCGAATTGAATTCGTGATCCTAGAATTTTGTTTTATCGGAATATACAGCATTCACTGAGCTGAAATTCATCAGGTTAGTTGTTCAGCATCCATCCGTAGATTATGAACACTTTTGTTGCTTCAAACAAAAAAATGCACAAATGACAAATGATACATTCTACCTTTAATGTTTCATTATCGTGGAACTGTCTCATTTTGAAGTTTCGAAATTCCCGCAGTGTATTAGCGTAACTTATTATGGTGGGTGAAGTTCAAAACTGAATGTAAAGAAAGGTGCTTAATTGAACCTGTTTGGTGAGATTGATAGCTGAACACAAACACGAAACAGCCAGCGGCAAATTAAAGAGCATTTTATCAAAACTTTTATCAATGCTTCACCGTTGAAACAAAATCACAGGACTATAGAGGGCGCTGGATAATGAGACATCTCTGTTTCATGTGCGTGCGCATATGTGCACGTGCGGGGTAGCTCTTTTCAAGGCGCAATTGTACATCGACTGATGAAAAAAGGGTGTTCGGTTCATATGCTTAAGGTGTAATAATTGTACATCTTGACAAATCTGTTCAAGTATCCCACTCACAAGTCACTTGAGTAGCACGGGTACGGGAACTCTTGGATGTACACGCCGGCGCCGGAATCTTTCTTTCCGAGGGACGCCTTGATGATACCTTGCTCAAGCATGTCTTGAAGAAACACAAAGCCGCCCATGATGTACTGTCCATACTGGAAGACATTACTCATGGGTGTCGGGTACCAAAAGCTGAAACATCCACATCCAAAAAACTTACCAATAAGCAAATCTTCAAATCAATCACAACGGAAAACTAACTAGGTTATCTTTTTTTGACCAAAGTTGAACAAAGAAATTGACCAGAGCGGGGTTTGAACCTGCAACCTCCGGACAACCGGAGCTATCCAGCCCTATGTTGGCGGTCCCCCAATTCGGGCAATTCACAATGCAGTGCGCATCAAGAGTTTGCCATGGAGAGTCCATTGTGCAGGTTTTAAGGTCGACAAAACACTGCCCATTTGAATGAGTGTCAGTAGACAACTTGAGTTAGTATGTTATAGACTGGGGCATAGCGTTCTGCCGCCTTACAAAATAAAAAACATATTGATAAAAAGAAAAAAGGCAAACATATACTTGAATCATACGCTCACGAAACTACTGACCAGAAAAACTAACAATTTCAAATGTCCCCCGCATTGCAAATTTGCCGACCATCTTCCACAATGCAACTGGGAAAAATGAACTTTCTGTGGCAAACTCTTGGTGGTGCACTGCATTGTGAATCGCCCAAATTTGCCAATGTCTTTGTTAAAGACAAGCAAATTTTGGAAAGCAACTTCAAAGGAAGTTCATGAAATAGATCCCTTTCATATTTAACCAAAGACTACTTGATGACAGGGAAGATGAATTACTAATTCTTAAAAAAGTTAGTAGTTCTGATTTAAATTTTGATGTCTCTCTTTTTTAAAAATTAATTATATCATTTTTTTTTTTACTTTTATGTCATCCAAAAATTAATGAAATGAATTTGTTGGCCTTACCTCTGTTTGTCTTTTTCTGTGCTTCGTACCATACTGCTGTCCATGCGCAGTTGATAAATCACATGGGGTGGAATTGTGTCATTGGAAGTGGACTTGTTAAAGCCTTCAAACACAGCACCTAGATGGAAAGAACAATCATTGCTATACACAAAAGCGCAAAGGGTGTATGGGTGTACAAGCATTACATTCACTGTGTGGACTTCCGAACATAAGAGGTCCACATAAACCAGGTAGCAGCAACGTTGTGTGGACTTGCCCACGTCCACACAGTGTTTCCCCCTCTCTGAAAAACAGGTTTAGAGGCATTTTAGGGTTAGGACTATCGGTGGCAAAATGAAGAGAAACACTAAAGGGAATCATAGTAAAAAATTAGGTTGAAAGAGTTTTCACAGTGTGAGTAAAAAGAGTTTTTTTCACAGGTTTTTCATACATCCCAAGAACAGCAAGACAAAGAAAGAACAACAGAACTTTCGTTGTTAGTTGAGAACAGTACTCGAATGTTAGTCTGTGTGCTAAGTCGATAGGAGAGTGTTATCGTATCAGAACATAGCACTCACTCAAATATTACTACACGCGCTGCACACGCACAGTGCATTTAGGCCTACATGTATTGTGTGTGTGTGGAGCACAGTACATGTGCGCGCGCGCGTCCATTTGTATCGCACGCACCAGGATTTCGCGTTATAAAACAAATACGCTACTCTTGACTAGGGCAACGGGTTACAATTCACCAATCACCATAACTTTTACATGAATGTAATGAGAAAGTATTAGACTCCAACAAGCCGCTTGATCCAAATGACAACAACAAATGCTTTGGGAGTTATAGCAGGTTTTCTTGCGCAAAGTAGCGCAAAACGTGCGTTTTTTTCACACCTTGCCACTGACTTTTACCGAAAACTTGTTGACTTTAAAGCTATAGTCCATCATTTGTAATTTGTGCATTTTGTTCGTTTGAAGCAACAAAAGGGTTCAAAATCTAATGAAGGATACTGAACAACTAACCTGATGAAGTTTCAGCTCAGCTTCAGCTGTACATTCCGAGAAAAACAGCATTCTAAGATCTCAATTTCAAATCAAAAGTTACTGAATCATGTTTTGAATTGTTTGAATTGCAGCTATACGCGACGTAGCGCACTGATCCGACGAATTATAACAACCGCGCGCGTGTGTGCGTCGTTCCAATACTTGTGCGCGCTGCACTGAATAACAAAACGAACTACTAATTAAAATTTTCCTACGGTGCTTCTTAAGAATCACCGTTGGAAATGCCTTCTTTCGTTGATTACTTCAAAATGACAGCTTCCCAGAAAAAATAATTTCACAGGGAGTTTAGTTCCCTTACTATCTTTCAACTAAGTTTGTTTTTCAACAATAATTACGCCAGTTACTTTTCGGATGGCTGCAAATGATGGACTATAGCTTTAACTGTAACAAAGCGAATGAGTGCTATGTTCAGTTATGTTACAGGAACAACAGTAAACACAATGCCTTGTCCTGAGACCCATATGTGTGAGTGCATTCACAAGTTGTTCCCCAGTTGATCGACAAGTTGATCGCCAGCGAAGCAGGTGTTTGCTTGCGAAGCAGGCGAGGCAACGCCTCGGCAAATCATAATATTAGCATCACTCCGAAATTTCTTGACAAAAGTGTTCACATATGTCCCAGGTTGAAAGGTTGGGAAAATAACGTAACATTTCAAGAAGTATACCTCCCCAGAATGTACGGTTTCCTTGTAATTTGCTAGCAGCTTCTTGGAATTCTTCTTGGGTGTCGAATCCACGAACCTTATCAAGATTCACACACTGTTAAGGGGAACAAATGAAAACAAATATGAGAAAATAGGAGATACTTCTTACTGCTAATTTAATGCTTGATGGGTGAGGCGCACCCAAGGGGGGGGGGGGGGAGGGGGCTTGGGCTTGAGCCCTCCCCCAAGAGGTGTCAATTTTTTTTTACTCCCACAATTTGTACTTGGTGATATGAATATGGCCTATTTCGAGTAGTATGATAAGGTTGTAAGTGGCGCCACCAATGTCAAATGCCAAAAAAAAAAACCAATTTTTTTTCTGTGGCCAAATATTTTGGGTAAGATTTTTGAAAAATAATTAACTTCTTACAAATTGTGAGCCCCCCCCCCAAGTCAAATCCTGGGTGTGTCACTGTGATGTGTAGCTAACAAGGTAAATACAAATATGCTGAAGACATTTTGATGTCAGAATATTTTGTAATACTTTAAAATATGACATACATTAGGTATTAATAATTTGGTATTAGATAATTCTAACCAGATGTAATATTCGATCCAACAGGCCCAGCCCAATGCACACATGGGAGCAATGGCCCTGCAAGTTAAAGAGGTTGTGGAATGCTCGAAGACATTTCCGTCATTTTTCGGGTATATGTAGCCTAAGGTGTGATGAAATAAAAACGACTATTGTTTCTGTCATAAAATGAGTACAAAAGGTACTTTTGAGAGCTGTTTTTCAAGTCCTGTCATGCCTGTTTCGACCTGAACGTGCAATTTGTGTAAAAGTCGTCGTTGCGGGCAGCAAACATAACACAGTAAATCGTGACGTAATAAACAGGACTCCCGATGCAGAGTAGCATAAACGAGTCCTGTTTATTGCGTCACGTTTTACTGTGTTTTGTTTGCTGCCCGCAACGACGACTTTTACACAAATTGCACGTTCGGGTCGAAACAGGACCTGAAAAATAGCTCTCAAAAGTACCCTTTGTACTCATTTCATGACAGAAACAATAGTCTTTTTTAATTCATCACACCTTAGGCTACATATACCCAAAAAATGACGGAAATGTTTTCGAGCATTCCACAACCTCTTTAAACTTGCATGCATGCATGTCAGACTTTTGTGTATGCATGTTAGACATTAATCGCAGATGTGATTGGTCAGAAATTTATGGGGCACGTCTTGACAGATCAGTCTATTAATTTCTTTAGATGTGGTGCTACTTTTGCTGTTTATTTCTGCGTTTCTCAGTTTTCTTTTCCAGATGTTGGATGCTTAGAATCATCTGCCAGATGATTCTAAGCCTCCGATGTAGACATCACATTGTAAATGCAGGTAGCCTCTTCATCATAATTACAATAATAACGTGGTGCTTTTATAGTGTTTTATACAAAAGGTCTCAAAAGCACTTCACAATTAGTATCCCTGTTCATCAGGCCATGAGAAAACTTTTTTGCAGCAGCTCAAGATCAGTGCATTCTGGTCTCTACCTTCACATGTACCCATTTTATATACTCCTGGATGGAGAAAGGCAATCGTAGTAAAGTGTCTTGCCCAAGAACACAAGCAACATGTTCTCTGTCCGGGTACCACAGCATGTGAGTCGAACACCATAACCATATTGGACTACAGAGTTCCTTTGAGGTTGACCCTGATTTGTAAACAAAAGATTCTATTATCCACCATTCGGTTGAGATTGTTGAATTTATCTTTTAAGATCTTCACAAACCAAAATACTCACTCTGAAAATTTCTAGGGTTGTGTTGGTGAATTCATCGATGGCATCAATGGCAGCTAGCCAAGAGTCAGTGACGTTGTTTTCTTTCTTGTTGTTCTCCGCGTTGAGGAGGATTTCCTTCAGCCAGAGGTAGTCGGGAGTTGAGTTGGTTTGCAGCAGTTTCTCCAACTCTGTGATCAACTCTGGGTTTTCCTGAAACTCCTGTGCAGTTTAAACATTTTGTTTAATTGCATTAAATATTTTATTTACTTGATGCTTTCGGTCGCGAGTGTGGTGACGCCTTCTCGGCCTCTCGTGGCAAGTTATGGTGACAAACGAGGATCTAGAATGACGCATAGGAGATCGCTGGACTTTTTTTGTCTGAAACGGTATCTGAGCGCAAGGCAAGCTGGTGCAGTCACGGGGTGCAATGCGTTGGTCTTGCAGCTGCAGTGATCGTGGCGCTCCTGGCACTCGCAAGGAGAGGACGGGCTGACCTCATGCTAGTTGGGTGGACAACTTGATGACGTGGAGTGGTCTCTCAGTTAATGAACTATAGTCGTGTTCCCTAACGTGGCGCACTTCGAAGCTTACCCAAATTTCCTCGTGTAGTGTTGCCAAACCTCTTTGTTGACAAACCTCAAATTCATGCAGTGAAATACTGGTACTTTTACCTTATTAATGCTTGCTGTTTAACCTCTGTGAACAATTTCGGTTTCATAAAATTTAAGCCGAAATTAAAAAACGGTGGCGTCCAGAAATTGGGCACAATTTGGCGGAGTGTTCCCTAACGTGGCGCACTTAAATAAATCTCGGAAAATTCCAGATTAACATTTAAGAATTTCTGTAAACTTGATAAATTCTGATAAATCATTATTATCTCTACTTACATACCCAGCCAGATGTTTGTCACAAAATTATTTTCTTATTTTTCGGGGCATTTTCAAAGGGTTCACTTTGCACTTAAAAATAAAATCGGAAAATCACGCCAAAATAAATTTTTCTTTTAACTTTGTAGCGGGTAAATAAACTCACGATTTATGAACGGGAGTGTTTATAATTTGATGAAATTTCACTTTCTGTGAAATTTCAGTTAAAACTTTTGCTCTAGCTAGGCGCTACAGGCGAAAAATCAAAGTGCGCCACGTTAGGGGCCGCGCCACGTTAGGGTACATCAACAATAAAGGCTGCTGCACTGCAGAGAACCCAAATTCAACACCGCCTATTTGCAGAAGCGGGCGCCTGCAGGCCAAAAGGCTCTCGGCGATATGAAGATGATGACGAGAGGTGTTTGTTGATGGAATTCTGAGCATTTCGGATGCAATCGGACCGACAGTGGCGCTATTTTGCCATGTTGTGGGAGATCCTTACTCACAATGACCACTTTTCCAGTTTTGGAAATATCATGTGTTTTAGAAGTTGTCTTCCTTGGGTGAACATTTCTTCAAAAAGTCATTGGTCAACACACCAAAAATTGAAAGGAATATGAAAGACGACATGTTGATCATCATTTTTCTGTGCAGCCTGAACACCCGAGAGGATTTTTCATGTTGTCTATGGGAATGTACTTACTTGGTTGCACCCATAGAGTACTTCACAGCAAAATGATGGCCATGAACAAGAAGACAAGAAGGAAACAACACTAATTAGTTGCAAAGCCTGTCTGGATTAATCAATTGGACTTTTTTTTTGACAAACTTAAGTTGGAAATTGCAAGTGGCAAATGTACTTACGTTTACTATGTCTAGGGCTGGATTTGTTTCAATGAAGTTTCGGAGCAACGGTGAGTACTGTTGCCATTTCATGCAAAGGTCCCGGAACATTCGTAACGAGGCAAACGGTTGTTCGGCCTGCAATATAGGGGAGAGAATGATCTTAATGGAATTTGTGTACGTACACCATCCACATATTGAAACATACATGAGTGCCCCTGCTTCTATGCTACAAACACTAAGGTGTGTTACTCGTTTCATACAAGATTGACAAGTAGTTAAAAGCAAAAGTTGTTGGACAATTTGTCATCGGCACCGCGAACTGACACTCAGCTGCGTGTGAGTGTGCTGCACGCACGTATTTACAGAACCGGGTTATTTTGGGTTTAACTCACATCCTCTACCAGGGGTGTGAGTGATCACTGATAAAAATAGCTGAAAACAGCTGAAAACAGCTGAAAAAGGTGTAAAAAAGCTGAACTTTGGAAATCTCCAATACTTTTGTACACAGCAAGTGAGGGAAAAAAGCTGAAATCCAAAACAAAAAAAGCTGAAATCAGCTTTAAAGCTGAGATTTCACACCCCTGCTCTACAGTACGGCACTTTTAGAGTGCACCTCATACATTTACAGTTTCACAAATTGACACTGATCCTAATTTTACTAATTAAAAAGCGTGAAAATGAAAATTTCCTATTTCGCGTCAGTGTTGTTGTGCACACGCATACCGGGTGTCAGTTCGTGAAACCGAAATTGATTATTACATGGTTTTCACAAACTGACACCCACTTGCGCGTGAGTGTCAGTTCGTGGTGCCGATGCTGGATTATTTAGATGTCCGTATGCTTGAATTAGTGCATGCAAGGACATTATTCAGCTGCTATATTGCAATGATGGAGAAATGTTTCTTGGGGATACAAACATACATCCTCTGTGGTGCATATCCAAGTCGTTATAGCGACAAGCAGCTCCCTTATCCCCATCTACTTCTGTTGAATATGCAATTTCACACAAAACATGGGCATACAAAAGGGAAATCGTGAAGGCGACGATACAGTAATAACGTTCACTTCTTCACAGTTAAAACGTAGTGCAGTTGTGCAAGAAGTCCATTTTACTACAGGATCACCAAAGCTGAGTTGCAAGGTTACAAACAATTGGCTCCGTGATGAACCTACCTCCTTCATGATCCGTTTGGTTGCCTGGGTGTCTGGGGTGTACAAAATGTACCCTTGTACCATCGGCTTCAGTCTGTCCCAGAGGATGCCCCCAACTTCTGTAGATGTAATCTGTTGCACCCATTCACAGTCCTCTGCAAAAACGAATGATAAAGCACACAAAACATGTTGGTGATTCCATTTGCTGAAAAATTGAAACACGTTAGAGAGAAGACAAGAAAATACCATGCAAATTTGACGCAGTTATAATTCGGCAAAGACTAATTGCATCCGTGGCCGCCTCTTCCTCAGATTGTACGTAGCCCTTGGGTCGCCGCCATCACCTGCTCTCTGTCAATCGCTGCTAAAGGTAGAGTGTTTCGTTTGCAGCTATCCAAAAAGTAACCGACCAATTATTGTTGAAAACTTACTTTGTTTTAAAGAGTAATGGCACTAAACTCCCTGTGAAATTATTTTTTCCGGCATGCCGTCATTTTGAAGAAAACAATAAAAGAAGGTTCATTCCAAAGATGCGTCAAGTGACACATTTGAGAAGCAATTGACGCCCTTGGCTGTGCCCAATATAACAAATACATGATCATCAACTTAATGTCTGAATAGCATATTTTTTTATTCAAATATTCAAAGAATATCAACGATATAATTTTATAAGCTGCTTTGCCAAATGCAGCATCTTTGTTGAAAGCCACTTTTGCGCATAATTTTGGAGCTGCTATGAGGAAAATTAGCTCAAATTTATTTCTTCTTTAAAAATGGTAAAAATATCACCCATTCCGTTACCTGTTCTTTACACCATTTGACCAGTTTTGGACTAGCGCAGGTGCACACAATACGTGATATCCCACAGGGAGTGTGCTATGACTTTGTACGTACGGTACGTACAGTGTGAAACGCTTGTATCATTGGTACCAACACTATTTTCACCATGTTTTGACACATGAGGGGAGCAGCGAACTAGCAGTCGATCAGCTGTTTCAAGCACTCGACATGCAATGGATTTGACGTTGAACTGTCATAATTGTTGTGTTTACTGCTGTTTGTTTTCCTGATTTTTACATCAAAATCCAAAGAATCCAAGACAGAGATATAACAAAACAATTGTTGACTGCTGTGATGTGGGATATGACGTTTTGAACACCCTCAGAGCGCATTATAGCACCCTCGGCTTCGCCTGGGGTGCTATTCGCCCCTCGGGTGTTCAAAACATCATATCCCACACCACAGCAGTCAACAATTGTTAAATATTGTACATTTCCTTCAAGTCGTACCTGGAGGCCCCTGCAAATCGTCCGTGGAATCATTTTTGCTCCTCCAGGCAGTTTTAGCCATGGGTTTCTGAACTCCGGACTTTTTCAAGTCCCCAAACTGTCCAAAGCCTGAGTTGGCTGTAGAATCCATGTTGATGAGGCTGGGATCGATCAGTTCCCCCACGCTGCCACAGATGAGGTCGTTGGAGTCGTTCTTGACAGCGATCTGATTGATGTCATTCATCAGGTCGTTGAAGCTGTCTAGTTCTGAAATCTGATATATGAGTTTTTTTCAAATAAAGTGAAGTTACTTTTATAGGTATACTCTCTGAGCTATTTTTTTGAGTTTCACCTTCAAATGGAGATTTCTCTTTTAAATAAGCCATTTGCGAGTTAAATTTGAATAATTCTGGAACGTTGACTTTATCCAATGCTTTGCACGTTTTAACTTTGCATTCTCCCGACCATAGAGACCGTTACTATATATCACGTGATTCGGGGCAAGCCTCAAGCCCCTGTCACACTGTCACGATGTAGCCTCCTGATCACGACAAGACAGTGCTGAGACACAAGACTCGAACGACACTGTGAAACTCGGAACGACATCTGAACTTTATCAAAGCGACTTCTTCAGAGCCTTAGTTTTAACAGTTGAAACATATCGTGATGGTCGGCAAAAACATCCACAACGGATCAGAGTCTGTTCTCTGTCTGTACTCAAACGGTTGTGTCATAACGAAGTTGTAACAAAGTCGTTACGAAATTGCAATAGTATTTGCGAGATCGGCAGTGGTCATACTAGTCTATGTAATAGACCATGGCGAAAGCCGTGGTCTATGATTCGCTGATTAATTAGGCAAGGCCCCGCCTCTTGACTTCCTAGATTTTGACCAATCAGCAGGCGCTTTCTATAGGTCTATCGGGTCTTCAATCATTCACCCGTTGCGCGTCATAGACATGGATTTTAATTTTTAAAAAATGTCACGGCGCGCGGCGCTCGGTATCATGTTACGCGAATGAGCTCCCGGCTGTTGTTGTATTACAAAACACTGCCTTCGAATTGACCAATCACAGCGTTAGTCCTGATTTTGGGATGAACTGACGTCACGATTTAGTAAAGTCGACTCCGATTGGCTGGCGTGCAGCTTGCATAAATCTTCATGCTTTGATCAGACGTTAGACAGGAGATGGCTCCGTGGATAACAGGTGATACTCAGACTATGGTCGCACATGCTCGGCCAAATTTTTTTAGCGGACTTTGAAACGACCATTACGACGTAAAATTCCGAAGATGACGTCACACTGTCGTTTCGGCATCAGTTCTCGGTCTTTTGAGTGGGTACACAATTGGTTGTGTCAGTACTTTTGTTGGTTATTTCGTAATGAGATTGAGACTCTGTCGTGAAAAAAAATGGATTGAACGGATCCAATTCGTTAAAAAAAAAATGGCAAAAGTTGAGAACATACCTGATGTGCAAGGGACAGCATTAATGTCAGGGAGTTTCTGTACCATTCATCCACATCTGTTCCATTTAGCTGTAACACACAAGAACAGGAAAGATATAATTTCAGTAACAATATCTCATCTAAAACTTACTTATGCTGCAAAAAGAGCTTAATAAGACTTTTACATGCACCAGAAATTTAACATTTGTATAGGCGCATAACAGCAACTGGTCACTCTTAGGCCAAGAAAAAAAAAATAGTCGGTCTCTGGTCAGACCGAAGTTTTGGAATTGATGCGGTGACTCATTTTTTTTTTTTTTAGTGGCTTTTTTTTCTTCTCAAGCTTGAATTGTACAGACAAGGTGGGTATTTTGTGTGTGTGTGTGTCGATCCTCATTATACATTGGTGTCCTCCATAATTTGCCTTGGTGCCCTTTATTATTTGTCTTGGTGCAATTTCCCCATTCCTTGGTGCTCATTGGTCCAAAAATTTGAGGAGGTGCGGCAATAGAGGGCGCTGTTGTAGCTTCCGTGTTAATTTGAAAAAAAAGAAGAAGGTTGACGCGCATGATTAAAATCGACGCACGCGCTGACCAGAGCCCGAGTATTTTTTGTTTTGCCTTAGTGGCAAACTTGGATTAGCCTATGAATCCCCGCTGTATGTTTTCTGCTCATTACCTAGCTACTGAATGAAACATAACCCAACCACTAAATCAAACGTTTGAGGTATTTTTTTTCTTCAAAATAACCACAAAGGAAACTCACTTGATGCATCATATCAAATAACTTTTCCTAAAAAAAGTTGAACAAAGGAATTGACTGGAATTGGAAAAAGGACAGATAGCTCAGTTGGCAGACCACCAGTACGGTAACCCGGAGGTCACAGGTTCAAACCCTGCTCCAGTCAATTTTGTTTGTTTAACTTTTCAATTTTTATGAGGTAGTTTGTACCTGAAATTGGTTTCAAATTTGAAAATTGTATATTTCAATTAAAGAGACATAGGATCATTTGTTATTTGAGCACGTATTTTACAGAATCGGTTCATTTTCGTTTTCACGAACTGACACCCGGCACAGTGCAGCACTTATAGCGCGCGCACTCCGTACATTTTCACTTTGACGAACTGACACTGATCTTAAATTTCACCAGTTTAAACGGTATTCATAAATACCTTAGACAGTTAAGCTATTCCTATTGGTCGAGAGCCTGTCACGTGGCCGGTCTTAAACGGATGATAAAGACATGGCTAGCTGGTCTTAAACACTTTTCCAGTGTCACAATAAAATGTGGACTCCTAAAAATCCTGTGCCTCTTCCGTTTCATTGGTTGAACGTTCACAATCCTCACATAGGCATGCGCAACACTACCAGCGAGTCAGAATTTTATAGTTCTAAATTCAAAACGCAACGCCCCAGGTACGTTCTGCGCGACATCGCGCAGAACATGCTACGCACACGTCAATCTCCATAAAAGGGTTGTTTACATCTTACTCGCCAGCTGTAAGTGAAGCATGAAGTGAACTTGTTAAACAAAATCGGGATTTTTTGAACAAATTATTTGATATTTTTTTAACGAAAAGGTATTTTTGAATGGGAATAAATATGAGCTCGGTCGGTATTTATCACTCTGTATAAGACCGCTTAGAGTCTGGGTGCTGATAATTACCTTCGCCTCCGGCTCGGGTAATTATCAGCACCCAGACTCTAAGCGGTCTTAAACAGAGTGATAAAAACCTCCGGAGCACACATTTATTCCCTTATTTAAGTACATTTTTGTGTAAGCCCACAAGTGTACGGATGGATTTAATTCATGTCAAACCTTTCAAAGCATTTTTCTCCGTCCTCTATTGCCGCAACATGCTTGGGTGTCAGTTCGTGAAAACGAAAATCATTCTACTTTGACTTGCGCGTGAGTGTCAGTTCATGGTGAGGGTGACAAATTTTATGTTGTGGATCTGATTAAACATGCAGCTGACTTAAATACTGCAGTCACTGCAAAGCTTAGAGCATTTATTCACCAAAACAGACCCTCTGATATCTACTTGCGGACTTACCGCATTCCAGAGAGCAGGATAATTGATAACGGCTTGGACTTCGCGGGAAAACTGATCCAATTCAGTGTCGGACATGTTGCAGAGTGTCTCGCTGAGCTCGTCAATCTGGGCGGGGTCTGTGGTGGTGACGTAGTCCTCCAAAAGGGTGGTGTTGCAGACGGTGTCTCGCATGTTGCGCCCTTCCAGCATCAGTAACAGCTGAGAGGGAAATGAGAAGCAGTGCAGGAAATCAATGCAAACGTTTAAGCTCTGTGAATGCTGTATATTCTGAGAAAACAATAGGATCTCGGTTTCAATTCAAAAGTTGCCAAGTCGTGTTTTGAATTGCGCCCGAAATCTGCATTCAGGACACGTTCATTCAGCCGATTGCAGCTATACGTGATGTCACACACTGAACTGATGAATAACAAGCAACCGCGTGCACGTGTGAGTCAACTCAACGCTTGTGCGCATCCATTCACAGATTCTCCAAATTACAAACCAACCACTAACGGAAATTTCCAAAATGCGTCACTTGACTCATCTTTGGAAATGGCCCTCTTCTATTGTTTCTTCAAAATGATGCATGCCAGAAAGAATAATTTCACAGAGAGTTTAGTGCCATTACTATCTTTAAACCAAGTAAGCTTTTCGACAATATTTTTGTCAAGATAATTTTTGGAGAGCTTCAAATTATCTACTCTTCCTTTAAGTTTTCAATGTGGATCCATCAAGTTGGAAAAAATGTTGCAACCGGACGCCACTTTGTTCTATCATCTCAATAAAGGTCAGTCATTGTAAAAAATGATAATAATGAATCTGGGACTAAGAAACATTTCCAAATTTGTTAGGAAATCCTTAGAAAATTTTCTTGACTCTCCACAGACTTTGTACACAACCTCTGAAGTGGCTTCAGGTTGCAACATTTTTCCATCAAGTTTAAAAACAATTATGATGGCAAAGCGAATATACATACCATTTTAGGATTGTCAATGGAATCGGCCACCAGCTCTGCATCCTCCTCTGACACCCCCAACTGCTCTTGCATGTAGTCAATCAATGCAGTCTTATTTTTCAGCAGATCATCCACTGGTAAACCTGGTTCATAGAACAGTCACAGACAGGAAATAACACTACAAAATGGATTTAACACAGTCCTCCATGAAAAATGATTACTATCATCATGGGCGTCGCCAGGATTTTTTCTAGAGGGGGCAAAACATATTTTTCCAAAAAAAATTCTTGTATTTCTGAACAAATTCTCGATTTCTCAGTTTAAGACGGGGGCAGGGACATTTTGCCCCCCTCCCCAACTCCTTAAATTTGCACCACTATGACTTCGCGCCTATTTTTCTTTTCTTTTGTTCTCTTTTTTTTTCTTCCTTTTTTTTTTCCTTTTCCGGGGGAAGGGGGGGGGGTGGGTGGGGGGGGCAAGCATCCCCCTTGCCCCCCCCCTCGCGACGCTTATGACTATCATATCAGACTACAAGTATAACTACGAAAACATACGTAGAAGTGTTACATTTAGTGGAAGTTTGCAGGGATGCCATAATTATGCCACAGAAAATCACTCTTATAAGTTTGTTTTGTTCTGAAAAGAATTTGAGGGAAACCAAATTAAAGTTTTGGTCTGTATGCTTTGCCGGTATTACACACCTGTGTTCCGACACCCCTATGTCCCGACACCCCTATGTTCCGACATTGTCGGGATGTCAGAACATAGAGCAGCCACCTGCTTTGCCTATCATTTGCCCATCATCAGTCTTCTGACGACAGGCAGAGCATACCATCTGAAAGTTGAGTATTCTATGGTTCTCTCCACCACACCCATAAAAATAGACGCTTGCTTTTACATTGTGTAATCGCAAGTTTCCAAACATATTTCGATTAGATTTCTCTAAAAGTTATATTTATAACTGGGGATTACTATAAGTTCATGCAAGATCCTACAACAGAGAACTTTGCTAGCTGATGTGATGCATACCGTTGTACTGTTGGATTCCAATGCCCATCCGTAGGAAACCACTGATGCCTGGAATGTTAGGAATGCCTGGTAGCTGCATAAATTCATAAAACAAAACCGAGTCGATCATGACATGATGATACAATATGACAATACAACATAATTTCCCACTTTTTAGCTAAGGATGTTATCAATGGATTTTGCAAATATGGGACAATACAATACAATCAGGATCGAGGATTTAATCCTGTGAATCCCTCTTTGTATTCGGGTTTTTGCCCAAGCCCGCACCAGGATTTCAGCTCTCTATTATTTCAAGATTTGATCTACTTGGGGAGTTTAGAACCAGACGAATGCCCGTCCTTTTTTTCCCTTTGCAAACGTGCATGTGCATTGAGACCTACTATTATATTTTGGTCATTGGCGATTCAGCCACGGACCTCCATGGTTTCGATTAGCATTCTTAAACTTGGTTCCTGTCTCAATGCAAGTGCTTGTTAACAAGGAACCATTGACTACAAGCTTTGCTTCTCAAATGGAACCCTCTTCAGTATCACAATTACATCACAATTAGTTATTAAGATTTCTTAATAGTATATTTTTCTTTGCATCTATTTTGTAAAATATACTTAGTAAAATGTATTTAATTTTGTAATTATTGTTTTGATACTGTGGACATGAAAAAAACCTGAATCTGAAACCTGAACACTAGCAAGGAACACTTGACTGAATCGCTTATTAGAGTTGCCTAAATCAGTGGCCTAAATGCACCTATATTTTCAATAAATATAATATCCAGTATATTTTGTTATGTCTGGTAATAAAACAATATTTTCTTTTTTTTATCACTGAAATTGATGCATAAATTTGTGCCATGTCGTTTGTAAGGATTAAGGCATGCACAAATAGGTACAGTGAAAATCCCTTACTGTGATAAAAAAAAAAATTGTACAGGATGAAAAATGACCTATTTTTACATAATTGGCATTTTCTCAGCAACCCGAAGTGCTATTTTCATGATTCTTTCTAGCTTGAGTAACTCCAGCTGACATGTTCCATATTCATTCACATGTGAATGAATATGAAACATGTCAGCTGGAGTTACTCAAGCTAGATTCTTAATAAAAGAAAAAGCTCTCCACCAATCTCTTTTTTTTTATAAGTCAAATGTTTTTGGGTTGCATTTTTTTTTGGGTCACCCTGTATAGTCAAGATATGTACGACAAAGGAATCCGGATGACTTACATTGATGAGTTTGTCCATGTCGATCTGATCGGCCATCATCTGGCTCAAGCTGGCCAGGTCCGCATCGGTCAGGTTGCATAACTCCCTCTGCATGGCGTCCAGTGTGGTCTGGTTGTCCACACCAAAGAGCTTCTGCAGTTGCTCCTTGTCACAGGATGCATCCTGGAACGTCTGGGGGTTCATCAGGGAGAGGATCTTGGAGGCGGGGAGACCAATGAGAGGTTAAGGGTCACAAAGAGAATTGTAAGGAACTCTTAAACTTATTTGTGTACGTGACACTGTTCAAGCTTATACAGCGGTTTTGCAAGCAAATGGATACTCATATGACGTCTTGCGACATCGTACACAACGCTATCTGCTACGTGAGTACAGGCATCGGATATAACACACACTACCCGTCAGTGTGAAACACAAAATAAATTTAATCCTGTAGGCCTATTAATTAATTGAAAGAGGATGGATTGTTGAACATATATGTGCCATTTGTCAATTGTCAATTTTCACCATCTTTTTCTGATAAGAATTTAATCCTGTAAATTAGTTAAGGGCCCTGTCACACTTCTGCGTATCCTAATTCCTTATGAGTTGCGCATTGACATTTTTTTCATATGCAGTCGTACGCACAATACGCACCTCATATGCATCTCTATCGTTTTGTGTAAGTTTTATGTACGCAGGCATACGCATGGTACGGCCCAGTACGCTGGATAGTTTTGGGCATGCACAAAACTACGCTGCGTACACTGTTACGCAGGTCATAAGTTATAAATACGCAGCGCATCGGTCCCGCATCGGTCAAGCGCGGTACGAGTACGCTATGTGTTCATGGGGGATAAGCCGTTCATAGGCGGTAATACGCTGACCTCCTATATTGGACGTATACATAGCGTACTTGCTGCGCAGATACAACGCACGCTGAACGAACTCATATCGATTGCCGACGTATTGCACGAATTAGTACCGCTCGTCCTGCGAGCGGGCAGCGCATTGTACTTATGAGAAACGCACAGATAGCGAACATGCGCACTGCATACGCAACTTATACGCATCTCATACGCAGTGGATGCGCTGAATTCGTTACTTGTTCGCTAGATATGCGTCGCACATAAGTCAAAGTAATCAAAAAATTATTGATAAGGAACTCATAAGGAATTGGGATACGCAAAATTGTGACAGGGGCTTAACTGAAAGAAGATGGATTGTTGAACATATATGTGCCATTTGTCAGTGTCTTAGAGTAGGATTAGTGAGGTTTTAATCAGAGGCTGCCACTTTGGATCACTGCTTTTATCATGGGTAACGATTCCAATAACTCTAACGTATAATAATAAATCACATAATACTAAATACGCAAACAAGATATAACGGAATGGTCGCTAACAGTTACTGATAGCTACACGTACGAATACACTTACCCGTTTGGATGCAAACACTCTCTATTACTTTCATTGGTAAAGGTTCCAATAACTAAGCGTATAACTGCATATGTATATGCATACACGATGCGAAACAACGGAATGGTTGATAACAGTTATGGATTGCTAAACCAATATGTGCACGTATCCATTCGGATGCGAAACCTCTCAAATAAAATCTGCAAATATTGGTTCCTGGTGAAGTGGGATTCCCCAGAGCATACACACACATAAGAATTACTGCCGATGCTTGTACAGAACAAGTCCACTTCAATAAGACTATAATTTTGTACCAGTCAGTTGTTTTAACACCATGCACATTTCCTCCCTAAAGTTGCTGTAAAGTTCCTTATCCAAGATGATTCAACTGTTTCAAACTTGTTCAGTGCTAAGTTTTGAGGAACTGATTGTAAGTACATTGGTGCAGCTGTGCAACAAATTTGTTGTGTAAATCCTGCACATATTGAAAGTTACACATTTGTTGCATAAATCCTGTACACATTGAAAGATATGAAAGTTATGTTTTTTTTGTGAAATTGGCCGCTGGCCTGTTCCTCTTCAATTAAACTCTAAGATGAAACTTTTTCTTCCAATCTTCCAATCATATAATACCTGCTCTGGAGTCATTTTTGCATCGAGTATTGCATCTGCTACCGCTGGTGAAAGCTGGAGGTCCTCGGTCAGAAATCTCTTCACCTTGTCGGGGTCTTTGAGATAATCTTTGAGCGACTCCGAGCCTGTAAAAATATAAATCATTAAACTTGCACAAACGGAAACCTGCCAATTTAAATTTGAATGCTTTCAGCCGGATCAAATTATGTAAACAAAAGGCAAAAAAACCCACCTAGAACTAAACAAAGCAAAAAACACACCCGCCCTTCCCACAAAAAAAAATCCAAGCACTATAGTTTTAATAAAAACCTACTTAACATACAAAAACTCTACTTAACCCAATAATGGTTGGCACGCATGCAATGTTTTTGCATAGGGTACAAAGGTAAATGGTTAATGTTGTTTCGAAAATAACGATTAATAATTTGAAAAGATTTGTGTGGCTATAGATATGTCAAATTGACACATTTGTATACTAATGGTACCAGCTGGTGCAGAAATGCCGATACAAAGGCAAACAGTTATGATGACAAAAGCGTTAACAAATTGAACTTTCATTATTTCAACTACTTCATTGCAGTACAACAGCTTTTGTCCACATTCGTTTTTAATCGAGAGTAAGAAGGAACTATTTACAAGGTATTAGATCTGGGCCCAATTTAACAGTGCTGCTTAACAGCTGACTTTGTGCTCACTGAGCCTCCATCTATTTCATATAGGGACTGCTAAGCAGTAAGCACAGCAAAAGCATGCTTAACCCCAGAAGAGAACTTTGCTTAAATCAGTGACGTAACAATAGAAATCTCCATGCGCGCACAACCGTTAGCATGAAATAGTGCTCAAGCAGCATCATGATTTTCTGCTATAGTAAGCACAACTTTTCTGCTTACTGTTAAGCAGCGCTATGAAATTGGGCCCTGGAAAGCTCAATTGTGTGGATCAGAGTTGTGATTGAGTCAGTAATAAGTCAATCACAAGTCATCTACAAGTCAAGTCATCCACAAGTCATCGCAAGTCATACACAATTAAGTCATCCACAAGTCAATCACAAGTCATCCACATTTAATTCATCTACAAGTACAATAACAAGTCAATCACAAGTCATTCACAAGTCAAACACAAGTCATTCACAAGTCATTCACAAGTCAATCACAAGCCATCCACAATGAAGTTATCCACAAGTCATCCATAAGTCAACCACATTTAAGTCATCCACAAGTCAATCCCAAGTCAATCCCAAGTCATCCACAAGTCATCCACAAGTCAATCACAAGTCAACCACATTTAAGTCATCCACAAGTCAATCACAAGTCTCCACAAGTCATGAACAAGTCATCCACAAGTCAATTTGACTTGTGATTTACTCTTGCAACTTTAAGTTACAAGAGTTTGCTTTTTTGCTCATTGATTTTTTGAGTTTTTGATTTCAGCAAAGTTGGAATGACTTAATTAATAACACTTTCTGATTCATAATTCTCCCTGTGAAGTTTACCATCAATTTTGTATTAAAGTGACGAAAACATCAGGAACTGAACCACCTTTTTACTTGGGAGAACGCATTAATACTGGTTTAGTTTACTTGAGGTTTGTGGAAACCGATATTTTACAGAAAAGTTAATACTTAACCCTTTCGCAATGTCATTAATTAGGCTACAGGATAAAAAGAAGATAAGATTTTATTATTTCTAGAAATGTGATTTATTAATTTTTTGAAATGGAAAAGCTATGTTAGTGCTGTTTTGGAGAGTACGTGATACATTCCTAAAATTCCTTCCCAGTCATGTGAACAATTATACATTTATATTCTGATATGAATTGAAATTATTCTTAAACATAACCAAAAAAACCTCTCAACCATTTAGCTTTCTGCGTCATCAATTTTCAATCATAAATAAAATTGCCAATCATAAATAAAATTTATGTTTTTTTATCGATGACCTGGGAAGATAACGGGTGAGATGTACTTTGATATTTACGTGAGCTCAGCGCAGCAGACTTTAGTCCACAAAATTTACTTTACCGTGGTTAGCACGCACTGGCACGTGAGCCTGCTCATTTTTGTCAATATTTAGCCTGGATATTGCTTAGATCCACCCAGGATGACCCTGGGTGGCGAAGCTGGGTCATCCAGTTAATGATTGGCGAGTCCTGATAACCACTTGTTTGTGATTCACCCAATATCAATCTGCGCGGACAAAAGCGCAAGGCACGCCGGAGGTTGACTGGTCTGAGTGGTACAATTTTTTTTTTTTTTCAGGTTGAATTGAATTGAAATTTATGGATGAGAATAGATTTGACTCCCCACCCAAAGTATGTATTTGCCTTCAAATGGAAAGATTTTTGAACCCGGATTTTTCTACACCGGCAAAACATTTCATCACCATCGAATGTGTCTGAGTCACCTTAGCTATTATGACAGTAGGCCTAAATCTGCAATATCAGAAGTATGCCTTTTATTAATTGTGTACAAATCCAATTTGCAAACCCAGTCACTTTTTCAAAAACAATCAACATTTCATTCTGATTTCTCTAATTCAAGAAACTGAAAACTACCTATGTATTATTTTTTCTTAGGCAAAAAGTTGTGGTTTAGTAAATGTGGTAAACAAATAATCCCAAAATGTTGTGTCATTTGCCAAACTGTTGGAAAATAGATATAAAAGTTTGCATGACTTTAAGGCAATATACAACATTTGCTTTTGCTGTAATTTTCAGAAATGGATGGATTTGGGGCTTAGTATTATATAGCAAATATTGTTACACTGACATGTTAAAGTTTTATGTTCGTAGATACTGGAAAAACTAAGAAAAAAATGCTGTTCTTGTCATCCGGTTTCCTGGCACTACTCCTGACAAAATGGAGCAATTTATAGACGTTGGGGAATCAGGTCAGGGTACCGGACCAGCTGGCTTGTGCCCATTCACGGATGTGTGACCGATTGCAAACAAAATGGGGACTAACTAAATTTGGGAATCTGGGGGCAGTATTTGAAGAAAATAAGTCAGTTTTTTTCCAACGATGGTCGGCTGACCACTGTTGGAAATTGATACAAAAACTCAAATTTGCTTGAAAATGACAGCACACCAAGAGCCATGATTTCACAGGATGCTTGAGACTATTATTCACTTACAGTCAAGTAAGGTACTTTTCCTTACTTGTTTGGTAGTTTTGTTTTTTGATGTTTGCAAATGTTGCATATTACCTTTAAGATTCTGCCATCACAAGGAGAACTGATAATATGCAATGAAACTGAACGAGATAAAAGTGTTGTTCAGTTTACAAAAAGTTCTCTTTCTATGCATGGAGAGCACATAAAGCCTACCTGGATTTGCATTTGGGAATTTGTCCAAATCTTTCAGGAATGGCAGCAGTTTGTTCAGTTCACCGACTTCAATAAGCAAAGTCTTCAACGCTCCCAGAGTTGTCTTGTTTGTCACAATTAACTCCACATCTTGGAGTATTTTTGTAAGTCTAGGAGGCAAAGGAATACAGGAGATACACCATTAAAACAGACGATGTACTTTCCAATACTTCAAAATGCCACAGTTGCTCTCTGACTGTATTTCTCCTAAAGAACTTTCAATTTGTATACCTTGTTTTATAAAAGACTTTCATTTTTCTATTGTCTGTGAAACCTTGGGAACGTAGGCACGTGTGGTCTAGCGGTAGGGCACAGGATTCAGGATCATGAGATTGATGGTTCGAGTCCCGCCGTGGCCATGCGTGTTGTGCCCTTGAGTAAGGCACTTTACCTCAATTACTCCTCTCAACCCAGGTGTTAAATGGGTACCGGCATTATTCAATGCTGGGAAGGTAACAGACTCGCTGTGGAGGAGGTGTGGCGATTCCCCACAGCAGCATTTCATGGACTCGAGTCTGGCCCAATCACTTCGAAAGAGAGAAATTTTTGAAGCAACTTCGTAACTAAATCTAGTTTTTTTTTTTCATTTTGAATAGCGGTAGTAATTGTACAACATTAACCATGATATAGGTTTTGAACAGCGCCCCCATTGGAAGATGGTGTCTAGCCCCCCCCCCCCCCCTTTGGTTTTATGGAGACGGGTGTCCGGTGAAAAACAAACTGTCTACCTTTCAGCACGGATGAAAATTTGGGCGCCCCTCCATTGTAACCTAAAGCCCCCCACACGCCTCCCTAGGATGAGAACCCTGGCTATGCCACGGTCAACAACTGGCATGCAGTGAACTTCTATTTCTAAAGGGTGGGAAATTCAATTTCTGACTAGCTTTGAGCACTGTTTTAGCAGTATCCAAGATACAATCAGAGTAACATTTAAGGCTATTCAGAACTTAAAACTCTGCCGCTTTTAAAAACTTGTCCCAACTAACCATGACCACAGGCTGCTTACATTGATCATACTTCATAATTACTTCAATACCGCCCTGTTTTGTTTATTTCATTCATGAAAGAAAGAGAAAAAAGTCTTCACATACCCTGCATCTCTGAAGTTATTGACGTTGCCACTGCCCTCGCCATAGGTTTCATTGGGGAAGCACTGGCTTTGGAAGTCACACATCAACGACTGGAAGAACGGGAGAAGACCTCCCGAAGGAAGCGCCTTGCTCAAGAAATGACCTGATGGAGATATGCAAATCGTTTTAGATTTAGTGGTAGACTGAACCATACATTTGCATATTGTAATGTTTTGCATAATATCTATAAAACTATAAGTGCGTAAGGACAAAATACTGGCAACCAAAAGTGGGATGTTAGAGATCTGAAGCAAGATGAAAGCTGTATGCTCATGGTTTTCTCTTAAATTGTTGGGAGAAACATCCCTTTAAGTGGGAAACAACATTGAAAAGATTAATTGGCCAAACTTCATTTAATTTTCTCCACAATTGCAGGCAGCTTGATAATCAATTACATTACGTGACAAGAACAGTTAATTTAGATGTTTCTATTGACAAATGGTATGGCTATTTTTTTTTTTTTACTCTTTTAAACATCACAGCACACCAGTTTAACGTTAGTTACGGCATCCACTGATTAGTGAATAAATGACTTCTCAAGATTTTTCCCACAATTTGATTTGAATAAGAAATGGATACCTTGACAAGACTACAAAAAGCCCATAATTGCCTTGTTTGATACTTGCAGAAGACTGCACAAGTGGAAAGTGGACACCATGTAACTTAAGTTAACTGTCCAAAATACCATTATAATCTGCCTTTCAGAAAAAAATATTTGGCCTATTATCTTTTCAATGTTGTTTTCCCATTTAAAGGGATGTTTTTCCTAACAATTTAAGAGAAAACTAACAGCACACAGCTTTCATCTTGCTTCAGATCTCTAATGTTCCACTTAGAATATAGTGTCAATCTATAAAATAAACAGCTGTTGGTCATCATTTACATCAATCTGCATAAAAAATATTAATATATTCTCCTCAAAAGATCTCAAAGGGAGATTTGCTACCATAGGTTTACTGATCATCAATATTATAATGAACACATTGATTGATTCAGGCGTTCAACTTTGAATTCACAAGAAGAGGACATTTCAAGCTTTACAATACTCTCTGCAGCGTTGTCATTTTCATGGCATGCAGAAAAAGTCAAAAGCAGGGAAATTAGCCAATCCAAGAAAAAATGCCATGAAGTCCCGTTGTTAAGCTCAAATTTATATTGGAGAAAATATTTCATTTTTTGTTGAGTCGGTGTTTTTACCTAATCACATTTTTTATGTACAAGGGAAAACATGTTCATTCCTATGCCACGAAACCCTACTACTCCTGCAGATGGCTTTTCTAATTGCCATGATGCCAATTGGCAAAATGTTATTATTTACAACAACAAACATTGGATGCTAGGCTGCAGTTACATTTTCAGGCTGCAAGATGAAATGTTGTTACTTGATTCTGACACAAATACAAATCTAACTGCAACAGGATCAACACATGCATTTGCAACCTTTCATTACATTTTGTTCAAAATGATTTTGACAAAATTATTTTGCTCAAAATTTAACATAGGCCTAACACCCTCAGTATTTCCTACAAGGCAGGAAATCTTGATTTCATTTTGGAGTATTGTCCACTGATTGTAGCCTTTATCAAAAATTGCGTGGTGATTTTCAAAAACCTTGAAATTGTCTTAACTGCCAATTAGGAAGTTAATATGTTCTCATCGGATTTGGTTAGTTTGTTATTGGTTGGTTGGTTTGTCTGTTAACAAGATAATTGAAAAAGTTATGGACGGATTTGTGTGCAAATATTTTTAGGGGTGGCCCTTGGTAAAAGTACAAACCAATTAGCTTTTGGGAGTGATCCAGATCTGGGTTTGGATCAAGCACTTTTTAAAAATATTTGTCACCAATTATCTGAGTATTTCTTTGGGTGTACTGACAATATGGCGGGGAATTCGGGTGATTCACAATGTAGTGCGCCACCAAAAGTTTGCTGTGGAGAGTCCATTTTTTTCAAGTTTACAGTTGACAAAACATGGCCCATTTGAATGAGTGTCAGTAGACAACTTGAGCTAATTTGTTATAAATAGGGGGCACAGTGTTCTGCTGCCTTACACAAATCACCATATTGATAAAAAGAAAGGAAAAGGACAAACAGCTACCGGAATCATGCACTTACGAAACTACTGACCAGAAAACTAACAATTTCAAATGTCCTGCACTGCGAAGTTGTTGACCATCAATGCACTGAGAAAAATGAACTCTCCGTGGCAAACTCTTGGTGGCACACTGCATTGGGAATCGCCCAAATTGTTTAGCCTTATGGGGGTTTGCGCTCTCTGTGTGCTCTAGTTTATTCTAGTGACACTTGCTGTACATACTTTGCTAAACAATTATTGGCAAAAAAACATACAGCTGAGACTAGCCAAAATAAAATCTTTGATTTTCAGAGTAATATGATATCCTCAATGGTAGTATACTCACATTCAGGTTTGAAATCAGGCATTTGACTCCGTCTTACCACAGCGATAATCGCAAACAACAGGACAGGCCAAATTAACTCAGTGAGGAGACGAAGCTGTCAAAAATATGATAGAATTAATCAATCTACAATCCCTTAAAGCAATTACTGCATATTTTTTAAAAAATCTTTTTTCAGTGTATTGACAAGCCTATACAGGGTGACCCCCTCCCCCAAACGCAACCCTAAAAGATTTGCCTTTTTTTTCAAAAACGTTATCTGTGAACTTTTAGGTTTCGGATATCAGATTAAAGCTGAGAGCTTTTTTTTTCAAGTTCCGGTACTGAAAAAAATCAAGGAAACAGCATATTGGGTTACTGAGAAAATGCCATTTTAAAGGGAATGTACATCATTGGCTTTTGCTGTAATTTTCGGAAATGAACTATTCAAGATGCTAGTATAATAAATCAAATATAGTTACACTGACATTTGTGAAGTTTTGTGTTCGAAAAGGTTGCAAAAACCAAGAAAAACAAAAATGTTCAAGTAGTCTGGTTCCCTGACTCCACAAAAGATAAAATGGATCAATTTACAGATGAACGAAAATTGTAAGACAAAGGAACCAGTCTAGCTGGCCTGCACCTGTTCATGAACATGTAACCAATATCAAACAAAATTTGGACTGAAAAATGGTAAATTTGGAGCAGCAGTTGAAAAATAGTTAGGTTTTTCCAACACTGGTCGGCCGACCACCGTTGGAAATGTATACAAAAATACCATTTTCTCGAAAATGACTTCACACCAGGTGCCATAATTTTACAAGATGCTTGAGACTGTCATTTACCAACATCCTAGTAAGGTATTTCGTAAAAAATTGGTAGTTTTATATTTCGATGTTTGCAAATGTTGTATATTCCCTTTAACACAACCCCTTTTTGGCCCATTCCATCTGGCATTACCAATTAAGAGAGTTATGTACACTGTACCTATTTGTGCATGTAATGCATGTGGCGCATTGTGTCATATAATCCTTTAAAACAACACAGCACATAACATAACAAGACTACAAATGAACTTCATGGAAATACTTTTTATTTTCCACCTAAACAGGTATCTTATCTTTTTTTTTCTTATCTTTTTTTTTCTACTTGAAACCATTTTAGCATCATAAATAAAGTGCACAAAATGTACGACAATTGCACAATGGGCCAACAGTAACATGCTTGACTGTATGAAGTACCTTTAGAAAGGATGAAAAATCACTTCTTTTACATGATTGGTATTTTCTCAGCAACCCAATGTGCTGTTTTTGGTGATTTTTTTCAGTATTTGAAAGAAAACTCTCAATTTTTAGCTGATGTCCAAAACATAAAAATTCACTGATCACGTTTTTGAAAAAAAGGCAAATGTTTCAGGGTTGCATTTTTTTTGGGGGGGGGGGGGTTGACCCTGTAGCATTGTAGCGGTATGACTGATTTTTTCCCCAACATTTTTAAACTTTGGTTTTTCCACTTTTATTTCTTTTGCCAGTTTTGACAGGCAATGTTTTGGTAAGGCTTGATACTGTAGAGAATAGCATACTGATAAAAATACAACTTCTCGCCTTCTCAATTTTTTTTTTCTTTTTCACACCGATACCAACGATAGATTGTCAAATTTCATTTTTCTGTTAGTCACAATAAAAAGTAAAACTTTCGAAATGGCAATAACTGTTTCCTACCTTCTGTCTCCGACGTAATGTCACATTCTTCCATGTTAGTAACATGAGTTGGGTAAAGAACGCCATGATGATGCCCGACACGCTGCCGGTCCAATCGCTGGATGACAAATACTGCAGACGTTACAGTTCTGTTCAAAACTCTAAAATCAAAGTCCAATTGCTTTGCATTCACCCAAAGTACAGGCAAAGTTCAAAGGCAGCATATACAAACACACTGCAGTGATAGTGTCTGTGAGTTTGCCCTCCTCCCACACACGCACAGGAAATGTTGAGAAATCACTTCATTTTCAGCAGGCGCTGGTTGGCAAAACCTTTCTCTGTTGAGCATGTAATTTACACAAGCGAGTGTCAATCTCTTCGTCGGCTGGTGCGTCTCCCTGGTGACAATGTGTCATTCTGTGATGGTGATAAATAACCATTATGTGAACAGTCATGAGAGTAAATATTGTGTTTGTACAATGTAAGGCAGGACAATTGTGGCACTTTCAATAACATTTGCTATTTTCTTCCTCTAAAAGGTTATACCACAAGTTCCAATCCAAGAACACTAGAGAAAGATGGTGCATACACCATGAGCGGTGTAGCCAGGGGGTGGGGTGGGGCTGGGGGGGGGGGGAACACACTCGCCCCATATGGTGAGAACCCTGGCTAGTGGCTACACGGCGCCGGACACCATCCCCCCACAACAAAAATGCCCCCCCCCCAAAAAAAAAAAAAAAACCAAAAAAAAAAAAAAAACATGTCAAGAACTTGCAGACCATACAATTACTCTAAAATCAGAATGGGTGATGTAGGCCTATAGACAACATGAACAAAACAGTTTTTTTTTCATGATTAAAGATGTCAAAAATAGGAAAAAAGTACTTTTTTCTGTTAAAATGACAAATTTAATACAAATTTAAACACTGTGTGGAGAAAACTGAAGAAAACTGAGATAATTGAATTTACAAGATCAGTGCCAATACATTTTTAAGGTCAAGTACATCTCATGATGAATTCGAAGCGATTAAAAAAAAAGGTTTGGCAGTGCGCACTGAAGGCGGAAAGTCAAGGGGAAAAACATGAAGTGTTTATCCAGCCTAAGTCTATTTTACAGTGAAATCCTTCCCAAAGTGTAATACCAAAAGTTTGGTTTTGTGAATATTTTCAATCCCTTATAAATGAGACTCATATAGTATTAACACACACAAAATGTGTTGTGTTTTAAAGGATGGGAAATAGTGTTGCATCCCAGCACCACTTTTGTCATCATATATTATCTAAATTGCAAATTTTTCTGAAAAGACATATAAAAATTGGACTGATAAACTTTTCCAATTTTGTTAGGAAATACTTTGAAAATGCACTTGACTCTCCATAGGACTTTGTACACAACCAAAGAAGTGGTGTCTGGATATACATGAACATATCGTCTTAGAAAGATTCCCATACCTGGCCATCACTAATTTCCCCTGCAGTGACATATGAGCCATCCGAAAGTGATAATGTTTCCTACAAGAAAAGTCAAATTTAGCAGGCAAAATATTGAAGTATTTACTGAGAAACCACTTAGAAATTTTCAGACCAGTCTAATAGGGTTTGTGCACATGGAGACAAGTGATGTCCAGGTATGTAATTCTTTCCACATTAATTCGGATTCGTGTTGAAATTGTTGGGTGGGGGGTTGAAAAATTATTTTCTTTTTTTTTTACAACTAATGGCCTATATTTTTGATTTGCAAGCACACTTACCTGGTAAATAGCACACATTAATCAATCGCACACAATTAAAAATTAAATTGGTAGGAAAAGTTGGTAGTTTCCATATCATTTCCAGAGGAAATACTCAAACCTTTCAAGAAATTACATTGAAACTGTCGTTATGCATCTTGGAATGCCCAACCAAATATTCTTCCCAAAAATAAGAAAAGGAAAGAATGTAGTCATTTACTAGTATGCACTTTTTTGGTTGGTACTGCAGGCCTTATATAGTCTGTGGAGAGTTGAGTGCATTTTCAAAAGTATTTTCAAACACTGGAAATATTTTACAGTCCCATAGGAACAAAATGTTGCAACCTGACGCTACTTCAGCGGTTGTGTACAAAGTCTATGGAGAGTCAAGAAAATTTTCTAAGTATTTACTAACAAAATTGGAATGTTTCTCAGTCCCACTCTTATCATCATTGTTGCAATGACTGACCTTCATTGAGATGGATATATGAAGAAAAAAGTGGGGAAAGATTCCCTTATCTCAATATCTGGCCATCACTAATTTTTCCCTTCAGTGACCTATCAGCCATCAGAAAGTGATAGTATGCCCTACAAATTAAAATTTAGCTTGGCAAATATTGAACTTTTTACTAAGAAAACACTAGTCTTAGAAAAATTCAGACCAGTCCCACGGTTTGTGCACAGGGTGACAAGGAAAGATATGGGAATCTTTCCAAAAGTGGCGTCAGGTTGCAACATTTAAGTTTCCCACTTGATATTTCAAAGCCAAATATACATATTTTGCACCTGGCCCATAAAGTTAATTTCCCGAACGGTGGCATTCACGCAGTGCACCGGCGCGGCTTCATGCAGCAGATGCAGTTTGGTATGATTATCAGTGTAAACATGTGCTGCAGCTGAATAAAGGACCGATTTATTATGCTGGTTGCACATCGGTTCACCTACAACAAACGAGTAACGTTACCCTCAAATTTGGCTCAAACATTGACGGGCTAGGCTTGGATTTTGCTTCAGATGTCAACGTGAGACCAGCTGGGCAAACATTACGCTTAAAACTGCTCAATTCTTGCCTAAAAGTGTTGTTCCAAAATAAGACAAGCTGGTAGAACTCCGATCGATCGAATACTTGAGTACGGCCGGATGCGTAGCACCTGCACCAAGAAGCAGACGAAAAGATTCCGCGCTCAAATTTCAGGAAAGGTTCTTGACTCAACCTTGTACCCACTTAGTTCGTCGGCTGGTATAGCCGCGTTGCATCATGATTCTGGCGTTCAAATCTGTGAACGAATGCGTCGGTGTGTCAAGCACGTGACCCGCCCGATCCTACCGAATCCCCCCCCAAAAAAAAAATATTCAGATATTTATTTATGATATGTATTTCTGTTTAAGAAACAAGAAAGAATAACTGTTGAAAAAAACGAAGCTTTCGGAGCAATAAAAATCGTCAGTCTGATAAAAACATTTAGGGCCTTACAAAGGAATTCAAACTGTTTTCACAAAGTTTGATTAGTTCCTACAAAATTGTACAGGCCCTATACACTGTTCGTGGATTTCAACGAATTGAATCTTTTCTTTGACGAATTTTCTTTTTTTTCTAAGTTGGCGTCTGCAACCCATCGAAAAGGCTCAGAAACAGACTCTGGTGTAGGCCTGTAACCTAGTTTGCTATAATTTGAATATTTATAGTTTCCTTATATCAATAGTTCAATACCACCCCACACCCACCGTTCACGTGTGGTATCACCATACGAACACGAAACAAAAAATGGGACCATGCGGCTTTTCAGAAATAAAAAAATACTCCGGGATATGCTATTGGTCCGGTTTGCTCATAGGCCTACATTGTATTTGCTTTTTTTTGCGTCGGTGTTAAATTGACCATATAAAAATGTGAAAACTCACCAACTCACGAGTTAGCCGAGTATTAGTTTATGGGTCCACTCCTGAAAGTTGCGGCAGCAAAATGTGCGTCGTTTGCAAGAACGTCTTGACTTGAACTGTTTCTCTTCACAAACTGAACTTCTATAAACTTAATGTTTCAAAATGTATAAAAGTAATGTAGTTGCTGTAATCCCTCAAAAATAGATCAGATAATACCCAACCCTTAAGCAAATTACTAATGACGTCAAACTCTGAACCTATGAACTTTTAAGTGGCTGAGTGGGGTATGAAAGCCCTTTATACAGTCTCAATGTCAATACAGACGACCCACAAAAGTTGAACCTTTTAAAGAAAAAAAACGAGGAAAAACTAACTTGATTGAACAAATTAATGAAAAATACACGCACAAAATGTAGTCCTATAACTTTGGTCCAATTTGTTGGGGCACTTGATGTTCAGGGATGTACTCTGTCCACATATTTTTCGCGGCCGGGGAGGGGTAATCTTAACCGTATACGTACGTACGCCACCGTGCATGTGTTGGTGTATACGGTTGGTTGGCGACTCTTGTTGCGTCCGTCTCTTGTCTTGTTACGTCCGTCTCTTGTCTTGTTACGTCTATCTCTTTATGTCTATCGCGATCTTGTCTTGTCGATCTTGTTTTGTTCTATCCCTTGTCTTGTTACGTCTGTCTCTTGTCTTGTTACGTCTATCGCGATCTTGTCTTGGTACGTCGATCTTGTTTTGTTCTATCCCGTGTCTTGTTACGTCTATCTCTTGTCTTGCTATACGCCTATCTCTTTACGTCTATCACGATCTTGTCTTGGTACGTCGATCTTGTTTTGTTCTATCCCTTGTCTTGTTACGTCTATCTCTTGTCTTGTTACGTCTATCTCTTTACGTCTATCACGATCTTGTCTTGGTACGTCGATCTTGTTTTGTTCTATCCCTTGTCTTGTTACGTCTATCTCTTGTCTTGTTATACGTCTATCTCTTCCCGTGGTAGTACGTATATCCACGGTCTTGTTACGTCTATTGTCTTGTTACGTAGTGTCTAGTTGCGTCCATCTCTTGTCTCGCGTCTCACTTGTCTTGGTACGTCTATTTCTTGTCTTGTGGTGTCACTCTTTTAGGAGTGTTTTTTTTTTCACCATGGGCCCAGTAAAAAAAACAATTCTAAAAGAGTGAAGCTTCTACTCTTTCAATTAGCCATTATGCATGGCGGACAAGTACCGTTCATAGAATGATCAAGATAATGATAAATTACATGCTTCACTCTAATTAAAGGGAATATACAACATTTGCAAACATCAAAAAACAAAAATACCGAATTATTATGAAATACCTTTATACTTAACTGTTACTGAATGACAGTCTGAAGTATCCTGTAAAATCGTTGCACCTGGTGTGCTGTCATTTTCAAGAAAAGTGGTATTTTGTGTCAATTTCCAACGGTGGTCGGCCGACCAGCGTTGGAAAAACCTGATTGTTTTCCAACTACTTCCCCCGTTTTACCAAATTTTCAGTCCACATCATTGTTCGCAGTTGGTTACACGTCTGGGAATGGGTGCAAGCCGGTTAGCTAGTTTCCTGACCTTACAATTCTCCAAAGTCTATAAATTGCTCCTTTTCATCTGAAGTGGGGTCAGGGAACCAGACTTCATAAACACGATTGTTTTCTTGGTTTTTCCAGCATCTACGAACACAAAACTTTTAAAATGTCAGTGAAGCAATATATTTGTATAAAATATTAACCCCCAAATCCATCCATTTCTGAAAATAACAGCAAAAACAAATGTTGTATATTCCCTTTAAATAAGACAAGATAACTTTAATCAAGTTGGTCCAAGAGCACACAAATTTCTGCTCAATTTATTCAAAATATAGATATTCACTGGAAGTCTTGTCATTATACACCTGGTCTCAATGGGTCGGATTTAACCCATTCATTGGTGTTACGATCGAGGTAATCCTATACGATATCACTGCCCGGCTTCAACAGTCTACAACCTGTCTAGTCTCTGGTGACAGTCGAGCAGTATTATTGGTGTGAAATCTTGATAAGTCAAACCTCAAGGGAACAGGTTCAAAATTTGATTCAAGCAGAGTTTTGAGATAAGCAGAGATATTGTGTATATCATTGTGATACTACTGAATGCAATGGCTTCTTTGACTAAACAGTTGTTTTAGTTATCAGAGTTTTATTTGACTCATCGAGATTTCACTGTGTGCAGTACAGTGCAAAGAGGTATTCTCTAGCTCAGAATCAATGGCCCAAAAGCGGGCCATCCAAAACGATGTTCAAATTATAATCTTTTGCTAAGAACATATTGCTTAATATAGCAGTGGATGAAAGTGGTCAGAAATGGCCTCAGATCACACCACAGAGCATCTAGAATCCAATTTGTTTTCGGGGCCCACTGGCGGGCCCCGAACCCCACGCCGTAAAGGCTTCGCACTTCGCGCTTGCATCAGTTCTGATCAAGGAATCCCCCCCCCCCAATTTTGAGAAGCGATTGACTTCCCTGCTAGCTGTGGCTGCGGACGATGATGTGCGAACAAACTTTAAAACTTTTTTTTAGAATGGTAAAATGGTCAATAGAGGGCGTCATACCAAACGCGCGTCGGGACCAGTCTAGTATCTAGACTTAAAAGAGTATATTTCCAATATATTAGACGGGTATCCTAACTAGAACGACGCTTAACCGAGAGAAAACGTGGGAATGTCGTGCTCCAGATGAGAAAACTTTGTATTTTGAATGATTTGAATCTACTTACCTTTTGAAGTGTAGTTTATTGTCTCGTTTTGCAGGGGACATTTGGACATACTGTTTGTCCTGAAAGCACGACAGAATGCCCAAGTTAACAGCAGACTTAATTGAGCAGAGCTCACAATACACAAACGCGCTGCGAGAAAGGGAACTCGATTTGCGTGGTAAGTGCAGGCGATATGCTGAAACCGTGTATTTTCGACACATGACTGTTTATAGTCTTTACCAAAACAAAAGTAAACTTGGAAAGAATGTTGCAACCTGAGGCCACTTCTCTTTTCATCTTTCATCTCAATGGTGGTCAGTCATTGCAAATTGATAATATAAGAGTAGACATGAATCTGGGACTGAGAGTGAGAAACATTTCCAATTTTGTTAGGAATAGGAAATACTTTTTTGACTCTCCATTGACTTTGTAAATTGTACCCAACTGACATGACTGAATTAGAAATTTTATTGTGGAACCTTTCCATTTTGCAGGAATGTAGAACATGTATCTTGATTCACCTAGTTGGTTGTGTAGTAGTAGTAATTATTATTACAGGGAATGGTACCTTAGGGGGGACATTCTCAAAGGGTTGTGCACAAAACTTTTCCAACTTTAATGACCCCGCACCCCAATTTCCCTTATCCTACCCCCAACAAATTCCGGTATATTTACGTTTTGGACCATGAGCAATCGATCTAGCCTATTTGTGATGGTAAAATTTGGCCTCTAAACAGGAGTTGTGATATTAGGGAGACATTGAAATGTCTTCTTAATCTCCGGTGTCACCCTAAGGTATAACTTATTACGAAAAATGTCTCCTTATTAAGGGTACATTAATTAACAGGAATTATGGGGAGTCATGAATATTATTTTCTTAGAAAACTAAAAACCATTTCTCTTTCCCAAATTCATACTTAGTTACCCATTACTTGTTTGGAGTGACAATGACTGTATGTGTCATTTTTTTCTTGCCAAAACTTTTCCTAAGATAATTATCAACGTTTATTGGATCATAAGAATGATGACAACTTAAATATGTTGTCAATTTTTGTTGTTTATTTTACCTTATAGGTTACAAAATTCCATTGATTGAGAATTTGGGAGCCACCTTGGACCAGTTTGACACCATCGATTTCTCAGATAATGATCTCAGGAAACTGGAAGGGTTTCCCTTACTGCGTCGACTGAAATGCCTGTTGCTCAACAACAACAGAATATGGTAACGTAAAACAGAACTTAACCCTAACCCCTGCTAGTTCCTCAGGACTACCCTGCTAAATCAGAGTCTTGCTAAACAGAGTCCAACCAGAGTTCCCTGCTCAATCCACTGTGCCTTATTTTCAGTTGTCTGCTGAATCCAAGAGAGTCCAACTTGGCGTTATAAATGCGGTTCAGTTGCCTGCTGAATCCAACATTTTGCATCAGGAATGTACACAAGGGGTTAACTGCTCAATCCAACAGGCTCCATTGGGTATATGACATAGTTGGATCCTGTTGAATTCAGCAGGGTTAGGATTAAGGTATGGGGTATATACTTGTATTTACTTCTTCATCATTTACATTGTAGAAATGAACAATAACAATTTAACCCCAACTGCCAAGACCCTTTTTGATAAGATCCATCCTCAATCCTTCAACATCCTCCAAATGGACACTTCAAAATCTTCCAACATGTACAATTTATTGAGGCAGTGCGGATGATAGCCAGAAGCACTAGGGATATGCCCAATATAACGTGGATCTCCATTATGCATGGCTGAACATAAACAATGCAGGGTACAGCTTAAGACCCCGACACAATGCTTCCTTCACAATCAATCAACACTTTTTTTGAGTACAGCCTAAATCCTTCAAAATCTTCCAAAAACCTCCAAAAACCGGCTGGTTGATTTTCTTTAGGGTTAAGACAGAGAAGTGGATGTAAAATTATGTGTAAACAGAAGCGGAGTTGAAGTTTATTAAGTTTGGGCCGCAAACATACAATGTACATGTACACAGCCCTTTGACCTTCCAACTGAAAAGATAAATAATAAACATGTTAGACGTGAAAGATTCTGGTCAAGTTTGACTTCATCAGATATTTTGCCGCAAATTTGATGAGAAATAAACATCACAAAGAAGCAAATGTTGCAAGCATTTTATAGATCGGGGTACACACTGACATATATATCATATCTAAATTGACACTAGTAAATTTGTGAATCCCCCCCCCCCTCCAAATTGAACCGCACCGAAAACACCACGCTTATAGGAAGTCTGTCGATGAATGGTAAATAAAAAAGGAACTAGATATAAAAGATTTGATTTTCTTTCTTTCAGTCGGATCACCGAGGGTTTAGAGCAGAACCTGCCTCGTCTTGATTCTATCATCCTCACCAACAACCTCATGCAAGAACTGGTAAAATCAATCTTTTGCCTTATTCTGGAAATCTTTTCATATCCGCCACTTTTTGAATAACAGGATTGTTTATAATACACAGTGAAACAAATGATCCCGATACAATCAGCCAATTTGGAGTAATTGCCCTGCAAGTTTTCCAAGAACCATATTGAAATAACACCTAATTAACCTTCCTACTATTTAACCCTAACTCCCTAGGCCTTTTTGCTAGGATGTAGCCTCAATCCTGCAAAATCCTCCAATTGGCCTCATGGAAAAATAGCATATAGCCTCAATCCTGCAAATTCCTCCGTTATTTCTTGAATATGGTCCATGGAGGGATGACCACTGCCTGAATCCTGCAAAATCCTCCGGCTATGTCTGTCAATAGGCTGAGGCAGAGGCAGTGACATCCTGGAGCAGTGCGGAGGATGTCAAGTATAATCAAGGACTAAATTTATGCACGGCTGAGCATAAACAACACAAGGTCCGGCCCAAGACCTTGACACAGTGCGTACTCCGAAATCAGCAACGCACTTTTGCCATGTAACCTCAATCCTGCAAATTCCTCCAATTTGCAAAAAGGATTTTGGAGGATTCAGGGCGGTTAGGGTTAAGAGGTCACCAATGGTCAAAATGTTTGTATCTCACCTCCTGGCATACTGTGTACAAACCAATGGGGGTCTTGACCAATATTGACCCAAGTAATAACCAGGCTGACAATGCATGTTTCCACAGGCAGGAGGGTTAAAAAAATGATTTGGGATGTCTAGAGTTGGTTCAATTTGTTTTGCTATGTTTTGCTGGTTCCAGTTGTTTTGCGCAAACAAGATAGGCCCTTTTGGACCAATTTTAAGAGCCCAGTTGATGGAGCACAACGCGTGCACGTACTAGTTCGTGTGCGTATGCATGACTAATTTTATTCTGCATGTTAACAAGCATCATCAGCTTTGTGTTCAAAGTCTGTCCCAGTGGTCTTCCCCCAACTCTCCCCTTCTTACCGTTGAGGGGGTGCTTGTGCACGGAACCTATACCTTGATGATAATTCATACCATCTGTGCATATTTCAACATTGTTGTTTTATTTTTTATGTGGCAATTTTCTAGGGTGATTTGGATCCCATGGCAAGTATCAAGACACTTACATCATTAAGGTCAGTGCAGTGGTAGTAACTTAATTTTTGTTTAGAATCTGATGTTCGCTGGTATCAGAGTGGCCAGCATATAGTCCCCTGTGTATCTGAATGATTGACTGACTGACTCGCTTAAAGGTATAGTCCATCATTTGTAATTTGTGCATTTTGTTCTTTTGAAGCAAAAAAGTGCTCAAGATCTAAAGAAGGGTGCTGAACAACTAACCTGATGAAGTTTCAGCTCAGCTTTAGCTGTATATTCCGAGAAAAACAGCATTCTAGGATCTCGATTTGAAATAAAAAGTTGCTTAATCATGTTTTGAATTGGGCCTGAATTCAGCGTCCGAGACACGTTCTCACTGAGCCGATTGCACCTACGCAATGTCGCGCACTGATCCGATGAATTGTAGCAACCGCGCTCGCGTGTGCATCGTGTCAACGCTTGCGCGCGTTTCGCCGAATAAAAAAACGAACTACTAACGGAAATTTCCAATGGTGCTTCTTAAGACGCACCGTTGGAAAGGCCTTCTTTCGTTGATTTCTTCAAAATGACAGCTTGCCAGAACGAATAATTCACAGGGAGTTTAGTCCCCTTACTATCTTTCAACCAAGTATGTTTTTCAACAATAATTACGCCAGTTACTTTTTGGATAGCTGCAAATGATGGACTCTGGCTTTAAATCTAAAGACGGGTGCTTAACAACTAACCTGATGAAGTGTTAGCTCGGTGCATGCTGTATATTCCGAGAAAACAATATTCTTGGATATCGATTTCAATTCAACAGTTGCCGAGTCATGTTTTGAGATGCACCCGAAATCAGCATCCGGGATGCTTGTCATTCAGCAGATTGCAGCTACGCGATGCTACGCACTGAACCAACGAATTATAGCAACCGTGCGCGTGTGTGTAGTGTCAACGCTTGGGTGCACCTATACATGGCTTCATCGCATCAAAAATGAACTACTAACAGAAATTTCCATGGAATTTGCAGCTCAGGCCATAAAACTAGTGCTTCCTTTTACTGTACAGCTTCCACAATAACTGCAAGGGGGCATCTACCAAAACGTACTTGCAATTTGGATATAAAGTTACTGAGAATAGACTTTATTTACAAGTTGGCCATTTTCAATTGAAACGAGCTAAAATCTTCATTTGTGGAACTTCGGAATAGAAATGAAAGCAGTGACATAAAGTTAATTACAAATTAATACCAGCCTGCTCTGATGAATAATTTAAAATTTGTGATAAGTATACTGTAAGACCCCCCAGAAAAATCTCCGGTTTCTTTTCTGGTATGCGCGCGTCGCCGTAGCCATGCGCGTCGGCAAAATGAAAATGTTTTTTTTTTCAATGAAAGATGATGTCTCAAAACTGCCAAGCTCACTGGTTTGAATGGAATCCTGCTGCTGCACAATTTTAACGTGTTTTTAGATGGGGTTACGATCGAGAGTAAGCTTTATGTGGCCTCTCTGGACTCCCATATTTGCACTAAGTTTAGTCGGGCACCATTTGCAGTCATCAACAGACATTTGAAGAAGAAGAAAACGGTAAAAAGCCGCGTCGCCGCACCACTTTTTGGGCAAGCTCCATACCACAAACCGGAGAGTTTATTTTATTGGCCTAATGTTTTAAACCACATTTAAAAAAAAAAATTTAAAGTTAGGCTTGGCATACATTAATGGTCCATCACCATCCCATTCAACAGTTTACCAATTTTGAAATACATTAAGAGAACATGATCTAAGGCCTATGGTACGTTTTTCAATTGTCTAACATGGCTTATTGCCGATTGTTGTTCAGCTTGTTAAGAAATCCAGTGACGAGTCGGAAGCATTACCGGTTGTACACCATCCACAAGATCCCACAGATCCGGGTGCTGGACTTCAGAAAAGTACGACAAAGAGTAAGTGCATCTTGATTTCCTGACCATCTCTCATAAAACAAAGTGTAACAGTTGGTCCTCTTTGTACTACATTACTCCAATGAAATACAAAACGTAATACTCAAAATTTGGTTGGTAAAAGTGGGTGTGATCCAGTTGCCAGAGGTACATTATAATTACAGGCTCCGGAAACAGTTTTGCACAACGGAAATCAATACAAACAGCCAGTGTACAGTAGAACGCCACTATAACAAACACTATGGAGCCCATGAAATTTTTATTCATGGTGGTTTTTTGTTATAATGGTTGTGCATTACAACAGAATTTATTATATAACCGACATACAGATCCTTGTCATTTGATTGGTGGAACTCACATCGCATGACATTTGTTATTGCTCCCATTCGCGTTGGGGCCCAAAAAGCCCCATTCGCCCATGGGGAATGGGAAAACTATTCAATAGTTAGGATCGTTCTTGTTTCATGACGGGGTATTTGTGTGCAAATGCATGCTGGTGTGCGCGTTCAGTGCTGCGCATAGCGCGTATTGATCCAAAGAGCCAGCGCTACAGAGATGGGTTCAAACATTTTCGTGTAGGGGTGGTTTGGAAGAGAGAAATACATTCCCCACCCATTTTGTATTGAAATAAAAGTTCAAATATATCAAATGACAGGGATATTTTCGCTTTGCCTCGTGAAATGGAGAAGTCCAGATTTTACCTTGCGATAATATTCCTCCCATTTCACTCTGAGCTACTCAATATTTGTATACTATTTCAGGAGCGAAAGGGGATGTTCGTTATAGTCGTGTCCGTTACAGCGGCATTTTACTGTATTGACCAACATAATGTCCACATTCATGAACATAGCAAACTGAGACATGTAAAAAAGGAAGAACTGAGGATGCTCTGACTAATACAAGTGCAAAACCCTGTGAGTGATAAGGTCCTTAACCCTAACCCCTAGGCTCTTGCACTAGAAAGTATACCAAACCTAACAAATTTCAACAGCTGCATACAGGTCTGTAAGCACTGGTACCAAAACTGCCAAACTCCAACAGGCCTTGTACGGGGAACAGTACTAAACCTGCCAAACTCCAACTGTTGGAGTATGATTGACTTGGTATGGATGGGCCTATGCATTGTCGAGTGATTGGATAGGGATGGTACCAAACCTAACAAAATAAAGCAATATGTACATGCACATTTGACCACAAGCTGTGCTGAGGACCATGGGTGAGCATACCCACGAAGAAATGCCAGTGAACTCCAACGTGTTCACAAATCTCATGCCCTTCTGCCCCGAACCTCACAAAATTCAACAGGGTCTCCCTGGGCCTTTGGTACCCAGTCAATCAAAGTCCAACACCAGCTGGCCAGTGTTCGGTACCAACCCTGCCAAAATCAAGCAAAACCCGCTGTTGGAGCTTGATGGGCTCAGGGTTGTTAGGGTTAAGACTCATTTTGTTGGATCCATTTACAGGAACGAGAAGCTGCTGCACATCTGTTCAAAGGGAAAAAAGGACAACAGTTGTCCAAAGACCTTGGCAGGAAATCTAAGACGTGAGTGCTCTTCCTTTTAACCCTTTTTATCGCCGACCAGTGGGGTATGCTTCTGTTCAGGAGCGGTAGATGGTGTTATGGGCATGGGCGCACTGGTTTGCCTGATAATGGCACAAAGTACATGTGACCAGTGGCGGTGCCAAACTCTCAAACTTGGGGGGGGGGGGGGTCATTTGAGGCTGTTTTTAAGACTGTTTTTAAGAACACAAAACATATAGGGATCGACCGCAAAAAAAAGGCGTCACGTGCTATCCGCGCATCCCCTTGTTATATGTATCGTCTTCTCATGGGCGATGTTAGCCATTTTGTAGTAAATTGCCAATTAACCCCCCCCCCCAAAGGTCGGGGGCTCGTAGCCGAGCGGTTAGAGCGTGGAGCTACAGAGCGGAAGGTTGGCGGTTCGAATCCCATTCGGACCAAAAACTGGAAAACTCTCTCTGAGGACCCAACAGTAAAATGGGTACCTGATTCGTTCAGGGAAGGCAAGACGGCGAGAGAAGAGGACTGGGCCCCGCCACTCATATGCCGCGCCCAAGACACAATGGACCTCTAACATCCCACTGCCCCTACGGCCAGTAATGGCTACGGGACCTTGACTTTTACCTTACCCCCAAAAAAGGAAAGAAATTCTTAAAATTGCCTTGTTTGGGAAATGCTCTGCACGTCCAGCATTGTAGTCACTTAATGAGGATTTCTTCTGCCGTTTTAATAGTGTCCTGCACAAGTAAATGGACTGTTTTGAAGGAATTTGTAAATTGAAAAAGTCTGGGTTTATGAGGATGACATTTTATCATTGCAGGTTTGTACCAGGGGCACCCGTTGGTGGTGAGGGGGACGCAAAGCCTGGACCATCACCTCAGGATTATGCTGCTATCAAGGTAAATGACTATGGGTGTGTTTGAATAATACTACCTTTTAACAAATGCAATATCTACCATGGTATTAAGATCCCTGTGTGCTTCATGGTTGGGCATCATAAGTTTAACTTATCACTGTTTGTCATGTGACCTGTCACAACAACATGAGCATAAATTTAGACTTTATAAGATCTGAGATATTTGTATTTTTGGATTCTGCAGAACAAGAGCTTTCTAATGTATATAACATTTTGGGGTACTGAGTTTATAGACCACCAAAATTGAAGTTACAAAAGTAATTGAAAGAAAAAAATGGCATTTGAAATTCCTGCTGTCGTATTGTAGCGAATGAAAAGTTAACTCATAAAATGGGATAAAAACAGATTTTTAAGATGCTTTACAAAAGGTCGAGCTCCCACTAGCCTTTTGGAAAAAGCTTGTACCTCTACGGTTGCTCATTTTTTCCCCACAATCGTTCAGATATTCAGACAAAAGAGGTGTCATAACCAGGCCATACAACCCACATACTATTGTATGAACACGAACCGTAACCATTGGGCCACGAGGCACTGCCCGCTGTTCATTGCACTATTTTCTTTCCCGTGTTTTCCAGGCTGCCATCGTCAATGCCAAATCTCTGGAGGAGGTTGAGAGATTGAACCAAATGCTCAAGACAGGACAGGTTCCAGGGAAAGACGCCCACAACAGAAACCAAACAGGTTTTTGTTTTGTTTGTTTGTTGTTGTTTTTTGGTCATTCTTACTTTTACTAAAGTTTGTTGGCCATAATTCTGTGAATTCTACTTGTATTATCTCGCATTCATCAATGCCTAAGACAGTTTACCCATTCCTATTGGTCGAGAGCCCGTCACGTGGCCGGTTTTAAATGGTTGATAAAGACCCACTGGCTGGTCTTGAACACTTTTCCAGGGTCACATGAAATTTGGACTCCTATGAAATCTGGTGCCTTTTACTGCTTTATTGCTTGAACGTTCACAATTTTCACGTAGGCATGCTCGAAACTACCAGTGAGTCAGTATATCATAGTCCTAAATTCACAATACACCAGCACAGCTGCGTTCTGCGTCACATCGCGTGTCTCCCGCGCAAATCTCCATATAAGGAATTGTTTACGACGAACTCGCGAGAGGGACATACAATCTAGCTAAAGGGGTGTTTCGAAAAACATGAAGTAAAATTGTTGAACAAAATCGTTGGAAATTTATAATTTTTGACTTGTTTTGACGTTTCGACGTATTTTAAAAGGTTTGATATTTTGACCGAAAAGGTATTTATGAATGGGAATAAATATGTGCTTGGCCGGTATTAAACACTTTGTTTAAGACTGGTTGGAGTCTGGATGCTGATATTTACCTTCGGCTCAGGTAATTATCAGCATCCAGACTCCAACTGGACTTTTGAGTGAAGTTGATACGAGAACTGTTAGGGAGAACTATCGCCTTTGGCTTTCGTGACCCGCAAATAAAGTTTTAATGTTTCAAAACTCAGAATCTTATGCTGCAAAATTCTGTTCAGCGTAGATGTTTTTAGTTCTTCTGAAGTTAACTTATTTCGACGGCAAAGCTTTTAATTTATTGTCATTTTTTTTACAGCTGGAGAAAGAGACAAGATCCCCACAAGATAAAAAAAAAACTCCCAGGAAAGAATTCCTCCAAAAAAATTTAAAAAGTCGTGATTATAGATATTGCCATGATTAACAAATATAAAACATACCAATTGTAGCTCACAAATTTCTATGCCAGAAATTTGGCAAAAGTTTCACCAAAATTTAAACAAGCAATGCATAAAAATAGTCATATTCCCGCTATTATGAAACACTAGAAAACTACAGATGTGACTTTCATTTGTATGTTTAACAGTTTCTTGCAAAACACAGTTGTTGGAGCAAACAACGATTCAGTCGATATATGTGTGAAGCATGCTTCATTGTTGACGATCGTTGCAATTTTTGGATGGCGAATTGGGTATTTCACTAGACTTGACTCAAGTCAGAATTGCTTTAAGTCGGTATCTTAAAAAAAAGTAGTGAACATCACTTAGTTTACGTCTTTCCAGATGCCCGACAAGGTACACTTTAGCGTGCGTTCCACTTCAGTGCCGTATAACAATGCCCACACACTGTATGTACATTGTACAACACGCGTATGACAAGTACATGTGTGTGCATGTATTGCAGAGCATGTGCATACTGTACATGTGGTGCAAAAGTTAGCAAGTCTAGTATTTCACAGACACGTGCTAAAGTGTTTGTAGTTTGCTAGAAATGTTTTTGTTTTGTTTTTCAGAAGAGATTGAAGAGGAAGAAGAAGTGGAAGAGGAGCAAGACATGGACCAGGCTCCGCCCCCGGGAGTGGTCAATGGAGCAGTCATGGTGTAGCAGGACGAGGCTCCACCCCCGGGAGTGGTCAATGGAGCAGTCACGCTGTAGCAGGACCAGGCTCCGCCCCCGGGAGTGGTCAATGGGGCAGTCATGCTGTAGCAGGATCAGTCAGGACTTGTTGACATTTGACAAAAACTCTCTGAAAACATTCCTTCGTCGTCGCACTACTACAGCCTTCAAAACTCCTCCTTATCTGAGAATGCAGTCAAGGGTATTTCAAGTATTCAAAAAGAATTGGATAATTTTCAAATGTATACATTTGAGCACAAGAAATGGTGTAAAACATGGTCTAGTCAAAAGTTTTGTTAGAATTTTGTCCTTACTTCAGAACAAGTACCTTCCTTTGATTTCATTGTCCGTTTCCATGAAAGTCGTTGATTGTTTGGCCCAAACTGGAAACTTCTTTATCTTGATACATGTACTCGTGTCTGGAACACTGGCTTAACAAACTGGATGAGGATTACATGTTGCATCAAGTTGTTTGATTTTGAAATACTGGAGCTTTTTGAAAACCTTGTTTTTATAAAGTGAGTGTTAAGTGGAGAGAGAATTGTCAAATATCAGCATTTAACCTGAAGGGCACAACGTGATCACGCTGTTTGTACATATTAAATTTTACAGTCTAGAGCGGCATTTTCAGCTGCATGTTATTAGTAGATATTAAGCTGGAAAGAACATAACCTGGAAGGTGATTAAGAAAATAAGTTTTATTTCATATAAAAAAATGATCCAAGCTACTAGAAGGAAATTGTGAGACAAGTTACTCTGTTTTTTTTGGCTGTTTAATGACTGCAGTACTTAAAAAAGGCTTTGCAAGAGAAAAGGTTGAAGGCTTCATTTTTCAGAAGTTCATGTTTCTTTTCTTTTGTTAAAATTTTGTTTTTACAGATTATTGGGAAGAAAACATGTAGTTTCTATAGAAAAATGTTTGAAAAAAAGCGATAGTGTTTCACATTCACAAAGGTATTTACTAGGTATTATTCAACAAATGTAAGTGTATAAAGCAAGTCATGAATGTTTTCAACGATATTTCTTAAAAAAAGTTGTTGTTTTACGTGTGTAAATCAATAAGATAATGATTTAGGGTGGTACCATATGACAAATCTCATTCATAAGTTTGAGAGGTTCTGAAAAGAACCGGGGGGGGGGGGGGGGGGGGAACACAAGGTTTCAGACAGTATACCCATTGTTAGCAGACTGATGATGGGCAAAGCATACTGTTCAAATCGTTGAGGTCCCCCCCCCCCCCCCCCCCCCCCGTTCTTTTCAGAATCTCACAAACTCATAAAAGAGATTTGTCACATGGTGCTACCGTAAATCTTTATATTACTACTACCTTTAACCATGCAAACCTTACAAATCTGGTCTGTATGTATTCAGCTGTATTTCACAAGACATCATGCAAGTAGACATCTTTGTTTGTTTTTTACTGAAAGGTTGGTTTCTTTTTCTTTGTACAACTTCCTTGTCAACATTTGCATTATGAAAATTCAGTTCAATGAAAACCCATGAATGAAAGTTGAAAGGTTAATTAGTGAAAGAACTTAGCTTGTTGACAGGATAGGTGTGTGTTTTGTTTTTGTCCCTCCCAAACTTATTAAGGTATCTTTAACAGCTATGTTAGGGGTCAAACAGAAGTCAGTGTGTATGTACTTTGATGTAAAATCTACAGATAACAAAAAACCTGAAGTTTGAATCACTTCAGTTATGCCCAAATGCCCCCCCCAAAAAAAGAATCAGTAAACGTCCTTATTTAACATTAACTGTCCAGGTTATATACTACACATGACCTTCACAGTCAAAAGGTTGAGAAGCGATGAAACAGGGACATGGATTAACAACAGTGTGTTAACTTTACTACCATTTTAAAAATAAAATGGTCGTCCATTTTACGTTTTCTGCTAGGTCCCAAGGGTTTGACCTGTGCCAGGGATTCATTTTTTTGTATGGATATTTAAATTTTGCAACCTATTTTGTGAATAAATTCTCCCCATTCCATGAAATGTCATCGTCTGTGTCTTTGAGTTTTTATTGCGAATATTGAATAACCATATTAACCTCAACTCCTTCGGCTGCTTGCGCGTTCTTTCACCCTTGGCCGTGTAAATATGAAAACAACAGTGATTGACTATTCAGAGCTTTAGGCCCCCCCATAGAACAGCCACTTTTGTCTAGCCCCCCCCCCCCCCAAAAATACATAAAAAAAAAATTGCACTTTTTGTGACGTACATGCGAACCGTCTCCCCTGAATAAATAGTCATGAGAAGGGTGCATTTCTACACTTAGTTAATGTAGGGTACGTGCCTGATTGTAGGATTTTATCAGCGCTTCCCAATTGACAATATGTCACACCCCCCCCCCCCCCACCTAGATTTTTGGAGGCGTAAGTGTCCGGAGAAAATAACCGGTCAACATTTCAGCACGCCGCCCTGACAAATTTCTGGATCCATCCTGCTAGCCCCCCAAAATATTGGCTCTAGAACCGCGCCTGCTGCATGCACTAATTGTGGTCGCGTTATCTCCAGCACATCATGTCGCATAAAAACACTTATTTCAAGACTGCACGGTTCCTTTACGATATGGAAGGCTCATTTTCACGAAAATACCAGTATTTTGTGTTGTAAAAGGGACGACAGAGGTACGCACATTATAAATTCCAGCAACGCAACATTGAAATCTCTTTTTCGAAAGGATTGATCTTGCAAAAAAATGTCAAAACTGAAGGGGGGGGGGGGAGTTGGGGGTCAAAATCTCCCTGATCTGTCTAAAATTTGTTTCATTAAAAATAATGTAGATATGAAAACAACAGTGATTGACTATTCAGAGTGTACTGCGCGAGTATTTTGAGGGCTGCATGCAAGTGGCGGTTCGGGGGGGGGGGGGCTTTTTGTCTAGCCCCCCTAGAACCGCCACTTGCATGCAGCCCTCGAAATACGCGCGAAGTACACTCTGACGTACATGCCAAAGGTCTCCCCCTTAATAAATAGTCGCGAGAAGGGTGCATTTCTACACTTTTAGTTAATGTAGAGTACGTGCCCGATTGTAGGATTTTATCGGCGCTCCCCATTGAAAATATGGCACGACCCCCCACCCCCTTGATTTTTGGAGGCCCAAGTGTCCGGAGAAAATAACCGGTCTACATTTTAGCATGCCTCCCAGAAAAAATTCTGGATCCACCCTGCTAGCCCCCCAAAAATATTCGCTCTAGAACCGCGCCTGCTGCATGCACAACTTGTACTTGCGTCATCTCCTGCACATCATGTCGCATAAAAACACTTTTTTCAAGACTGCACGGTTCCTCTACAATATGGAAAATCTTAAAAGGCTCGTTTTCACGAAAATACCAGTAGTTTGTGTTGTAAAAGGGACGACAGAGGTACACACATTATAAATTCTAGCAACGCAACACTGAATCTCTTTTTTGAAAGGATTGATTCTGCAAAAAAAATGTCAAAACTGAAGGGGAGGGGGAGAATTGGGGGTCAAAATCTCCCTGCTCTGTCTAAAGGGAAGATACAACATTTGCAAACATCAAAAAAACGAAATGATCAAATTATCACGAAATACCTTACTGGATTGTTTAGAATGGCTGTCTAAAAAATCCTGTAAAATCTTGGCTCCTGGTGTGTTGACATTTTCAAGAACAATTTTTCAAACGCTAGTCGGCCGACCAGCGTTGGAGAAAACTGGCTTTGTTCAAAATCTGCTCCTAATTTTTCATATTTAGTTATTACGTGTTTTCTTTACATTTGATTACACACCTGTGAAGGGGTACAAGCCTGCTAGACTGATTATCTGACCTTACAATTCCCAAAAGTCTATAAATTATGCTCCGTTTCATCTAAAGTGGGGTCAGGGAACCAGACTACAAGAACATGATTGCTTTTCTTGGTTTTTCCAGCATCTACAAGCCCAAAACGTGAAACAAGTCAGCGTAACAATATTTGCTATAACATACTTATCCTCCAAATCCTTTTATTTCTGAAAATTGCAGCAAAAGCAAATGTACATTCCCTTTAAAATTTGTTTCATTAAAAAAAAATCCCCCCCCCCAAAAAAATACTGCAAATAATGTCCGCCTGTGCACAAAACATGGAAAAAGCCAGCTTGGTTAGGGGCATTTGTACACTGTTCTGCAAAAAAGGTGGGAAATAATCAGCGGATTTGAACAGCGCCCCCATCATTGAAAGTACATGTATGGTACAAGCCCCCCCCCCCCCCTACCTATTGATTTTTGGAGACCAAGTGTCCAAAGAAAAAAACCTGTACGGTACATTTCAGAATTAAACACATCCACTGCAGTCCTTAATTAAAAAATACCAGGGGTTAAGATTGCACAAAGTACAGCAAGATAATGCCAGTTGACTGCATGTACAGCTAATGATAAAACTGTTCAGACTTCATGGCAATTTTATTAACATGAATCTTACTATGAAAGGCCACTTCAAAAGGAATCAGACATGTTTCATTTTTATATCCACTGCACTACATTTATTACAAAAACATTTGGCATTCCTTTGGCTGAAACTATCCTGATATTTAAGTATATTTGAAAATATATATATTTTATTTTGCAATTGGAATGATAACATAAAACTTTGCCATTACATCAAGCTATTAATCAGGCTGATTATTTCAAATTTGAACGCAAGTATAAAATGCGTAACCACTAAGAAATAACTAGCAATGTTTTCTAAATATATTTTTCCTCAAAAATAGCCACTTTCTCAAAAAACAATGCATTTATGAATAGTTATAAGTGGAGTGCTGTGGCCTCGTGGTTAAGGGCACTGATTCGTGGTCTGTGGGTAAAGCTGCTCATTACTTCTCTCCACCCAGGAGTAAATGGGTACCTGTGAAGGCAGAGATGGTTATTGTGATTGAATTAGCTTCCTTGCGCCTAACAGGCTGCATCGAGCTGTATACTCCCCAGGGAGCTGAGATGGTATTCGGAATGTTCCATGTGCCCAATGAGCAGGGGTAATAATGATGTAGCGCCTTGAGCACCAGTCCTGGTGGACACGTGCGCTTTATAAATATCCACTTTTATATATTTATTTATTATTATTAAGTGTATTTTTCAATCAATCTTTGGAAATCTCAACAGATTGCATCATTTTTTTTTTAAAATCTATCTGCTGAATACTCCTCAGTACATTTTTGTTCACACATCTTTGTTAATTTATTAGAACCCACAATCCTTTCACTTATAAAATCACACATTTTACATTAGCAAAAAAAAAAATCACTGTAGTCTAGTTCCCTGATTACATACACACAAACATACGCCGCAGTAATCAAGGAACCATTTTCACTGCAATCAACTGAATCAAAGTGCGGTTAAAACTGAGAGTAAAACGAAAACTATAAAATAAAGCACACGCTACATGGATATACATACGGTTAACAAAACAATTTCTTTTTCCTCAGTTGTGCGTAAGTATACCTGTCATCTGAAAAACTAAAAATACTGATATTCGGTACCCACTATTAAAATTTGTAATTTAGTATAATTTATTTTGGCATCTTAAAGTATTACAAAGTCTAATTGTAATATGTTTGAAGTACTCAATAATAAAGTGAACAAAAGCTGACTTACTGAAATTCAAAATTGTAACTTTTTCCTGCAAAAATTAATATGTGTGACTTTAAAACATGTTATTCTATATATTTAAGTTTATTTTACATTATTTTAACTTCACCTCATCTGAAAATTATGAAAAATTTCTGGCATAATTCATTTTTCAAACGGTAGGCCTGTTAGAATCAAACACGTATAATTTGGCCCCACATTGTTATATTTTCAGCAGCTTGTTTTTTTTTTCACGGCACAGTAAATACAATTTTTTTTTGGGCAAAACTCAAAATTGGTTTGGTAATTAGTTCATGACATAATTGTATATCATTATGAAAAAAACACTTTTGGATTTTTATACTTTTGGAGTTTGATTTTTTAAATTTTTGCATTTGTGAAAGATTATCTTGTCAACACGCCATGACAAATTGTTTTGGAAAAAAAAAAATGGTTACATGTAGTTGACCAGGGGCCAATTTCACAAATCTTGCGACTCATCATGCAACTTTAAGACGAGTCCCTACTCTAAGATAAATCTTAGCTAAGACGCATCCTAAGAGCAATTTCACTAAACCCATCTTAAGCAAGACGCATCAAACTACCAATTTGATGACTGTTTCAGGTTTGTTTTTACCACTTGACAAAACAGTCGAAAAAAAAAAATGCGCAAA